ACAGCAGCAGCAGCAGCAGCAGCAGCAGTAAAAGGAAACAGAAAGCGCCGTGGGACACATTTCAAGGATCTCTTTGTTTTGCGATGACATTATTAGCTTTGCGTCGTAAAATAAAGTGCTTTTTATTATAGTTGAAAATTTCATAATTTTACAATGTACTGCTACACGATATTATGAAAACAGTTTATAATAATAACAGTTCTTCGATTACCAAAAAAATTGGTGTACAAATTTTAAGGATATAAATTGTTCTATAACATTTTCTCGCCTCAACTTTAAGTACTTAAAAAGTTCTTAGCTTACGTCAGCATTTATTTTTATTTCAAGCAAACACTCATCTTGTCGTCTTAAATATGGTGAAAGCTTGTTAGGGGTAGCCCCTATAAATATAAACATTTAATTAAGTCCTTTACAGCGCCACGGGCAAAAAGAGAAGAAAAAAAAAAACGCCAAGTGTAGCCGGAGACGGCAACTTATTTACACATGACGCGTTATTAGGATGCTCATAAAAACACATTCCTCACAATTGTAGCTCAAGCAAGAGTCCTGGCAACACACACTCGCACACACACGCGCGCATTGAGAGAGCAGCTGATGCCGCTGTCAATTGCAGTTTGCATATAAATTAGCCTAATTAAAATGACAAGCATAAAAGGAACTTTAGTTAAATGTCTGTTTGATGTAAGACGATTCCAATAATTATTCTGAGCACGCTTAGAAAATTACCAACACCAACGGCGTGAAGCAGGCATTCGATGAAAGAGCTCCTCGAATATATATATATATACATAGATATATATGTCTAGTATATATGTGAGGAGTGCTTGCGGTTCTGTGGCCAGCTTGTAAAACTTTATGACTGAATTTGATGGTGCGTTGCATTTCCTGCAACCGGAATAACAGCTTCAAGATATTCGACTCATATATACCTGCACCAAGCGGAAAATGCAACTTAAGATCTTAGAGATATTCGATTAAAGTTCGACAACATTCAGCTGGTTGCAGCATAGCCACATATATATTTCATTTTGTTGTTAGTTTTAACTTTAAAAGTTAAAATAATAATGCATTTTTGGTGTGGGGAGTTTGTTCCAATTTAATATCTGAGCAACATTCCATTAAATATTTTTTTTAGCATGAATTTATGCTTTCCTTATTAAAAAAACTTATTTATTATACTCTCAAAAAGAAGTTTTTACTCATACCCAAATTAAAAACTTTACTCAAGCAAGCTTTAACCAAGCATAATTTTAATTTGCGCTTAAAAATTCGTCTCCTTTTAATTACAAATACAAGAAAATAGATAAATGTCATACAATATGCAAGCCCCAAACTTCCTATACTATTTCCAGACGGCAACGGGTAGAGCAAACTGTGCGAATGTTATGGCTTGTAAATTTCAATGTCTTCGACAGAGAGCAAAAAAGGAAAGAAAAAACAAATAAGAAACCAAAATGTGCTCAGAGTCCTGTCAACATAAAGTCGACAACAACAACTGCAACAAGAATGAAACAAAAACACTTTCTTGGTAGTTTCGGGCACTTCAGCCAGTAAAAATAAACTAGAAAGTACGTTGAGAAAGTGCAAACAAATGGAGAAAGTTACAACAACAACATAATCAAAACTTAAAATGAGCAACAAAATTTGTGCTGTTTGCTTTTTCATTTGACTTTTTGAGCGGTCGTCGCTCATTTTAACAGCAAGGCATAAAAAACAAGTAAGAGGTTCTAGTCGGGAGCTGCCGACTAGGAGATACCCTGAACCCTCTTCTTCCAACAACAAATGCATATATGTATATATACTATTCTTGAAGCTACATGTCAAGTTTGGTGACTCTAGCTCTTATTATTTACCAAAATTACCCAAAAAACAGGATATCGATATCGATTTTTATCGATTGATTGGAAACGGAGTAAGTTATCGATTATCGGAAACAAACACGATCTGCGCAGGCACTAGGAACATCTACATCTAAAATTTCAAGTCTCTAGCTCTTATAGGTTTTGAGATCCTCCATACGGACAGACGGACAGACGGACGGACAGGCGGACGGACGGACTGACAGACAGGCAGACAGACATGGCTAGATCGACTCGGCTATTGAAGCTAAACAAGAGTATATACACTTTATGGGGTCGGAGATGCTTCCTTCTGCCTGTTACATACATTTGGCTCAGTGGGTTCAGGGTGTAAACAACTGACTGCCACGCCCATTGCCAAACCAAAGGCGGTCGGCGGCCACCCGCTCACTTTTGCATACACTTAGCCCGGTGTTTAGCCCGGCCACAGTGCCACACAATTGTATACACACGCCCACATAATACAGTTCACTTTTTTGCGCAAATTAAAAAAGTTTAATGAAACTAGCTGTGATTTTTCTCTTCTTTTTTTATACTTTTAGCGGTTTTCGTGTTGTGCACTCGAAATTGCTGCATTTAATTAGCTTGCCACGGATTGGGCATGCAAATGGAATTTTATTTCATATTATATTTAGTTTTTTAGCAGGTTTCGTGCAAAATAGATATGGGCGACCAGCATGCCTGGCATCGTTGTTCTGTCGAATTTGTTTTGTTGGATTTTAATTAAGTTTGACTTATCCTAATTAAAATATTTTTAATGGAACTATAACTTTAGCTTGTATGCTTATATATAGATAACGTATATGTATATTGACAACAGCCTGTGCAAATGTTCCAATTATCTCTTTTAAATTTCAAAATCTAAACACTGCCCACTGCGAATAGCGAAAGTTCTTTCAAAAATTATATAAGTAACTACGATTATCTAAAATTTGCATACTCATACCAACTACATCAATAAAACATAGCTTAGTGTTAGAAGGATGTCTTATACTTGAACTTTCTTCAGATAATCCACCTAAGAGATCAATTCGTTTCGAATAAACATAAGCATTTGCGTATATCCACAATACTTACGCAATTTATTGCAAAATAAACCCACAGTATCTGTAATACGCATCTAAATAGTTTGAGTAATGATGCTTGAACTCGCGCCAGTTAATCTTTTTAAGTAATATCCCAGGAACGACAAAAAAAAACCCCTCCATAAAATGCCTTACGCAGAGGACATTTAACGGCAATGCAATCAATAAACTATGAACATTAAATATTATGAGTAGCCGAGTATTTCGCACAAAATGGCGGGCAATCATTTGCCCAGTGCTTTACAAATGGCAGCCATTTTGAAAAGTACTGCAAATAAAAGAAAGTGTGTGGGAAAAACTCTCGAGTCCGAAGCCTGGCAGAAAAAAAAAACAAACTTTCGACCACTTTCGCCTTAGCTAAGTTTTACGACTGTCGAACAAAATTTTTGTGCCGTGCAAACAAAGTAAAAGCGAAAACGGAAAACGTTGCTTTCATTTGAATGGAAATACGCCCCCAACTCCGCCCGTTCAATCTTCAATCCTTTTGCCGGCAACGGAAAATCCAGCTGCACTACGTCACAGTTTTGTCGTCATTTTACTGCTCAACTTCTGCTAATGCAAAAGATATGTAGCATAAGTATTTTTCATCTGCATGTTATTCTTTTTTACATACCCTGTAAGCATACGGATATAGGGTGTCTTGAATTTGCGATCATTTTGCAACAGGCGTAAACTTTTTATTAATCTTGCGCAGATATTCTTACTTATCCTAAGTTTATTTCTCTTTTCTAAAAATTACAATTTATTTAAAAATATAAAGCACGGATTTTTGATACTCAAGCCTCTTAGCATATTATATCTGCATGTCAGAAAATCGCATAGTAAACACTAAGAAAATAAACTGAGGCCATCTTTCAAATGTTACCACAGTGTATTTCCTAGTCGACATTAAAATTGCTATCCGTTTTTACTTTACACATTGATATTCAGTATTTAATGATTTTATTTTATTAGTTTACTTTAACTTATTTTTCTCCACATTTTTTTTTAAAGATAAAGGTTCGATTTTTGGAACTCATGCCTCTACGCATTCCATATAACTTTCTTATTTTAAAAATCGAAATCGAAATCAAGCTGTGGTCATCAGTCAACATGTTAGCACAGGGTATTACCTAGTCGACTTTAACATTGTCATATGTTTTTGCCTTCCATTTGATATTTACATTTCGTTCGCATTCATGAACGACTCATAAACATTTGTGTATGAGGGAATGAGGGTAGAGAGCAAGTCGTATGCAAGTGTTCCCGCTTGTTCCGTATATTTGTTGCTTTTGTATATATTTACGAGCTGCTTTTTCTGTTGCTGGTTGACGTGGCTTCCACCTGTGAGCACACACACCACAAGCACACACGCCGTAGACACACACACACACACAGATACTTAAAGCTGAGGTCTGGCTTTATTGCTGCTGACTTGCCTTTTTGTCTCCAACTTTCGGAAATGGATATAAAATAAATATTTTAACAATTTATTTATGTGTATTTGCTTAATCATTTTTGGGTGCTGACTTGATAAGTGAGCATTTGTTTTGGGTGATATACTAATAATGTTTCAAAGAGGGAAGAAATAGATATACAAGTATAGTATTTTATATAAAGTGTTTACACTAGAAATGATATATAGAAAGTCATAATAATATGTTAAGATTTAAATTAAAAATTCAAATTCTAAACAATATTTTTCATTTTTCAAAACATATCTCAACGAGTTTCTCTCAACTCTGCCCACAGTTGAAATAGAAAGTTGCCCATTTACCAACACTAAAATACCTATCAGGATATTTTAATATGCTGAAAGTGAACAAAAATAATTCTAAAAAACATGTTTCACTTCTATGTGGCTGATACAAGTATATTTTGTATGAAAACAAAACATATCTCAAAGCTTTTTTTCCAACACTACGCACAGTTTAATAAAAACCTTGACCTTTTACCAACACTTAAATATATGTCAGAATATTGTAATAAATTAATTATTATAAAACATTTTTCATTTCTATGTGGCTAATGCAAATATATTTTAAAAATCTTTTTTTCTTCCTCGAATCTACCCACAGCTTAAATAAATAAGTTGCGCATTTACCAACACTTTAACAGCTGTCTGGATATGAAATTTGATGAAAGTGAAAAATAATAACTCTAAAAAGCATCTTTCCTTTGCACGAATATATCTCAAAATATCTCGACGGCGAACTCTACCCAAAGCTTAAATAAAAAGGTTGTCCATTTGGCAGCACTTAAATGCCTTTCGGGATATTGTAATTTGCTGAAAGTGTTTAAAAGAACGTTTTACACAGGTCTGCAATTACAGTGGGCTCTCATAGAAACGAAAATGCGAGGCGACAAGAGACAATTCATTTAACTAATTAAATATGCATACAGCCAGCATGTTTTTTGCGCCAGCTTCTGGCGAGGAACTGCGAGAACCTGCAGCGAGGCGGGCAACGTTTTCTTTTAATTTTCTTGTTGTCTTGTGTGTGGGGGCAGAGTAAAAGCTTTTGAAATGCTTATTAAAAGAGCATTATAACGTATATCTAATCGCACGCTCTGTCTCTTGTTTTTTTCTAGCTGCACAGTGGCAAATGCAAAACAACAATGAAATGCATGCTCAATGCAGAAAAGTGGCGCCAGAAATGGCAAACGCTGGCAGCAGGATCCGGCGGCAATTGTCAGCGACAGCAGCAGCAGCAACAAGAACAACAGCAACAAGTTGCTGGCATTCGTGTAAGGGCGACAAAACAATTGCCGCCGTTGTTATTGATGCTGATGCTGCTGCTGCTGCTGGCAGTTGAGCATGCAAATTCAACAACAGCGGCAACAACTTCAACGGCAACAGCAGCAACACGCCCAACGGGCACAGCAAATGCGCCAGCAACAGCAACAGCGACAACAACAGCAGCAGCAGCAGCAGCAGCAGCAACAGCAGCAGCAATCGCTGCGGCAGCGGCAACATCCTCCTCAATGGCCAGCTCCTGGCTAGGAGCAACTGCAGCCCAAGGCAATCCATTTAAAAACCTTGTGCGAATCGGCGATGGCAACATCGTCACGCGTGTAAGTAGCGGGTGGCTGGTTGAGTGGTGGGGTGGTTCGGTGGTTGGCTGCCTTAAGTATAATTCATCATTAGTCGCAATTAGCGCCAAGTGCAATTGCTATAATTGTGGCGATTGCAGCTGCGGATAACGCCTAGCTTGGTGTGCCTCGACTGCCAAGACTCAAACGACAACTAATTGTATTTGTACATTAATTGGCCGAATATTAAGTGAGCTTAGTTGCCACTAAATACGCCCCTCCCTCTCCCTCTCCTCTCCCAAAGCTCAATTTTCGCCTAACAAGCTGGATAGCCTGCGGCAATCGTGAAAATCGATTAGAAATTTGCTCTAGACTTTGCAGCTTGAGTTAAACTGAAATCTAATCTGCTTTATTGATGAGCACCACTTCTGAACAGTTTAGTGCTAAGGATTAAAAATTAAAGGCTACTTAATTAATTTGCACACAGAAAGTAGTCATAGAGGTCTCTAGGAACTCACAACTCTCAGCAATCTGTCTGCGATCTGTCTGCAATTCTTTATTTTATACTTTATGTAATAATCTGATATTGATTTAAGTTCTGATCAAATTGCTGCTCCGATTATTATTAAAGAAGTCTTAACTTAAAGTCTACGAGACTTAGGAATCAAACCTCCTAATGTTATTTTAAGCACAGCTAACTGTTCCAAGTTCAAAGACTTGTTTTTAGATATAATATCTGCAAGAAATAGATTCGATAATTATGATTAGACAAAATCAGTTAAGAATGGAAAAGGCAAATTAGCATTAAATGAAAATTAATTAAAGTAATTAACTAATGTCCGCCACGGGGCCTAGGCAATTCAATTTTAATTTTCATTCTCAAGCACTTAAGAGATCATCAGGCAAAACAAAGCAAAACCGAACAAAACAGAATAAAACAATAAGATGTCCGGTCTTGGTTTTGGGCCACTTTAACAATTTGATGCCAACAATGAGCAGCAAGGCAATTTAAAGTCAGCCGCTGTTGGCCAACTTTTAGTTGTGTAGAACAAAGCGCGGCCAATAACTCAATTTTCCACTCAAACGATGAAAAGACGAGGCTGACGTGAGGTGGGCAAAAGGCTGGCCAAAGCTGTTGCCCGGCGGCAGCTTTTGGGCCATGAATGTATTTAGCCAAAAATGTATTTTTAATGCGTTTGTCAACATGTTGACCAAGCAAATGATTTGGGTACGCCGTTTGGCCAGGTGCTGGTGCCGGTTGGCTGTTGGTACCTTTTGGGCATTTATAAATATCCGTAATGAATAGAGCTAACGCTTTTTTCTCCCTCGATTTCCACACAGACGGCCATTGAGCAATCGCTGGTGACAATACACGACATCGCCACCGAAAATCTGGGTACACTGTGCATCTCCACGCTTTATCGACCGCTCCAGGTGCCCATCAACTCGGAGCGGTTCGAGAGCAGCAGACAAAAGGCCGATTTGGCGGCATCGATACTCCAGGAAGTGGGCATCATACGGCATGGCGGTGAGTATCGCATAATCACAGCAATTACCCAAAATACATGCACTCACAAACACATACTTATTGTTGTGTATGTCACGCTTCAAAGCATCGGTTTGGGTTATTGTCTGATTAATATATTGATTTATATGTGCTAGCTTATTTAGCGGCTTTGTTAAGTAGCGTGCCGAGAAATTGGGACGCCGATTTGACCAATTAAATGGTTGGCAACAGCAACTACCTTTAATTATCAAGGGACACAGCTTAGTTTTCTTTATGGACTTGACAAAATATAATATAAGTTTTTTAAGAATCTAAACAATTGACTAGCACATGTTAAAATATATATATCACTTGTATAACTTCTTGTCAAATCTAACTGTTTGTCAATAAACATAAATTTAAGCTTGTCATATTTGTGATATATATTTAAATATGCAATGAATATATATTCATACATCTTTAATTTATTTCAATTCTTTCTATTCGTTGGTTGCATTTGTAAAGATTTAAGTGTCAAATTCTCTTAAGAAATTCATTTTAGTACTGCTCTGTTTTACAAAAATGGCGGACAAAAACAAGCTTCCTTTCGTCTGATATGAAAATTTAATAATTTGTCACAAGCCAGTTAACTATTTATGAAAAATAAAGGCAACAAATATGTTTAGGCCGTCTATATGACACTCATAAATTTCAAGCAGCATTTGTTTAACCCAACGCCTTTCTTTGCGCTTCTCAATCAAAGCATTTAAGGGCGCCAGGCAATTGATATCCTTTGAGTGCCAGCCTTTGGGTGTCTCCATCTAAAAAAATTGGCTTAAATTTATTCGATTTGCAAGAAGCTTTTCCCTCGAATAATTTATGCGAGACATGAAAATTTCAAGGACCCAGCAGATAGAGCAGCAGTTGATGATGTTACGATGGCGGCGGATGCTGCCAAATTCTATATAAAATTTACATATGTAGGTGTGTGTATCCACATCTATCCTGTTGCTTGCCGCCACAGCAGCAACAGCAACAACAACAACAACAAATGACAGCAAATTTGCTTTCAGTTTATGCGATTTTTGCTGACACGTCGCACCTTTTCAGAGCTGACATGGAGTGGCGGCTGTACATCGGTGAGGGCTCCGTGAATGCGGGAGGAGCATCAGTGTGCGCACAAATCAAGCGCTTGTCCAGGACACAAAGGCAACTGGTGTGCCTCAGCACTCAACAAGCAGTTGCTGTTGCTGTTCCTCTTCCTCTTGTTATTATCCTGCGACTCTGTGCGATGAGTTCATTGTGCGTCTGTTGTCCTTGACTGCGCAGCTATACACACACACACAGATAGATATACAGATAGATATACAGATATATATATATATATATATGTATTCATATACTACATACCGATAGCTCTGACCGCCTGTTGTCAAGGCTGCTGCTGCTGCTGCTGCTTCCCTTGACTGGGACCCGGCCGCGGATGGGGGTAGCGTATCGGGCGTTTTCCTCGCTTTTGGCGTGACAGCGCGCTGCGTCTGCCTTTGGGGCTGACAACGACGCACTTGTGGCGCATCAAACGTCCTGCCAGCGTCTGTGCCCTTGCCCTCGCCTTCGTCCTTTGCCTTACGCAACACGCATGCAGCTGGCGCTTGCTGCCAACCTCCCCTTTTGGTTGCCTTTTGGTGTCGCACACATAATGGTATTCTTACGCCCTTTTAAAGGGTATATTAAGTTGATCATTCAATGTGTAACCCATCTTCAATGCTCCTACATGTAAGCAAAATCTTATTAATATCGAATTACTACTATATCATAGAAATATGTATAGAGAATCGGTTGAAAACTGAAATATGTTTTGTTTCTCCTCGCATATCTACAAGCTCGCAAGTCACATGTTTGAAAGTGTATTTGATCTTCGGCTTGTCGCACTTTCTTGTTTAATTTGAAGTTGTGTTGTGCCCTTTTCATTCATCTCTGATTTAAGCAACGCCTTTATGTGTCCCATCAACTTTTACACGATAAACAAGCAAATGGACAGTGTGCTCTGATTTCTGTTGAATCAGTTAAGGGAATTTCACGCGAATAACAAGCATACGCAACGTTGTACAGCGACATATCAAACTCAAAGCAGAAGTGTTTCTTTTTATTACACATGAATATTTGTACAATAGTTGCACTTTATTGACAATAATATCTATGAAAATATATCACGTGCAATGTTGTTTACATATTCATTTTTTATCTGCCATCAATTTCATTTTGTAAACTCAACGAATTTTTGTTACAAAATAAAAAAAAAAACATGCAAACTGTGGTAAAAGGGAAACCAGTTTAATGCAATTTTTACCAACTATTTTGGTATTTATTTATATGCAAAAATGGCACGAAAAATTCCTTAATTGAAAAAAAAAACAGAAATCAAAGACTTTAATTGAATTTAGGTTTATTTATACAAAGTATGCGCACAATTTTAACCAATCAAATCTGAATGCAAGCAAATTTTTTGGTTATTTGGTTATTAAAAAACTAAAAACAAAAATAAACAAATAAGAGGCTCTAGTCGGGAGCTCCCGACTAGGGTATACCCTGAACCCTCTTCATCCAACATCAAATGCATATATATATTCTATTTTAGAAGCTATTTGTCAAGTTTGGTGACTCTAGCTCTTATTATTTAACAAAATTGCCCAAAAAACAGGATACAGGAAACAAACTCGATCTGCGCAGGCACTAGGAGCACCTTCAAGTCTCTAGCTCTTATAGGTTCGGACAACAGACAGACGGACGGACAGACAGACGGACATGGCTAGATCGACTCGGCTATTGGTGCTGATCAAGAATATATATACTTTTTGGGGGCCGGAGATGCTTTCTTCTGCCTGTTACATACATTTGGAATTTGCACAAATACATATACCCTTATACCCATTTTTAATGGGTTCAGGGTATAACAAGGTATATATATGTACGTGTGCCTTGACAGAGCTGCATATGCTGCATAATCATGGTCCGCAGGGCCATGAGATGAATAAAATCAGTGCCATAAGCGAAATTAAAAAGAAGTGCCAAAATAATCAAAATAAGAATACCAAACAAATATTTACTGATGTGCTCGCTGAGTAAGTACAAATTATATTGAAATTTTAATTAGTGGGAGACATGCGTACTTAGTATGTACATACCATATGTGTGTATGCATACATTTTTTTATGCCTGTGCATATGTCTGTACATAAATAAAAGCAAGAACAAAATTTTGTAAAAAATTGTATATTACATATTTATGTACATATATGTATATATATAAATATTAGCTTCTCTCTACTTTGCATATGAATATATACTTACGCATTTTTATGTATGTATACGAAGTAGAAAGAAACTAGCAACACTATGCAACAAAGTTGGGCTTTTGTCTGCGTTAAGGCTGGAACTTTAAAAATTTTAAATCAAATTTTTAATCAAAAAGTTGCCCATAAAAGAAATTATATGCTTTGTTTGCGCCCTTAATCTACTTTAAAAAAAGTAAGGGTGCAGCCTTACATCATTTTTGCTGTAATGAAAATTATATTTAAATAAACTGCATTCATTTAATTTTTTTGGCCAATCAATTAGGAAAACTAAATGAGAGCTAAATGAGAAAATCTCCGCGCGGAGATATGTCGCTCCAAAACGACATAATCTCGCCTTGATCAACGTTGGAGTTATGTCGTTTTCAAACGTCATATCTCCGCCGCTCTAAGAACGAAAATCAGACTATTTTTAGCTGAGAGTTGCTTTCTAACATAACATAATCTCGCGCAGATCAACGGCGAAGCTATGTCGACTCTTTCGAATTACTCACCTTAACTCCCAAAAAATTCCTCATAAAAAAACATCAGAATTTATTTATTTTTCAATATTTTTATTTTGTTTCATAACATCGAATTTTCGTTGCTTAATTATTATTTATATAGTTATTTAAAAAGATATATGTTTTACAGCATTTGAATATTTAGTGTTTATTTTATGTATCTACACTTAGAAGGTATTATCCGGCGTTGCCCAAGTAAGCTTTGTCTGGTCTTTTCCAGCTTTTTTCCTTCTGTCCTCCCTTTTGACAAGTTGTGACTGTATTTACCTGAAATGAAAAATATTTAATATATTAGAAAAAGAAAGTAAATGAGAACAGAAGATTGAAATAAACTACGACGGTGTTAAACGCACTCTGTAAAGAAAGAGACATTCCTTCTTACCAAAGTCTCCAACTTCTCCATAGGCCGTCCATTTAGCTTTTGAAGACGCAAATGTCATCGCAATTTTGGCATGATCAAGGGCAATACGCCAAAAAAGTTATTCAAAAAAGTGTACTTATCGAGTTCTTGTGCGTACTGCATATTTGCTTCAGACAAGATAATCGCTTTGATGCAGTCTAATATTCCGGAGCACAATAGGCATTTTTTAACGGATGCCACATTCGGGGACTTCAAGGAACTTTTAATAATTTACATGAAATATAGCAGAAGGTAACTTTTTTCTTTTTTTGTTTGTTTAATTTAATTTATTTATTGAAATTTCATTATTTAGATAAACCCATTTATATTTGTTTTGATGACGCGAAAAACGGAGCTCTGCTATCAGCATTTGTTTACATATATAGACTCCAGCATTTGTTGCTTAAATGTGGCATCATTCAAATATAATAATGCAAAATAATCAACTGGTTTTGAAAATATGCTTAAAAGCAATAAACAAGCTTATTTGCTGTTTATGAAATTTCTGCATTTACCGCTCCTACCAGAGAGTAAAATTGTCGAAGCCCTTAATCTACTGCAATGTCAAGCAATTGCTTTAAACAAGAATTTGTTTTCTCCGTTTTGAATATATTTTGAGAAGCAGTGTCAAGCAGTCAAAAGGTATTTTTCATGTCGAATTTGAATTTTGTTTTTAATTTTTTACTTTTATTTTAATTTTAAACTATTTATCATTTTAACTCTACATGTAGGAAGGACCTAAATACATATCGGCGAAGCATACAATTTGAAAACAAACTTCGAGCAAAAGGGCATGTTTTTTTAACTCTTCCAGTGTATTATTGATGCTGAATATGAAAAAAGGCGAATTCGCCACCGACGAAACAACTGTAAGTTGGCTAAAAATTTAATGAAAATTCTATATTTAAACTTTCTCTTTTGTTTTCAGGACCGCTCTCAAAAGATCATGGATTCTTTTTGACATGGAAGAAATTGATATGCAGGGCTTTTTGTCTCGCACTGTTACGCTAAATGAAGGACTTTCAAGGCAGAACCTGTTTGACTGGGACGATAAATCAAATATTTCCGGAATTTCGACCAATTTGTTGCCTACAATAAATCGAACTATGATTCTTTAAATGAAAAAACTAAACCTAAGTGTCTGAGCTGTAAACAATAAGTCGGATATGCAATACGTAATGTTTTTATTTACACTATAAAAAAATGTAACACCAACACCTGGTAATGGCAAACAGCCAATAAAATATGGAATAAATAAAATTAAATAAAAAATCATTTTGAAATGTCTTTGTTTTTACTCTGGGAACGTATTACTAATGCACACATGCATATGACCCTACATACATATGCATATATAAGCGTACTCCTGCGGAAGTATGTCGTTTTAGGATCGGCGAAGTTATATCGTTTTAAAGCGACATTATGGCGAGGTGTGGACAACGGCGGAATTATATCATATCTCTCGCCATGATCAACGTTGGAGTTATGTCGTTTTCAAACGTCATATCTCCAGCCGCACTAAAAACGAAAATCTCCGCGCGGAGATATGTCGCTCCAAAACGACATAATCTCGCCATGATTAACGTTGGAGTTATGTCGTTTTCAAACGTCATATCTCCCGCCGGTCTAAGAACAAAAATCTCCGCACGGAGATATGTCGCTCCAAAACGACATAATCTCGCCAAGAACGGCGGAGCTATGTCGTATTCAAACGTCATATCTCCGCGCGGATCAACGTTGGAGTTATGTCGTTTTCAAACGTCATATCTCCCGCCGCTTTAAAATCGAAACTCTTCGCGCGGAGATATGTCGTTTTTAAAACGACATAATCTCGCCATGATCAACGTTGGAGTTATGTCGTTTTCAAACGTCATATCTCCCGCCGGTCTAAGAACAAAAATCTCCGCACGGAGATATGTCGCTCCAAAACGACATAATCTCGCCATGATTAACGTTGGAGTTATGTCGTTTTCAAACGTCATATCTCCAGCCGGTCTAAGAACAAAAATCTCCGCACGGAGATATGTCGCTCCAAAACGACATAATCTCGCCAAGAACGGCGGAGCTATGTCGTATTCAAACGTCATATCTCCGCGCGGATCAACGTTGGAGTTATGTCGTTTTCAAACGTCATATCTCCCGCCGCTTTAAAATCGAAACTCTTCGCGCGGAGATATGTCGTTTTTAAAACGACATAATCTCGCCATGATCAACGTTGGAGTTATGTCGTTTTCAAACGTCATATCTCCCGCCGCTCTAAAAACAAAAATCTCCGCGCGGAGATATGTCGCTTCAAAACGATATAATCTCGCGCAGATCAACGGCGACTCTTTCGAATTACTCACCTTAACTGCCCAAAAAATTCCTCCCAAAAAGAACATGAGAATTAATTTATTTTTCAATATTTTTATTTTGTTTCATAACATCGAATTTTCATTGCTTAATTATTATTTATTTAGTTATTTAAAATATAGATATATGTTTTATATATAGATATATGTTTTACAGCATTTGAATATTTAGTTTTTATTTTATGTATCTACACTTAGAAGGTATTATCCGGCGTTGCCCATGTAAGCTTTGTCTGGTCTTTTCCAGCTTTTTTCATTCTGTCCTCCCTTTTGTCAAGTTGTGACTGTATTTACCTGAAATAAATAATATTTAATATATTAGAAAAAGTCATCGTTCAAAAAGAAGACAAAACGTGTTGTAATCGGACATTATTTGGCCGAGATACTCAAAAAAAATCATCAAAAAGGTGTACTTTACAAACGAATCGGTTTTTGGTCAACAACTTTTTTGAACCAACCGATTTGTAATTTGTTTGAATGCCATTTGATAGCAGGGATCCGTATTTATTGAAAAAGGTATAACATTTAAAAATTCAGACAATATTTACACGAGATATTCAAAAGAAATCATCAAAAAAGTTTTGATTTTCGAGCCAACTTCGATTTTGGCAAAAAACGTGATGTAACCCCTTGCCATTTGGTCAATTTTGGTCAAAATTTAGATATCCATTTTTTTGATGCCAATCGTTAGTACTGATCCTTACGAGTATAAAATGGTATACAATTCCAAAATCTGGCATTTTTTGGCTGAGATATTCCAAAAAATCATCATTGACTTTACAAACGAATCGGTTTTTGGTCAACAACTTTTTTGAACCAACCGATTTGTAATTTGTTTGAATGCCATTTGATAGTAGGGATCCGTATTTATTGAAAAAGGTATAACATTTAAAAATTCAGACAATATTTACACGAGATATTCAAAAGAAATCATCAAAAAAGTTTTGATTTTCGAGCCAACTTCGATTTTGGCAAAAAACGTGATGTAACCCCTTGCCATTTGGTCAATTTTGGTCAAAATTTAGATATCCATTTTTTTGAGGCCAATCGTTAGTACTGATCCTTACGAGTATAAAATGGTATACAATTCCAAAATCTGGCATTTTTTGGCTGAGATATTCCAAAAAATCATCATTGACTTTACAAACGAATCGGTTTTTGGTCAACAACTTTTTTTAGCCCATTGATATTTCAAATGTTTGAATGACAATTTATAGTAGGGATCCGTACAAATTCAAAAAGGTGTAAAATTACAAAATCGGACATTTTTTGGCCGAGATATTCAACAAAAATCATCAAAAAAGTTTTGATTTTCGAGCCGACTTCGATTTTGGCAAAAAACGTGATGTAACCCCTTGCCATTTTGACGATTTGGTTCAAAATTTAGATTTTTACCTTTTTAACCTAAACAACTTAATTTTCGACCGATCGTTCCTATGGCAGCTATATGATATAGTGGTCCGATCCAGCTGGGTTTGACATATGTGCTGCGTGCAACAGAAAGAGATACTTCTGCAAAGTTTCATAAAGATAGCTTTAAAACTGAAGGACTAATTCGTATAGAAACAGACAGAAGGACAGACGGTCGAGCGGACAGACGGACATGGCTATAACGACTCGGCTGTTGATGCTGATCAAGAATATATATACTTTATGGGGTCGGACATGTCTCCTTCTATGCGTTACACATTTCACGACAAAATTATAATACCCTCTGCAAGTGTATAACAAGTACGAGGTTCTAGTCGGGAGCTCCCGACTAGGGGATACCCTGAACCCTTTTCATCCAACATCAAATGCATATATATATTCTATTTTAGAAGCTATATGTCAAGTTTGGTGACTTTAGCTCTTATTATTTACCAAAATTGCCCAAAAAACGGGATATCGACATCGATAACGATTGCTTGGACACGGAGTAAGTTATCGATTATCGGAAACAAACTCGATCTGCGCAGGCACTGAGATCCTTGCGTTCATACATACGGACGGACGGACGGACAGACAGACGGACATGGCAGGATCGAGTCGGCTATTGGTGCTGATCAAGAATATATATACTTTATGGGGTCGGAGATGCATCCTTCTGCCTGTTACATACATTTGGATTTTGCACAAATACAATATACCCTTATACCCATTTTTAATGGGTTCAGGGTATAAAAATGGCATTTAAATGGTTTTCTGGCAAACCGAATGTCTGGTAAATTTAATTACTCAGCCGAGAACAAAGACACACACACACACACACCTTGGAAAAATACACACCAAAAATCTTGTGGGTGTGTGCAAGTTGAATAATTGACAATTTTACATAGAGCTAAGCAAAAGTTTTGTGCCAAAAACAAATTGGACACAATTGTGCAAGTTGTGCATGTTTATGTCTGACACCTACACACAAAACACTTGCAACACTTGGCAGCAGGCGCACACACACACACACACTCCACTCTCTTCGGTGGCCATAAATTCTGAAGCTAAAGATTGATGATGCGAACCGAGTGCAAGAAATCGCACGCAGATGATGAATGACAAGCATGGCTATAACACATACGACTACAACTAGAACAGAGTGTGCCTGTATATGTGTGTGTGTGTGTGTGTGTGTGTGCTGTGTTAGGTGAGCGTCTAAGCCGGCTGACAGGCATTGGCTAATGTTGTTTACCATAAGGTTAGCCTGCCACAATTTCAGGCTGCCTGCCACATTCGCATCCGTCGCAAATGTTTGAACTTGTGGCAACACTTTGACGCAACTTGGCCTGAGGAACGTTGTGTTTATGGTGAGACCAACTACGTCCGCCCACGACTGTCACGACTGTCCATAGCTCACTTGCAACGCCCGCACAAGAAACTTGCCACACTTGCCGCCGTCTGCCGCGTATTTGCTTTATGGGCCGGCAACAAAGCAGAAACAACTCTAAAGCAGCAGTGGCAAGGCATGCTACATACTAATCAAAATATATAAATAAGGACAATCTTCCGAGAGTCGAAGCCAAAATACCCTACAGTATAACAATATAACACTATGGAAGACCTTGGCAAATGGGCAATATTGAATTGTAGTTCATTTTGTTCATTTGTAGAACAATTTTGTTTATTCTTTAACTATTTCATAAATACTTTTACAAGTATTCAAAATTAATTCAAGTGCTGGATTTGTATTGTATTTCTTAGCCAGACCTCAATGAATTCCTTTCTCAGTATTGCCACAGACTCTCTTAGTTTATAATCGACGAAAACAAAGTTAAATTGGAGTAATCATACCCGCTGTAAGAGTATATTTAAGAAATGGGGCACGCAGAGAAAGTGCCACGGAAGTTGCGCTAATCGAATTTAAATAAGTTTACTTTGTAAACAGTTTGTGCTTTTGTTTCCGCTCGCTTCGCAGCGCTCGGAACAAGTCAAACAGAAATGCGGCTGCCCAGGCAAGTGCGGCAGAAAAAATATTAACTTTTGACAACCAGACCCCCCATCCCGCACTGCCACCCATCCACCCTTCCATCCATCCCACAACGACCCTGCACACTGAGCAAGCTGGTCAGAGGGCTGCGGGTGCTGGGGTGCGGGGGGCGCGGTAGCTGTGCACCCGTCGCGCATATTAATCATTGCTGCCGGAGCTGCCGACATTTTTTTATACCAAGGGCAGTTTCAGTGTTTCTTTTAATGGGCTTTTGCCACAGCACAAAACTATTTCAAGGTCAGCAACGCGATGATAGTTGAGCCTAAATTAAATGTACCAGCAAATTTTTGTAATTTCCGCAATTAAACATTCGGGTATATTTTAATGCACAACATTGCCCGGACTTTAAATTGATTACATGTTTATACACATAAAATTAAACCTACTTGCAATGACAGTTACTTACTTTTATTAAATACGTAAAAGCACATTTGCTGATTAAACATTTCAAATATATTGTTTGAACAATGAATTCAACATTTTTAATTACTTTGCATTTTACAATAAAATTCCTTTTACAACTTGCATATGTTTTTTGCGATCTTCGACTATGCAAAAATAATCGATACTCCCAAACTCAACACTCAATGGAATGAGTAGCTACAGTTTTCGCTGCGGCGGCGAATTGCGAAACTGTAAACAACAAAAGACAAACAAAATTTCGCCAGTTTAATGAGAAGACCAGCCGAAAGAGCTGGCCGTTAGTTGAGTTTCGCCGTAAAAGCAAGGCAAATAGTATTCCAATTAGGCAAAAGTAATCAGCGTCCCCCCGACGTATCACGGCGAAAAACGCGAATGGCGAATCAGCGAAGGCGAATTGCGCAGTGCTTATCAGCAAAAATGCTGGCGCTGGGAAAGGGGTAAAGGGAGAAGTTAATTATTCAATAACGCATTGGCATGCATCCAAATTGAAACGAGAGAAAACACGTTTATCGCAGCTGAATAAAGAAATAATTAAAATTGAAACGTTTGTTAAACCAATTAATCGCCGTAAGTGAAATTTTAATGAGTATGTCTGCTGTCCGTCTGTTTATTCGACTATGTCTGGTTGTACGTTTCCATGTTTCCGCATTTCATTTCCTCATTTCCGTAGCAGATTTTAAATTATTTTCATTTCACTTGCGCGCTGACCCACATTCAAACACACACACACACACACACACATATTTGCCTTTAATATTGCCAACATATTTTTATAGGGCTCTCGGATGCGCTGGCCAAGGGCTTGCTCACGGATGAATACATAAATGGTGCACGCATTTTAGCTTTGAACCTAACCAACGGCGCGGTTCAGTCCTACGTCTGGTGGGTGAAGAGCGGTCACGAGACGCAGCGCTACGAGGAGGAGGGCCTGCAAATTGGCAAAAAGCCTGCTCACAGTTATCCCTGGTAAGTGGAAAGCACCATAATTATTGCCTTTCTGCGATGTATACCCTGTATGCATGGACTTTGGCTATAATAAAAGGGTGTCTTCAAGTTGAGTGAGTGTATATAACAATCAACGTCTGTCTCTCCATTGCCTTAAGAGCTGTAGAGCTCAAGTTTCCCTAGAGGGTAGAGGGTATCAGCTAGTCAATCATTCTCGGTATAAATCAATCAAAGGGTATCGCCAGGCCGGGCGAGTGTATATAACAGGCATCTTCTGTCTCTTCATTGAAATAAGAGATATACCCGAAAGAGAGTAAAGGGTATCAGCTAGTCAATCATTCTCGGCATGAATCAATCAATGGGTATCGCCAAGCCGGGCGAGTGTATATAACAGGCAACGTCTGTCTTTAATTTGTATGAAAGCTAACGACCTTGTGTTTCCCTAGAGTGTAGAGGGTATCAGCTAGTCAATCATTCTCGCCTAACTTTGCTTTGCCTATTTTGACAGGTTTGATGACGAGAGCAGCACACCGACATTGCGCTCCCCGAAATTTGCGCCGAGCCCGCCGAATAACTACTACAAGGGCTGGTGGACCTACCCGTACTTCTCGTGCGCGCTGAGCAAGTGGCTCGTCTCGTACAGCATCGCCATACCGCCGAGTGGACGGCACGGGTTGCGCGGCTTCATCAGCGTGGACATCGATGTGACCTCGCTGCGGGTCAACCAGTGCGACGCGTCGCCGTATCGCTTCGGCAACCAGCAACAGCTGCTGATGCGGCAGAGGCAGCCGGCGCGGCGCGCCACGGCAGCAGCCGCCGCCTTGGGAAGTGCCAATGATGTGGACACCATAAATGATTTGCAGGCGTTTCACAGCTCGCACAAATGCCATCGCGCCTCCATGGTGGTAAGTCCAAGATTGTCGCAGCTCTGATTTAATTAATTAACCATTGACTGCAGTGCGACTATCGCCAGCCGAGCGCGGAGGCGCCGACAATAAGCAGCGGCAAAATATTGGCGGCCATGTCCGGCAGCAGCTGGTCACGTGGCGCCTATCAATGCCTGTGCAAGCGCGGCTTTTATTCGCTGCGGCATCCGGATGGCTTTAACGGCACCATCATGGAGATTGCCTGGCAGGAGCATCAGGACAATATAAGCAATTACTATACGGACGTATTCAAGTGTTTGCCTTGCGCACCCGGCTGCGACACCTGCACCGGGCCCGAGCCCTGCCTGGCCAACTATCATTGGCCATTCAGGTGAGTTTGGACTAGACCATCTATGGTCTATATAATATATTTAATCTGCCCACACAGAATATCCCTGCTGACCATTTCGATTGGGTGCGCCTGCGGCACATTTGTGCTGCTGTGCTATCTGTTCCGACATCGGCGGGTCAAAGTCTTCAAGGTGGCCAGTCCCATATTCCTGATGATCACGCTCATCGGCTGTGCCATTATGTATCTGGAGGTGAGTTGTTAACCCATTTTGAGAGTGCGCCTTTCACTCGGCCTGCTACTTAACCCATTAAATGCCGTGCAACACACAAAGGCCATTACGAATGAATGAGACGACAATGGCAGCTGCTGCTAATGTGACAAAAGGTCTCATTTACAATTGACCCACATGTTAGAGCCCGTCCCGAACAGCGCAAGCTCCACCTGTGGCAAACGCAACATAAAACTCCTGTTTATGGCCTTTTAAATGCGGCTTTTAGGAACTTGCCTGTGTGGCGGCATTTGAGCTTTTAATACTACGTTTGTAACTGCAAAGGGTTAATGAAATTGTGGCTAACTGATAAAATAGGTTTACCTTGAAGTGCTTTTAAACTGTTAGTTTTATGTGGCTGAAATGTTAAAATAACAGCATGTCTACTATTTAACATAGAAGTAACAGCTTATTAAACATAGTTAACAGATGTAAAAAAGCATAGCGTACCAAATGTAAATAACAGAATATCATTTTATCGCAGCCACTTAACATTCACTGTTATTAAAAGTTAAACAGCATACGAAAAGAACAGCTTGTAGCTGACATAGATTGCTTAGATAAGCACAGCGCGACATTTTCAGCTTAGAAGATACGTTTAGAACTATGAATCCTATATGGAATATTATTTATAAGATATTTTTTAATATCTTCATAAATATTAGCTCTCTTATTATAGAAGTGTAATCTATTCTGCGTGCACGCAAGGGTATACAATCATTAGCTAAATATTCACAAGTTCTCCTCGTATTGTTTACAATTATGCTGTCAACATAGCCAAACGACAATGGAAGCCCCACCGGACACATAAATGCCGTGAGAACAATGGCCAACTTAGGAGTAACACTAAGCGGCAAGCACAACAAATGGGTTAAGAGGTTGTTTGGGCGGGTTGGGAGCGGTTGTTATGGCAGCCTTGGGAGCTTCAAAGCGTATCGTATACTAATAAATGTAACTGATTTTCTAATCAGAGTTTGTTTGAGTGTAAAATAAAGGAGCATAAAATCTGTAGCATGAGCGACAACAAACGAACAACGGAGCGTGGCGGAAATTTGCCCCATCCCAGCGAGAGCGAAAACGAGAGCGAGGATGAGGCAGCCATGCAGGCCGCACTACGTGAAATGGTTAAGATACCAGATATTGAGCCGCGGCAGACTCGAACGAGCCATCGTGAAGAGCCACGTCATATTGTAAACCCGATGGATAATCTTAAAAAGAACGCATCGGCAGAAACGCAAGATAGGTGGGTCAAGACTGTGTCCGATGTGGGACTTCAGTCGGGAACCTCTGCGCTAACTGGCGACAAAGACGTTAGGGCATTGCGCAAGATCAGGCAGAAGACACAATACGACCAGCCAAAGCAATCGGAGAAGTTGAGGGGAGCCCAGGACGAGGTTCCCAAGCAGTCGGAAACCTGGGGAGAGAGGCTCAAGAAAAAAGGAACCGAAGAATCTCCCAAGCGGTCCGAGACTTGGGCAGATAAACTCAAGAAGAGCAGCACCGAGCTAGTTGCCAAGCCCTCGACAAATATACACAAAAAGAAGGCCACCGAGGAGGCATCCAAGCAGTCAGAGACTTGGGCTGATAAGCTTAAGAAGCGAACCGCGGAAGCACCCCAGCAATCCGAGACTTGGGGAGAGAAGCTGAAGAAAAAGCCCAGCGAAGCGGTACCCAAGCCTAATGACACCTGGGCCGACAGGCTCAAAACGTCAGACACAAGCAAAAATGTGATGCAACCAGCTTACGTTCAGATTACTTCTCTAGCGGAGCTGCCGGAGCGGATAACGCCAGAAGAGCAGCAAAGATTGCAGCGCATTGAAGCTGCCTCCAAGCCCAAATCCTATTATCAGGATAAGGCACAGAAGGAAGCCAAGGCACAGAACGAAGCAGAGCTCGTGATCCGCAGCCAAACGCCAGTTAAAGAGGCATCCCCGGTGGAGGCAGTCAAGCCCGTGCCATCAACCCAGCCAGCTGAGCAGGAACGACAACCGGGCTGCATAAACATTCTGACGGTGCCAATTCGACGGGCTCTGAACTACGAGCCAGGCAATGGACAGCCGACCAGTGAAGACATGATAACGCCAAGGCCACAGGAGCAGAAGCCAAGTATTTTTAATAATATACCTCAATTTGGTCGAGATAGACAGGACGCAACTGAACCAGTTACTGAGAGCGTGGCCACGAGTGCAGCTGGTCAGCTGGAGTCTGCTGATCCGAAGGATAAGAAGGCAACGGCCGCTTTTTTTGCAAATCCGCCTTCGTTCAGTAGAGCTAGACCAGCGATAAATGATCCTGCGTCGACTGCGGAGGCAATGAACACCAATTTAGCTCAAGAGTCTGCGACTAACACAACTTATTCAGACGCGGCCCAAGAAACGGTGAACTCCTTAATAGAGAAGACATCCGCTGCACTTCTTAGCCATATAAATATACTCGGACGAGCTGTTAAAGCTGTTAATGAAGTCCGAACAGCATCTGCTGAACCCGTGGCCAACAGTTCAGATACTCTCGGAGAAGCTGCCGATGACAAAACAGCTGCGCAGACCACAGCACCATCTGCCTTTGTCGGCAGTTTGCCATTTTTCGGACTAGCTCAACCAGCCCCGAACTCCAGCCCAGCGTCCGAGGAAACAGCAGACCCAATGAAGACGGATGTTGATACAGAACTCCTACTGCCTGATAAAGCTAAGCCAATCTCAAATGCGACTCCAGGTTCTGCGGAGGTGATAGCCAACAATTTCTTAACGAATTTTCCGCCGCTTGGACGAGCTAACCCTACGCCCACTGAAGCGCCAACAACTTTTACAAACGTAGACGGCAGCTCCACTAATCTTGATGAGTCAGTGACTGCAAGGACAGCTGAACCTGAAACTCCAACGTCTGGAACAGGAGAGCAGTCGCTAGATGACTTTTTAACACAACTTCCACCGATTGGTCGACCTAGGCCAGTCACAAATGAAGCAACAGCCGCAGCTAGCAGCTCGGCCAATCGGGTTGGTAATGTGCCCGAAGAAACAGCTCCCGCAACTAATCCAGCAGCTGGCACCGAAAAAACTCCAAAGCAGCCAACAGCAACTTTTTTTTCACGTTTTGCACACTTTGGACGAGCTAGAGCCGTGTCAAGTGAAAAGCCAGCGTCTGCCAGAGCAGAGCCAGAACCCGACCCAAAAGGTGATCGGGTCATTTCTATGGATGCAATTGCTCCTAATCTTCGCCTGGAAACGCCAGCTGATAAGGAGATGACTCCAACTACAAGTATACCTCAATTAATTACCGAAAACGTGGCTCAAAGCGAGGACATGGCAGAAGATATCCAGGCAGTTGGTGCCTCAAGCTCCGCTCTGCCAATTAGCGACACCATCAGCTCGAGCTGTGTGCGTGCCCGTGCGCCCAAAGAGGCTGGCGCTGCGCTGCGTCAGGTGGTTACCGCTAGCCAGGTGCCACCTATTCCATATGGCGCTGTCAAGACTTCATCTAGTCCAGGCTTTACGCCTTCTACAACTATGCCGCCAGCCGAGGAACAGGGTGCGGATAAGGGCAGAGCTGAAGTCGCCGATTCGCCCGACAAGAATTCCTTGACAAGCAACTTGATGCGTTACCTATTTCCGGGATCACAGGATGCTGTGGCTGAGCCTAACCTGGCCAAAGATACGGTGCATCCCTTGACGGAGAACAGTCGCATGCCGAGCGAAGTGATCGTTGTGGATAAAGTGGATAAGGCCAGGGACAAGGAGAAGGAGGAGAAGACCGGCCAACTGGAGCACTCGGAATCGATGCGCACCCTGACCATCATTGGACGCCACTCGCACATAACGACCACCTATCGGGATCACTGCCACTACGAGCGTCATGAGGGCATGGACAAGAGGGCCAGGCGCAAGCTGATCGTGGCCAGCATCCTGTGCCTATCCTTTATGATTTGCGAGATCATTGGCGGCATACTCTCACGCAGCCTGGCTATAGCCACAGATGCCGCTCATCTCTTGACCGATCTGGCGGGCTTCCTCATTTCGCTGTTTGCCCTGTATCTGAGCGCCCGCCCCTCGACGCAGCGCTTGAACTTTGGCTGGTATCGCGCCGAGGTGATTGGCGCCATGCTCTCCGTCTACTTCATCTGGGTGATTACGGGCATACTTGTCTGGCTGGCCGTGGACAGACTGATCACGGGCAAACACGATGTGAACGCCAACATAATGTTGATTACCTCCGCCTTGGCGATTGTTGTCAATTTCATTATGGCAATCCAATTGGGCCATGGTCATTCGCATGGCGGTCACTCGTCCGCCCAGGCCAATCGGGAGCCCCGGCTGCACACGCATGCCTCCCACCAGACGGCCATTGAGGACACCAGCAAGGCGCAACATCTGATGCCAGTCTCAGTATCCAGGCAATGCACGGACCACCCTGCTGAGAACATAAATGTGAGAGCAGCATATATCCATGTGGTTGGCGATATAATTCAGAGCTTTGGCGTCTTTCTGGCCGCCTGCATTATTTTCTTCAAGCCCGAATGGGCGTTTGTCGACTCCATTTGCACGTTTGTCTTCTCGTTCATTGTCCTGCTGGTCACGCTGCGCATCCTCAGGGATGTTCTGATGGTGCTCATGGAGGCCACGCCCGATTATATGGACTATGGCGAGGTGCAGCGCACGTTCCTTAGCATCGAAGGAGTCGAGCATGTCCACAATTTACGCATCTGGGCGCTGAGCATCAATAAGATAGCGCTCTCCGCCCATTTGGCCATCAGCAAGGATGCCGATCCTCAGATCATTCTGGAAAAGGCCACCACGCTGATCCACAAGCGTTACAACTTCTTTGAGACCACCATACAGATCGAGGAGTACACTCCGGGCATGGAGGACTGCAATCAGTGCATGACGCCGCTTACCAGGCCATCGCTAAAGGAAGCACCTGTCGCAGCTACCGTGAAGTCCAATAGGAACAGCAAGCAAGGTGATTATGAAGATTCAAAGAGGAGCAGCCAGCTGAGTGACTATGAGGATTCAAAGAGAAGCAACAAGCGTAGCGCGGATGAAGATTTCAATAGAAGCGGCAAGCTTGGTGGCAACGAGGATTCAAAAAGGAACAGCAAGCGAAGCGGCGATGAAGGATCAAAGAGGAGCAGCAAGCAAAGTGGAAATGAGGATTCAAAAAAGAGCAGCAAGCCTAGTGGAAATGAAGATTCAAACAATGAGGAACCACCAAGGTCGTCGCAGGGAAAAATAAAAAGTGGAGCTAGAACTTCTACCTAATTTGTCTTTCAACGGATTTGTGCTGTATTTAAACGATTTAGTGATTTTTTATGATAAAGAAATTTGTAGATGCAGTTAAAATGGAACCAGCAATAGACTTAATTGGAGCTAGTTCAGTTTTGACTAACTAACTAGTTCACTTGTAAATCACTTTAAACGTCGCATTGACAAATTTGTAGCTGCAGCTAAAATGGAACTAGCAATAGACTTAATTAGAACTAGTTCAGTATTGAGACTAACTAGTTAATTTTGTGAACCACTTTTGAAGTCGTTTTCTACTTGACAATACACAATCCGGGAGTTTGAACCCCAAGAGTTTGATTAATGTTATATGAAATTAATATATTGCGAGCTCAAGTTCCTCTTTGCTCAAATTGCTTCCAAAGAGGAAGGTGGGCTTTTCCAGCCATTGACCGAGCCGCCTGTCAACTGCCTTCCGGGCATATCCGCTGTCAACTTAAAGGCACTTTGAGTGGCAGCTCCTGGCTCCTGTTCCTTTAATTAAAGTGGGAGAGTCGTTATAAATCCAAATCATATCCTTTTTCAAATTTTACAGATGGTCGCAATTTTTCCATACCTGGACACCACCTGGTGCATTGCCACCAAGTGGACGCGTCACATGGGCTTCTGCATTACCTACACCTCGCTGCTGATGAAGACCTGGCGGTGAGTTGATCCGAGACCTGCCTCTTTCTCTCTCTCTCTCTCTTAATCAGTGCCTTCTTTGCTCTCAGCGTGTCCTTGACATATCGCGTCAAGTCGGCCCATAAGATCAAGCTGAACGACCAGCAGCTGCTGCAGTGGATGGTGCCCATATTGCTCGTAATGCTCATCTATCTGGGCACTTGGACTATTTCGGCCACGCCCTATGCCGAGGTGGTAAGTACAAGTAATCGAGAAACGCCTAAATGAAAGGATTTTACGTAGATATTTCAAAGTCCTGATTGATTAAATTTGATAAAAATTACGAACTCGTTAGATACCTATCTTCTGTAATCCTTATTTAACCTTTAAAACCTTTATATAATTCAAATATTTCAATCAATTTGTTTCTTTTGATTTTACATAGATATTTCAAAGTCCTGATTCATTGGATATTCTGTTTACAGATTACAAAGTTTTTAGATTTCTTCTGTTATCCTTAGCTTTATCTTTTTTCCTTTACATAATTATATAAATCAAATTTTACAAAAGCATTTTTTTCTTTCATTAACATATTAAATTCCCATTTGCCACTTCTAACTATGTTAACTAAATATTTTCTATATTTTAATTTTATATACCTTATAATGCATTAAAATCTCATCACATGTTTTTTCCGATTATCAACTTGGATATTGTTCATCCTGTTTCCAGTTTCTTCTCAAACAGTTTATTAGCTCTTTTCACATCCTTTTCTTCCATACAGATCTACGATCAACATCATCTAAAGTTCAAGCAATGCTCGTACAATTGGTGGGATCACAGTTTGGCCATTGGCGAGGTCTTCTTTCTGGCCTGGGGCATACGGGTCTGTTACAATGTCCGCAACGCGGAGAGTCTCTACAATGAGGCGCGTCTCATCTCTTATGCCATCTACAACATTGCCATCGTGAACATTGCCATGGTTGCGTTTCAGTAAGTCTTCCACCAGCTGTCACATCTATGGAATATATTTAGCTTTATTCTGATTAAAGAGGTTGACAGAGATTGATTAAATCTGATTGATCATGAACCTCAGCTAAAACCGGATTAGCTGCCGCGCCCGAACCCTTTTTCATTTGGCTTGATATATGTAGAAGACGAGGCATTGGTTCGAACCGTGAGCCGAGCTGGGCTTGCAGCCTTGGTTGTTTTCTTGGGTAATCCCTAGCCATCTGCTAGCACATCATGTCCACAATTTCGCAATGCCCGTTTTAATTAAATTCCTTTGCTTTGTGCGCGCGCGCGTTTCCGTTGTAATCCTTTTTGTCGGTCTGCAAGGACATGCTCCCCGCTCCGTCTGCCCGCCTGCTTGGTCGACCGTCTGTCTGGCCGTCTTCCTGTCCGTTTGTTTCTTACTCGCCGCATTTTGTTTACATCGGCATTCCACGGATTTCTTTGCCAAGTTATACGTTCAGCGCGGGCTTCCTGCCAACTTCTGCCCGCTCCCGGCGCTCTTCTGAGGGTTTAGGCTTACGGTTACGCAAGGTTAAGATTCGGTTAAGAGCTAAAACATTTGGGACAACTGTTTGTCCGGACTGATTAACTGACTGTCGCTCTGAGCAAACTTTAAGTTTCTCTCTACTCTACTCTCTCTACTAAAAAGGGGAACAAAAGAGGAATAAGGGACTCTAAGGTACTTAGCTTTTAAATTTTCCTCCAACTGGCTTCAAACTCAATTGCAAAGCTGTTCTTGGACCGGGCAAAGCCGGGTAATATCTGACAGTGAAGAATGTTTGACACCCAAGATAAAACTAGATGATCCAAACAAAATATATAGTATTATCGGTAATTAACCAAGCCTTAGATATCTGGCTTACCCTTTGCCTTACCTCTGACACTCCTCTATCATTTAAATTCTCTGCCCTTTAGTGTAATGCTCTTTCCGAATGCTGGACCCGATTACAAATACATGCTGGGCTTTGTGCGCACCCAGCTATCCACGACGACGACCATTGCCCTGGTCTTTGGTCCGAAAATTGCACGTGTTCTCAAGGGCCAGGGCGACAAATGGGATCAGAAGGCCAAGGTGCGCAGCATAACCGCATCCTTTTCGCTCAACGGCGTTGGCCTGGTGCCCGAAGAGTCGCCCGATCTGTACCAGGAGAACGAGGAACTCAAAGTAAGCAATCTAATCAATTAGTATTTTAACCATACCTTAACGTTTACACACGTTTTTGCAGGAGCAAATCCAGAAGCTGGCCCACCAAATCGAGTTCATGAAGACTGTGCACATGCAGATGAATAACCGGCATCTAAAACCAAAACCCGGTGGCTACTTTACCATCACATCGACCTCGTTCCAGGCGCCCTACAGCAAGAACACGGTGTCCACGGCGCAAACCCAAACCGGCAAGGAGGACTCCAGCGGGTGGGTAGTCAATCTCTCGATTAGGCTGCATTTTATATATTTTCTTTTTTATCTTATATTCTAAGGATTACTTTTTCAGCTAATTAAATTAAAGTTGTTATTGTGCTTAAGCATAAAGCTCTAGTCCCACACAATTAATCACAAATCTGTCTAAAGATTTCCTAATAATTTCCATAAATTACATCCGCTTTGTAGGTTTACCGGAAATGCGACGCCTTCGAAATGCAAATCGCCGAAGGGCAAAGTCTGACGCGGTCAACGAAGTGTTAAAGATTGCTCAATAAATGTTGTTGATAAGCATGGAAGGGTCGTAGAGGAGGCAATTGATTTTAGTTTCTACCAAGCAGAAGCAGCAGAGCAGCAGGAGCAACTGGAATCGGAGCTAGAGGGGCAGGAACACACGGAACTGGGTAATGAGGCCGAATTGCTGCGCCAATTTCATCGACTCTTTGCGCCCATTGTGGACGACAGCCTGCAGCTGTATTACGAGCTAAATAACCAACTGGACAAGGCGGAGGATGGGGATGTGCAGCACATACGCATACATCGCACCGTGGCGGAGCTGAACGAGCTGACCAGCAGCGAGGAGGAGGAAGCGACGCTAATCACACAGCTCCACTCGCAGCAGGCGGAGCAACAACAACCGCCGGCAACGCCCAGCAGCAGCAGCAACTCCATATCGTCCACATCGAGCAGCTGTTTGTATGCCATACACACGCCTCCGCCGCCGGCGCAATCGCCGCCGTCTGTGTCCAGTGAGCCGCAGACCCTGACGGAGCATGTGCAGGTGCATGGCCACAACAACAATGAGGAGGAGGAGCTGGAGCCGGATGAGGAGGAGCCCAGCAGCAGTAACAATAACAATAACAACAACAACACCTCCTGCTCATTGTCCTCCACGCTGACGGATAGCAAGACCTTGGATGCACGCACGCCCATTGTGGTTTAGGATACCGATCTGCTTTCTGCTTCCATTTGTGACAACAACAACTGCAACAACAACAGTAGTTCGCTTAATGTTTAAACTAGACTTAAATAATGTTTGTGTATATGTCTCTGTCTATCTGTCTGTCTGTCTGTCTGTCAAATAGTTTAGCTGGATGCGTTTATGCGTGGCAGAGATTCGTGCCAAGAAAGCCCAACGATGCAATTTTTTATCATTTGAAAGTTGGACTTTTATGACTTTTGCTCTACATTCCATTTAATTTAATAATTTAGTAACAAAAAGTCAAATAAATACTTAATTTTTTTGAATTTATAATTCAATTATTTTCTGATCTCGATCTAGGCGACGCATAATCGCATTCGGCGCGCTTCGAATTCCTAAAATTAATTGTATTTCTGTTCAGCTTCTTAAACATACGCCCAGTTTTAATCGGTTTTCAAACATATTTTTGATCATCCATCAGCAGAACCAAAAAGGAAAAAAAAAAAGAAAAGCAAACATTGAGCAAACTTTTTTCACTTCGTTCGGATTGTGAAGGAAGAATTTGGTGGATTTACTGGCCTTGTAGAAGGTCATTTGGTAGAGCTCATAGAGCTATGCCCTAGGGCTTAGCCTGATTTTTCATAATTTCTCTCATGCACCTTAGCATAAAGTAATTTATTATTTCGACGCACTCACTCACAGTACTTTGTTGCCATTCGGTTTAGTGCTCTTTAAACTCTAAGTAATTAGTCAAAATTAATTTACTTAACTCAACATAAATCTACTTATATGCGGTATACATAAAAACTTAAGGTTAGCAAAAAGAGTCGATTTTAGTGTAATTGGTAAAGGCATAACATAACTAATAAAAAAAATATAAAATTAAAACTTTTGAATTTTAGCGTACAATTTTTAAAAATAAACAAAAAAAAAGTGTTAACAGGCGCGCAATTTTTCAGATATAGAGTTGGGCTTAACGTCAGAAAAAACCCTTACGACAAATTATACAATTAATTAACAGTTAAGTTAATGTTAACTTTAACGTATACATATTGAACACAAAATCAAAAATTGCAAAAATAAATGTTATAAAATAAAGAATATGAATTGATGTTTTCCTTTTTATGCATAAACCCTCAGAAGGGCTATCTGCGGCACACCGAAGACTTAATAGACTTTTCGGCCGATCGTTCCTATGGAAGCTATATGATATAGTAGTCCGATGTTGACCGAATTTGGCATATATATATGAGGAGCATTGTAAAACTAATAAATGCCGAAAAATGTTTTTTCATTAAAAAACTTAATTTTCGACCGATCGTTCCTATGGCAGCTATATGATATAGTAGTCCGATATAAATAAAACTTCGCTTAAATGTAGGGAACATAGTGAGATCTGTAAATGCCGAGTTTGGTCAAGATATCTTGATTAACAAAAAAGTTTTTCATACAACAACTTAATTTTCGACCGATCGTTCCTATGGCAGCTATATGATATAGTAGTCCGATATAAATAAAACTTCGCTTAAATGTAGGGACCATAGTAAGATCTGTAAATGCCGAGTTTGGACAAGATATCTTGAAAAACAAAAAAGTTTTTCATACAACAACTCAATTTTCGACCGATCGTAACTATGCCATCTGATATATGTACTGCGTACAACAGAAAGGGGCACTTCTTCAAAGTTTCATAGAGATAGCATTAAAACTGAGAGACAGCCAGACGGACTCGGCTGTTGATATTGATCAAGAATATATATACCTTATGGGGTCGGAGATATCTCCTTCTATGCGTTACACATATCACGACAAAATTGTTTTATCCTTAGCAAGGGTATTAAAATGTAATTATTATTTGAATATTTATTAACCTCTTATTGATTTTTTTTTATATAGACTTCTGAGATTGCGGACACTCCGCCTAAAAACTATTTAGATATTTTCTGACTGGACTTTGCGTAACATAAAGAAAAAACAATTATTATTTCTAAAGGAAACCTTTTCCCAATATTCGTCGAAATCAAACCAGAACATTTCGATTTTCGCAGTTAAAAACAAAACTAAAAATTGATATTGTATGGATAGATTTTTGTTTTATGGATAATACATTTTTATCGTTTTATAATCTTTAGCATTTCAAATCATATAATACGCCGATAATTACATTTGTTTTGGCTAAGCAGTATAAAAGCAGAGAGTTAAATATCAGAGTCTATCGTAAAGAAAAATTAATTTTGATCTAGCACTTTTTTGCATCATCTGCGCAGCCTTGCCGGGCACTTTGCATTCCACCTGGAGTGGTCCAGCTGTACTCAAGGAATAATTCCGGCATATTTCAAGTATGCCTGTGAAATAATTGTCGTAATGACAAATTAATAAATAAACAGCATATAGCAATGTACATAATTGATTATTAATGAAGAATGGAGAGTATCTTAAAGAACTTTATCTTTAGAGGGCTTTCCAAATCTAAATATATAGGGGATAAGCAGGAATCGAAGCGTTCAAGGAATGGAAATTTATCACAGATGGATGCAAGTCATACGTTTTCTAATCTTTTCAAAAGAAAACTTAAAAGTCAATGCTCGTAGATTGCAAAAGAATATATAATGTATTAAATATATTATATATATATAAATATTTATTTATCTGGATCGAGGTCCAAGATAATAAAGACTTATAAAATGAAAAGGTCGCCAAAAAGCGACTTTAATATTATATATGATATATATTAAATATAATTTAATATTCAATGAAATGCATAAAATATCTATATGTACTTTTACGGAAGTCTTGGATCCAATATAATTTCGTTATTATCTAAAGTAAAAGAATAAATGTTTAATAAGAACAACAAACAGGCCCTAGTTCCCGTTTTATATGAGCTTTTGATTTTATTTGATAATATTTCGATATTATTTGATGGGTAAAAAGAAAAAACATGTTTTTTTTTTAAGTATCCTCAGATGTTCATCGAAATAAACCAGATTGTTTAGTTTTCGCAGGGCATAAAAAACTTAAAAACAGAGGCATTTTAAAGATAACTCTTAGTTTTATGAAATTCCAGCTAATCTGATACATGACTGCACGAGTATTGAATAATCATTTTTCTTTGTTTTATAATCTTTCTCATTACGTATGCGAAAAGCAAATAATACGCCGATAATTACATTTGTTTCGGCTAAACAGTATAAAAGCAGAGCGAAAATATCAAAAATATCTATCGTTAAGAAAAATGAATTTTCATCTGGGACTCTTTTGCATCATCTGCGTAGCCTTGCCGAGCACTTTGTCTTCCTGGACTGGTCCAGCTATACTCAAGGAATAATTCCGGCATATTTCAAGTATGCCTGTGAAATAATTGTCGTAATGACAAATTAATAAATAAACAGCATATAGCAATGATATAATTAACTACTTGTGAAGAATGGAGAGTATCTTAAACAAGTTTCTCTCAAGAGGTAATATCGATGTGCGTCGGCAAATCTAAATATATAGTTGATAAGTAAGAATCAAAACGTTCAAGGAATGAAAATTCATATTATATTTATATTATATTTAATAATAATAATAAATCTTTATTTAGCTGGCTCGAAGTTCGAGTCAAACCTGCTTTAATATTATATGTGATATATATTCAATATAATAATAATATATATGTTCAATCACGTTTGAGGAAGTCTAGGGAGTGTGCATTGTGTGTGTTTTATATACACAACATTTAAAAAATTTAATAAATATTTGAATATTATTATCACATTCTTATTGAATATATATACAAATATATATTAAATGATAGCTATATATATATTATATAATATTCTATTATGTTTAATTTTAAACAATTTCTAATTCCTGTAATTTTCTAATTTCACAAACCTATTTAAATATTTTCTGGCTGCTTAAAGAGAAAGAACATGTTTTTTTCTAAAGTAATCTTCTTCAGATATTTGTCGAAAATAAACCTCTTTTTCAGTTTTCTCAGGGCATAAAAAACCTTAAACTGAGATATTGTATAAATATAACTCTTAGTCTCATAAAATGCTTAGCCAATTAGATATATGCCTGCACGGATATTATATTATAAGTTTTCTTTGTCTTATAATGCATAAAGCATTTCAAATCGTATAATACGCCGATAATTACATTTGCGTTGGCTTATATAAACAGAGAGCAAAATATCAGAGTCTATCGTAAGAAAAATGAATTTTAATCTGGCACTTTTTTGCATTGTCTGCAGCCTTTCGGGCAACAGCTGGTACGCACCAGTTGTACTCAAAGACTAAACACGCCATTTCTCAAACATTTTGAAATATTTTTTGTAATAAAAAACGTATAAATAAACAGGATATGCTATGATAATATATTTCTGAAGAGTTAAGACTATCTTAAACACCTTTTCTTTAAAGGGAATCCATAGTCGATGTGTGTCTGCAAATCTAAATATATATAGTTGATAAGCAGGTTTAAAAAGTTGGATACACGAGATATATTTTCTAATTTTTTCAAAAGATAACTAAAATGTCTAAGTACATGGATTGCATACAGCATATATATATTTGTGGAAGTCTTGGATCCAATATAATTTTGCTGTAACGAATGCAATTCGATCTGCTTATATAATTAGTTGATCTCATTTCGAAATGTTATGCATTTCAATAATTTATTGCATAATTGTTGAAAAATTAAAAAACAAACTCCTCGAATTTTGAAACTTTAAGATCTCCATATGGCCCATAGCCTCAAAATGACAGATTCGTATCTCATTAGAGAGTTTTTTTTTTAAATAAAATTCCCAAAACACAGATAGTTTTGTTATTATATTCTGATATTTTCACTGAATTTGAATTTTGACTATTATCCAAATTAACTGACCATCTTGCCTGATTATGGGGCAAACCAAAGGCCAACCGAGGACTAATACCACGCTGAATCAACTGCTGGACGAGAGTGTCGAGTGCATGCTCCGTGTGGCGTACGGGATTAGTGGCACGCTGGTCCGGCCAAAGGATCGTATCATTTGCAACAGCACGCTGGCCGAGATGACCAAGTTTAGTCGATCCGATTCGTTCGAGGTGAAGCGCAATGTGCACAAATTCATGAGGTTCTATCTGCAAGTGCTGCGCTGGACACAAACGCATCAGCCGATCAGGCTGTACGAGAAATGGGCAAGTGGCGACAGTTGAGATTAAGAAGAATTCCTGTACTAACTCACCTGTTGGCGTTTTACAGTATAACAATGAGGATCACGTTGGGCAATCGAACTTTTTTGCACGGCCGGGCATGGATACCCCAGACGAGAAGCACATTTGGCTGGAGAACGGGAAGTCGTATCTGGCGATGAAACATTTCGATGATGGCTCCACAATGATCTACTCGGCGGTGGCCAAGGACGCCAGCCTGGGCTGGATGGATAGCGGCATTAAGGTATTGGCCAAGCAGGTGCACATCGCAGACGTTGATTAGTGTAAATTGTCCTACGATATGAACTATTATATATTTCGAGTTGTGAAATGCACAAAATATGTTTTGCGAGATTCAGTGTACAACTTTTGTCGCTCTTAAAATTAAATACAAAATGTGGACGGAATGTGTACAACTTTTGTCGCTCTTAAAATTAAATACAAAGTGTGGACGGAATGTGGACAACACGTTTAAAATTCAACTAGAAACTAAGTGTTTCGTCTGAGCTGCACATCCGGCTTGGAAAGGCACTTCTTTTATGCTGCTGCGACTCATTAAGTTTTCTAGCTGCGCATAAACGTTGCTGCGCCTGCCATCAATGCAAAGCCCAGCAGTAATTGCAGCGATTTGTGCATGGTCAATAGACTGGCGCCATTGCAACTGTCGCTGGAGCAATAGCACTCCTCCCAGTAGACGCCGTTCTCGTACACGCCCCAGTTGCAGACGCCTGTGACGCCCGTGTCCGAAACGGAGGCACAGCGGCGGATCACCTGACGCCAACGGCCATCCCCTGTGTACAGAAAATAGGAAACATGAGCACTAACTGCAACCAACTATTATAGCTGAATACGCACAGATGAAGCCGCGTGGTCCCTGCTGTATCACCTTCATGCAGAAGGAGCCAGGCATGTGAGACTCATCGCTGTTGCATTCAATTGAAATGTGTTCGGTGCGATTGAAGGGCTTGTAGGCGCCGCAGCTGTCGTGGCCCTTGCGATCTTGGTCCGATGAGCACTGGTAGCAGCGTATGGCCCAGCTGCCTAATTTGATGAAATGAGTAATTAAACAATTTCAATTAGTAAACAGTTGGCAGCCACACCCAATATGTGAATTGATCAAAAACAGCCTGTTGAGTGCAGGCAACAGCTTACCACAAACGGCCAGCGAGAGCAGCAGAAAGGCGCAGCGTGTTAACGTCAGCATATTATGGCTTTTTTGTTATTTGTGCGTGTTTAAAACTAAAACAAAATTCGTTTAAACCAAAACAAGATGCTACGGTTGGAATGTGACCGTATGAACGCTGCGGCTCGGTGTGACTGGCAATAAATTGTGGTGGTCGGTCGATAGGCCTCAGTGTTGACGCATCGGCCATGTGCAGTGTTGGTAAACGACGCATTAAACTATCAACTTAACGTACATTGTGGAATGTCAGTTAATTTTTGGAATTTTGAAAACGGGAGATGGTAGCAATTTATGGTATATTAAGTTTTTTCCATTCACAGCAAAAACTTAATTGCTTAATTGCTAACGGCTTTGCTAAAACACATTTCCGCTTAAAGCATATGTCGAATTAAAAAGCCAGGAACAAAATGCATGTTTTTAACATATTTGAATTTGTTCATAGACTGCATGATAATATTCCCTAATGTTAAAAGTGTACGTTAATAAGAGCATTTACTGTACTCTGTTGTTCGACATTTAAGCAAATATATTCACGGCTATATATATTTTTAGTCATAGAAATTTTTGAATATTTAATGTATATAATAAATGAAAAAATAATTTCAAAATAACTGTGACTGCTATTCGTAAATTCCAGTTATTTAAATTTATTTTTTTTTTTTGGTTTTGTTTATTGTTTTTATTTGTTTCTCATACTCAACACGTAGAACATTCCGATATGTAACTGTTTGTCTAAGCTTTGAAACAACTGCATAATTTACAGGGTATATATATAGATATATAGATATTTGTAATATTTACGATTAACAGCAACCACCTAGTAGGAGTATTTAAATATAAACTAAAGTGTATATAATAACTGATTTATGTACAATTGGAAAATTTAAAAATATATTTTTTAAGCGCAGCCACAAATTACAATTAGAATAAATAAATAAAATACTATTTTGCTGTACATAAAAATTAAATTTACAAAAAAACAAACACGTTTACTTGCAATTTGGCTAATGAGAGTTGTACGCTATTAATTTGTAATATAATATCTAGATATGTTTACGCCTAAGTTGTGGGTGGAGAAAAGGGGGCGGGGGGGGGGGGGGGGGGGGGTTGGCTTTAATATGTACAAATAATTTAATTTTCTCATAAACTTCTAAATGTTTCGAATAAATAGGACGCGAGCAAATATACAAGTTATGAAATACTTTAACAAATTCAATTGAAAATTGCAAAATTGCATTACTTAAATACTTTGGGGAAACAAATGCGGAGCGAGTTGCTATGGATAATAATTCTATACACATATATATTAGGCGATATATATGTACCATATATCGTATATAGGAGAGGATCTTTCAGTTTGAATATGTAATACTTAGGGTTACACTTTACGCTTTAAAGGCTACTTGCATTAACTGTAGAATATTTTGATTTTTATGTATTTTAGTAGAGTTTTGTTTGTTTTTTTGCTTTTGGAGTTTTGGCTTCGGCACACGACGACGACGCACTGGGATTGTCTCTAAGTTGTGGTTGATTTTGGTTCTAGCACACATCAGGCGGCACGTTTGCCGGCGACTTGATTGCGCGTTGGCAGCGTTCTTGCCACGGGCTGATAGCAGTTGAGATTGGCGGACAGGCGACCAAGTGCGGCGACCAGGCGATTTGGCAGCCTCAACAATTGCTGCTGCAGCTGTTGTTGCCTTTGTTGTGGTTGTGGCTGACGCCGGCCGCTGACATTGGCGCAATCGCGCAGCTGGGCCACAACCTCAGCATGCTGTACATATGAGACACGTATGTTGACCGCCTCATCATCGTCATCGTCCGCATCGCAATCGCTGCCACTGTCCACATCCTCGTAGTAGAAGCCCGCCGCAGGCATTGGCTCCAACTGCAGAGTAGCCGACGCCGCGGGCGTAGCAGCCACTATCGCCGTTGTGGCCGCGGACTATATGTTAGCATAGTAGGGAGCTGGTGTGTGTGCATCGCAGGGCTTGACGCGCAGCTTCTGCTTGTAGTGGTACTCCTTGAGGTAGCTCTTGAGGCGACCCGGCAGCTCCAGCTGATTGATGCCATCGTATGTGGTATTCGAGACAATTGTTGCGCGCGCCAACTGCTGCAGCGAGAACGTCTGGCGGCGATGCAGCGGCATGGTCAAACACGGCTCAAAGAACATCACGCACGACGGATCCTTGTAATGCTCCAGCAGTCCGGTAACCGTCAGAGCAGCAAACACGCACGGATCATGACAATCAAAGCTGTGGGTGTGAAGAAAGTTAAGAGTTAGTTAGCTAATATTAAAAAGGATAGTATTAAACTTATGAAAGCTGCCTTTAGGCTTGACCTAGCAGAGCTGCAAATCGGTTCTGATGTCACTTTAACAAGTTGACTCGAGCATGTGTCATGGGAGTGTTGGTTATCTATCTATATTGACTCACCTGAACTTGTGGCCGCTCTGCTCGATGCGCGCGTGAAGCGAGCGTCCGTATTTGCGGAATGTGACCGAGAATAGGAACTCTTCCTGTGCGGAATCGCGCAACAGAAATGTGCCCTCCGGCTTGCCTTCGAGCAGACGCTCCGCCTCGTACCGATCCATTTTGCCCCAATAGAAGCTGCTATTGATGATGCGCTCCAGATCCGGCACCAGGCAGTGCATAAAATCGATTTGTGAATGAACCGTCACCCCGACACCGTACGCATTCAAAGGAACTGCGGCACGTGGCTGTTCAATGGCCAAAGCGGGCAGGACTCCCGCCGCGGCCGCCACTGCCGCCGCAGCAGCAGGATCTGGATGTGTGGAGGCCACCAAGCGTAAGCCCTGATGGCTCATCGTGACCACGGGCGTGTTCGCATTGCAATTGTTGCACGCTGCGGTAGCTGCAGCTGATTCCATCAAAAATTGCGGCTGCGGCTGGGAACTGATGCGTATGATGACATCGCCCATGGCGGGCGCTGCCCAAATAGCCAGCTGGCTGGGCTCAGCGACGGCCACAGAATTGCGTTGACGATGCGTTTGCAGGCGATTCACTGCAGCTGCTCCGCCGCTGCTGGCACTAAGCGTGGGCGGTGTGGAGCGTCTGTCAGCGCTGCTGCGCGTCTTGCTGCGAGGCGCAGCTACAGCAGCTGCTGCCGGCTCCTTTTTGTCCTTGGCGGCGGCGGCGGCACTGGCACTGCCCGTGCTCGACTCCAGCATGCCGCGCAGACCGCGCAATGCATCGCGACATTTGCATTTGCAGCAACGACGCTTGGATGTGGCTGTTACTGCGGCGCCAGTTGCCAAAGCCTTGCTGCTGCGACTGCGACAGCAGCTGTTGCCGCTGGCGCTGCTGCTGCTGCTATTGCTGGGCGCTGAAGAGAGCAAAGAGAGAAGATACAAATAAAAAATTACAAATGGTTTTATAAATTGTATTTGCTGGCGTTGAATTTACCTTGCGCGCGTTGTGCTCCGCTCGACAACATATCGCTGACTGGCTGCGGCTCGAACACCTCGCAGTACTCGACGCCTTCGGCGCCGACGCCGACGCCGCCGCCGCTGCTGCTGCTGCGATGCCGCCGACGCAGCAACGACGATATTGCCATTTCCAATTCGGCGTCTTCGGCGTCATCAACGACGACGTCGTCGTCATCATGGTCGTGGTCGTGCAATTGTAGCATTCTGACCGCAGCCGACGCCGACGCGACGCTTCCCGCTAAATTGTTGTTATTCACGAGTTGTCTTTCGTTTGTTTTTGGCGCTTCCGTTGAACTGCCCGCAGTTCGACTCGCACCTGTTCCCTCTGTTCCCGCTGCCGCACCCACTGCCACACTTAAAATTTGCTCATTTGCATTGAGCGCGTCCGCAGACATCGCGACGCCCTCGGACAGTTGCTGCTCCTGCTGCTGCTGCTGCTGCTCCGTACTGTCGTTGCCGCCCTCCATTTTGGCCAATTGTATTTTAATTATAATTTGTCGCACCTCTGCTAACGCCTCCTCAGCAATTGGTGTTGCCTTTTCGCCAGCTTCAGCAATATCTGGCTGCTGCGTCTCCTGCTCCAAGTCCGTCTGCCTGCTGCTTCTGGAATTTCTGTGGGTTCTGCTTTGGCTTTGGCTTTGGCTGGCAACGATGAGGTCTGTTCGTTTGCTCAATTGATGACCCATTGGAAGCTGTCTATCTTTGTTTCCTTTACAGGTCCTGCTACGTGCAACTGTAAAAAGAATGAAACAATAAATTCAAATTATATGCAATTTGATGCTTGTGCGGCGTTGCCACTTTTTTAAATGCATTTTGAACTGCATAGGCTGACGGTGTGGCCAGCTTGCATGATTTACATTTTACTTTTATGGTATATACTAAAAAAAACGTTATGCTTGCGAGTATTTAACTTTCCATGAACAGACAAGGCAAATGCAAACTTGAATACATTAAATTGGCTAATTATATTTAATTTAAAAAAAAAAAAAAGGAAATTCAATACGCTTCAAAATTTTCCACAACAACAACGTTAGTTATATATAAACCTGTGCCTTTTCAACAAAAATGTTAATTTGTTAGATCGCGTACAAATGAATTAGTATTTTATTAGCATTTTTGCACTGTTTCCACTGTCAGCTTTTTAAGGCTTAACCCATGTTTTCTGCTTAATGTTGCCTGGTTTATCAGAAAACAGTAAATGAGTAATTATGAAAAATACAAATTCCAGTTTATTTGCTGTTGTTAGCTTTGAGCAATTCTCTCACAACAATCACATGTCTCGTCGAGGCGCATTTAACCGAGTGTGAAATGTCTTGACCTACAGCAACAAACGCGCCCCCATCCATAGCAGTAGCTACTGTGTTTCTAGTTTTCAGACTTAATTACTTACTTAAGTAGAGTTGAAGTCGGGTGTAGGCAATTAAATGCACTTACAGATACGACATGAGTCCCCCACAAACACAAACTCACACACTTTGCATTCGCTCCAAGTGGCGCCCCACGAAGAGGTCCCCCGCCAGACTGACTCATGCAGCGCGTGAGTCCGTGCTCCAGGAATGGCCCATTAAAAACAATGGCGCACATAGCAATCCCACGCATCGGCTGGCGCACACAGAGTCCCAGAGTGCCACATCTTTATATCGTTAGCTAACGTATTGTTGCGTATGTTAATCCGGGCTATATTTAGACTAGAGGGCGTACTGGAGTGTAAGTGAAATCTAGCCTCAATAACATGCATACATATGTATCTGTACACAACACCAATTTCACAAATCATTGAAATCGTAATGAGAGACCCTGCAGCGAGAACCCTGAGCTCCGAGAGTCGCATTCAAGTTTACACAGTAAGCGTTCATTCATCAGAATTGCGGGCAAAGATTCATTGATAACGCGACTCGTATAAACCCACACACATATAAGGTCCCCAGTTTGTCTGACGCGTTTTTTTTGTTGCTTGTTTTTGGGACTTTTGAGTAAGAGTCGGAATCCTTATCGCCGCTACAAAAAAAAAAAAAGAAAAATAGCTAGGTAATAATATGCGTCATGCGCCAAGGGCAACCATGACAGACGTCTCTAATGAGTCACTTCTGCTAGCCCAAGTTCCCCCAAACCAAAAAATTGAACTACTGAAAATGTTGCCAAGCCAACAGCTGTCATATGGGGGTATTTCATTGAACCATTAGATCACCGATCAGGCGATACGAAATGCCAACGACCTAAACACTCGTTAATTGCGGCTGTCACAAAATATTATCCAGAAGTTATACTAAGCTCAAATATTTGTAGTATATTTTTTTCCTGTTTCTAAGGGAATTTTTGTTTGCCGTAAATACTTTGAAAGTAGCTAGAAGGATTAGCATATAGTGCGTACTTAGAAAATTTTCTAGGGTTAAATAAATATTCCTTCAAGAGAAAGTTATCTTAATAATTTTCATTTGTATTAGCTACTCCAGAACCTATATTCCAATTTTGGCATATCCAATTCTTACAGTTTTCGAGTTATGTCTCAACATTGATTTTATCGGTATTTTTTTATTTATTTCAAAAATACTTAACTATTTGTATTATAATTTGTAGCTGGCAGAGAAAAATACCAAAAATACCTAAATTAAATTAAATGAAAATTTGTATCCGTTTTAATTGCAGCTAATTGAAATTGAAATGATTTGCAATGTTCTTTTAATAGCGTAATAATGTATCAGGCCTTATTGTAATCAGAATTTCTGCAGCCTTGCTCGGTTTTTTTTTTGGTTTGTAATTAATCATGCTGTTAAATCACAGTCAACTGAGTCTGACATCATTTAATTGGCTTTTCAACAGAAATCGACGGCAATTCGTATCGCTAATTGGTAATCAGTAATCAGTAATCAGCAAGTAGCCAGCTGAACTTAACCAATTGCCGCGTAGTTATGGCTATTCATAATTGCAGCCTTATTCCGAATCCGAACACAACTCGACAAATTTCTGGGAATTTTCGCCCGCATTGCAGCCGTGGAAACGCTTTTAAAACTTTGCGCAGGGCCCATTAAATCATTAACGGTGCATACATCGGGAGAGAGGGGCAGAACGCGAGCGGTGGGAAAAATAATATTGCAGCTAAAATTGGAAAAAACCGTTTGCTGGAAAAGCTGAATGTACTTCCCGGAAATGCGATAGAGCCAAAAGCTCTCTTTTGGACAAAGCTCAATACGTCGTTTTTAGTCGGAATTCAATATGAATTTTACGTATTTTTTTTTTTTTTTATTTGGAAATACTAATTGATACCGTTAGCTAATTAAAATTGTGTGGCGCCATCTATGGCTAACAAGCTGCAGCACGTGCTGCCTTTTAATCGGCAGCGACCTTTCTCAATGCCCGATCAATGGGGGCGGGCGCAATGAATCAGGTCGTAGTAGTATGACACGATTCTCGTTTTGTTTCGATTATTCTATACACATTATTCTCAACTGAAAACATCCGACTATATTTACGAGTATGATGAAATACAGTTGTACGTGTGTGTGCGTGTGTTTGTGTGAGTGTGAGAAAGACCCGCATGAGACGGCGGCGAGCGACGACGAGTCAGCCCCCAACTTTCAATGGAAACCTGAAGTTGAAGCACACCAGATAAAACCGCAAAGCGCGCTTACAATAACACTACCACACACAAATGTATACATAGATATATATATATAGTATAAGGCCAAGTAGGCAGGTAGGAGACAGGGTATGAGTCACTGGAGCGCATTGGGGTAGCGCTTCAGGAGGTGTGAGATGCGAGGCACGAGCTACTGCGACTACTGCGTGCATTTGGCAGCCCGCCTGGCGTTTTGTGAGGGCCCGCGTTTCGGACCTTTTTCTTTCTTCAGTTTCTTTTATTTTTTTTCTTTTTTCTATATTTTGCTTTATAATATTTTTTGCCTCGTTGCCATGAGCTGGAAGTGCTGCAGACAATGCGAAATTTCATCAGAAATCCAAATACAGATAATGATCTAATACATAACTTGTTCGTGGTAAAAACGTTGATAAACGTTTCACAGTAAACTCTATTGAAAAGGGGAGCGCGACATATATACATAGTATGAATGTGTTAGCAGAAAAGCTGGACATTTTTCTAATAAGCACCTGCGCATATTTCTCCAGCGCTGGTATCAAAAGGTTTGTGAGAGCAGTTCAAAATTAATTGAAAAAATAATAAACGTTATGCAAATGACAAGTGCTAGTGCTAGTAAAATGCTTTAATCGATAACCGATTATTAAAGAACCTGAGGTAGTGTTGTATAAGACACACATAGAAATGCAGCATTTTCAGACTTTGTTGAGCACCGTAGTTGCCACAGTTAAACAGTTATATCAGAGCAGAAGTTCTTGGGAATAAGGAGTTCGCGAAACTTTTCCAATTGAGTATTGCGAAACAAAAAAGTAACCAAAGTTAAGTCGCAATTCTGCCAACATGAAGCTGTGTGCTCGAGTATCTTTTGAATGCGAATTCCCAGCAATTCGCCACTCGCTCGCTTTTACATAACACCCTCGCCCGCTGCCACCGCCAACTGCGCATTAAAAGCCCATTTGGATGGGTAGGGAAAAGGCAAAACTGCGAAAACTGCTCCCAAGCACACGGTATCCGCTTTGGCTGCTGCCTATTGTCATGTTTTTACGCTGAAATTGTCACAACAAAACACAAAATGAATTGCGGTCAGCGTGAACAGGAGAGGCAGGTGGATGAGCTGAATGAGGGGGAGGCACATTGCTAGGCAAGCGGCTGCATTAGTAGTTGTTGAGTTGCAGGCGGCAAGTGCAAAACTAAAGCGCGAGCAAAAAGTCAACATCACCAACGATAACGGGCAGGGAGGTGAAATGTGCAACCAGGACAGAGCGTTATGGGTAGACAACAAAAACGAATGAGACAGACAGACAGACAGGCAGGCAGACGGGCGTAGGATTTTAAAGCGAATTCAATTACTTTTGTTGCCGTCGCTTTGCTTGGCTCTGGCTGCTGTTGCTTCTTCTTGCTGTTTATTTCATTTTTTCGTTTTTCGCTTTTGCAGTTACTTGGAATTCGCAAATGAACTTCGCTTGAAAACAAAATCACATGCAAAGCAGAGCGAGCGCGGCAACAAAGCGCAAAGTGCCAAAGGAGCGCAACGAACGAGGCATTCTTGGGCAGCGCGGCAGGGGGAGGGGCAGAGCGGTAGCAGCCGGTGTACAATGCGGCCTGAGAAAGTATATTTCATTTTGATATTTTTCGCAAGAAAATTGAAATGAGATTTATTTATTACGTTTTCATTTTGCCCACTCGCCCTCTCGCACCATCTCGCTCACTCATGCCAAAATTATATATAAAACGTATTTGCTCCTCTCCATTCATTACGCTTCGCTCGAAATTGTAGTATGAACATAAACAATTCTCATGGCAATTCCGCTTTCATATGCCAATTTAATTAGCAATTCCACCGAATTCAACTGCTCTCACCCACGGCATGAGGCTCGAGCTTGATTTTATTACTTTTATCTATGACTTGCTCGCTCTCCCTCTCTCTTTCACTCACGCGCTTAGTAGTCTCTTGTCTCTTTCTATCGCTTCATATGCTTATCATGCGGTTCGTGACTGATATGCCTAAGATATGGCCATTGCCATTGGAATACCTAGAGGAATCTCATTGACGTAGGTAAACAACACAAATAGCAAAAATAATCAAATCAAATTCTCATAAGATGCCATTGCTTATAAGTACATTTGTGCACGTATGTACTCTAGATATGAATATACATATCTACATATGTATGTGCATGTATGTATATATTGTTTACAGCTTCTACATAACAGTATTTAAGTGTCTGAACACTTGGTAACTCTGTTTTTCTCTCTTTACAACTTGATAGCTGCACTAGGGGTGTTCAGTGTAATGTGGCAATTTATTGACATTAGGGTGGCTCACTAAAATTTGTTTATTTGCTATTTGGTTTAAAAAATAATATATTTGCAAATAAAACAGCTTACATTTTAAACCAATTCTCTGATAAAAGTATTGTTTTCCTTTTTTTTTTTTTTTTAAATTTCTTATCGCGAATTTTTGGGCATTATCAGAGCGCACAGGTCGGATAAATAATCTATGGAAATATGCGTAGGTACTAAAGAAAGCACGGCAAATGTACGAGCAAAATAATAATCATAAAAGTAATAAGTAAGCAGAAGAAGAGGAAGACGAAGACGCACAATAATAATATTAACATGAATGTGAAAAGTGGCAAAATTCGTAGAAACGCTGCCCCGCTGAAAGGCTCTCATGATAAATCCACAATACAATACACAAAACACAGCACATGAGCGATTCTTGGAAAATATGTATGCACACGGTACTCACATGCTGGTGAAGTCATGAAGTTGTTTAAAGGTACGCAGCACACACACATACACACACACATACAATCCCTATAGCGTGTGTGTGTGCGTTGTTGCTGGTTTCTGATTAAACGAAAGCACTAACAAAATTTCAACTTAATTTGCCACACTTTAGTCCAGCTGCGGGCCGTGCGTCGGACATTTGTCAAGGTTGCCCAAAAGATGGGTTCGGCCTAGGCATGTTTAGATACAGATACAGCTACAACTAGAAATACAGATACACACCCAGAAAGTTTTGCAACTTTTAGATATACACTGTTAAGATACAAATTATGAGCATAAGCGTCTAACGGTTAATGGGCATGAAAAGTGACGAAGAATTGTAGATTCTTCGTAAAGCCTCGAAGATGCGACAGAAGATCTACAAATACTGTTTTTTGGACCCGAAATATTATCTTAGGCTATCTAATAAGCTGAAACAGATCTATTTCGCGGAATCAGATAATATAATATCTAATTAAAGCCTTGCTTTCAAATCAAAAGCTTTTGTAATAAACTCAGAAACATATTAAGTCTAGTAATTCACTTAAAAAGCTCAATTAGAGTCTATAAGACTTTTTATATATAAAGGATATAGCTGAACACAGTTTCAGTTGGATATAATACCTAGGAACTACCCTCAAGCTCTTCAAAAAGTTTGAATTTCTTACACAGACCCATTGGCACCTTTCATATGGCAGGCGCTTTTATCATAATGAATTACGATTCCTATAAGCAGCACATACATACATACCTGTACCCCCTATTGAGGTAGGTTTCACTATTATCAAGTCACAAGCAAACACGACATTCGACATTGCCAAATAAGGCAATACATTTCGTATAGTTACCTTCTTGGGCAGCCCAGAAACGTCAACTGAACAATACAGAGCGACAATCAGCGCTCTTTATTTGTTTAACAAATATATATATATACGTATATAATAGCACCGATTAAATTTATAAACTCAGCGATTACGATTGCCTTCAACCGGAAGCCGATAGGCAAAAAATGAAAAATATAAAAATATCAAGAGAGCCCGTAAATTATAGTACTTAATGTATTCGTTGCATGTGTGTGCTTTACCCACACATGCAACAATTCCAGGCAACTGTAAAGATAATTCAAGTATTCCACAATATTTCATTGATAAATTACTACGGAAAATGTAAAGCCTGTGAGTGTAGCCGCCCATCAGAGTAAATAATGTGTCAACTAGAGATGTGCAATGCACATATGTACAAAGAATGGTGACAGCTGTAACGAGTAACTGTTACTAAATTTAGGCACATAGTTACGAATCGGAATAGTTAATGGGCTAGGGGAATTATTGAACCATGGAGGAGAGGACTTTGAAACAGATATTGATAAAGCGGAGAGGCATATATGAGAAATTCAAAACAAAGAATAAATGCATATATCGAATCGTGACTTAATCACAGCTGTAACGAGTAACAGTCACTAAATTTAGGCACAAAATCACATATCAGAGTAGACCTTGGGAACTTTTGAATAATCAACAGACGACTATGAAACAGATATTGATAAAGTAGACGAGCATAAATAAATTTATTCTAAACAATAATCAATTTATTTAAGAGTTCATTTTACATTAGTTAAGCATATATGATTCTTTGTACTTGAACATATCGGAGCTTGCAAACTGTTCAGAGCTAAAAGATATTAAAATATTTACTTCTTAAAGCAATGTTGTAAATTTAATACGCTTGCGCACACTCAACCTTTTGACTTTGGTACTTTTCGCGGTATTTACTATTGCAATTAATGTTACTTATCACAATTCTCACGAAAATTACAGTGTTTAACGGTCAGGTCTGATAGTATTCAGGTGAATAAAGCAGGCCAGCGGTGCGCTTATCAGGAGAGCGTTTGCAAAGTTGGGAAACGGCAGTTCCAAGAACAATCAAAAGCGCTTCGTTTTCCATGGAAATTGAAGGCAAATATGTGCACACGGCAGAGACAAGAGACAACAACAAGAAGAAGAAGAAGAGGGGCATGCGCATGTGGCTAAGATAGTGGAACTGAAACGGGTAAGAGACAACAACAACAACAACAACTGGTTGGGGGGCGGGTCAATGGGGGTGTGCCAAGAAGTAAAGATGGGGCCAGGTGTAACAGGTAATTGGTAACTAGGCGATGGCTCGGGCAAATATAGATTAGGTCGTCAGCTCATGAAAGTCGGGCAGATGAGATTGAAAACAAACAAATAAATAAAAACAGAAACATGTTTAAACATAATACAAACTTGAACCCAACCAAAATTGAACCGGTTTCTCAAAAGTATGACAATAACAATACAACGAACCTTATTGCCAGAGCTATATGCATAAATATATAGCTTGATGATTTACTATGAAATACAATTAAAGGCAACAAAACATAAAAACAAACAAACAAACAAAAATAATGAATTCCACTCTAACAAAAATTGAGTGTTTTGCCCACATTTCACTTTTGGCATTGCGTTTCAATTGAACAAAATTCACGCGAACAATTAACAATGAGCGCAAAATGAAAGAAAGAAAAAACAACACACACACACACACACACACATCACTTTGGATTTCCACGAAATCTGCACGTAAATCGTATAACAAATACTAATACAATAGAAATACGGAAGAGGGGAGAAGAAGCAAGCAAAAAAAATAGCCACAACGACGACGGCAGAGCAGCAGCAGCTGAGCGTAAGCCAATAGCGGCAGAGGGCTAGGGGGAAGGGGGGGGGGGGGGGGGGGGGGGGGGGAATGAGAAATAGCAATCTTCGTGTGCTTATGCGCAGCTCTATTACGATATCACAAGACAGTGTGACCAGCAGCTAAATATGTTCGCAATAAAGGCCCGCAAAAAATCAAATGACACACATTAAATACAAGGCTTCGCGCTACTTTCTTAAAATACAGTATATTTTTTTCATGTTTAGCATTTTAGAGAGTACTCTAGTAGCAATTTTTTTTTTAAATTTAAATAAATCTACAAAAAATATTAATTTTCATACCTGTTTTAGGTCTAATTCCCCAAAAACATTTTTGTTTTCAAGCAGTCCGCCTATTTTTTAAATATTTAATTATCTTGAAAATCGCAAAAAGCAGCTGCGCATGAACACGATAAATGTGCTATATTGAAAAGGGGCTCAACATTTTTTGTTTGCTCCAAAGTTCAGACACCATGGCAACATGGCCGTAAAGATCTCGTTGGGCCCATGGGCACATCTAGACAAGCCAATTAAACAACGCCCCAATTACACTTATCCTTTTTCTTTTCTTTTCTTTCCTTTTTTTGGCTGTGTTGGAAACAATTTCAATTTCACATGAAAAGCTATTAAAACCCCAGAGAGCCCACAGAAATGCACTCAAAAGTTTTAATACAATTTCAAGGAAATGAGCGGAAGAAGCTGGTCAAAAACCTGCTTTTAACAAGAATTAACCAAAATGTGTGTGTGTGTGCATTACAGACAACAACAAAGTTAATAACACCTTTTCTTGTGAAGGGTACGTCGAAAAAAATATTGCCGCTGCAGACGTCGAGTGTGTATGAAGTATGGCTTCAGGCGAATTGAGTCAAGACTCGCTCTCTCTTTACTTGAGCGTGCGTGTGTGTGTCTGTGTGTGTGCATGTGTGTGAGGCCAGCTTCAGCTCGGCTTGTGGTGTTAAATGTTTGCAGCCGCAACAGCAGTGGCAGCAGCAGCAACAGCATTTCATTCAATAGCCGCCACAGCAACAGCAGCTGCCAACATCAGCAGCCGCCAACTTGCCGCTCTCCCTTTGCCAACAAAATACTGCCTTTGCCATTGTGTTGTTGTTGTTGCTAAGTCGCTCTGTGTGAGCGCGAGAGCAAGCACACGTATGTATGTGTGTGTGTGTATATGTTGTATGCGCATTGTTGTTGGTCTCGTTGAGCTGCTGCTGCTGCTGTTGTTGGCGGCTCGCTTGGCTGTCTGTCACTTCTCAGAAATCGGTCTAAATTAGAAAATGCGTTTCTGGGAATTTCGTATCTCTTTTGGGCACAACGAAATAACGCAACGACGACACCAATATACATATGTATATACTATACTATTAAATACATACATAAATTATAGATACTTATGCCCTTGCTTATATCAAAACATATTTATAAATATATATGTATATTCGTATATTCGTACATGTGTATGTGCACAAATTGAATTTATCAATGGCATTTTGTTGAATTTCTGCCACATAAACTGCGTGCAGTGTGTGTAAATTTTTGTCATCGCAGCCAATTATTTACCTGTTTAAACGCTGCTCTTGCTATTTTTCTGTATTGTAATTGTTGCACTTATTAATTTTTGGCTTGTTGGCAATTTATATAAATTGTATTTTAAGCATAATTCAGTTTAGCTAGCCACACAAACATTTGCACTAAGTTATCTTTTCTCTCTTTCACACTTTCCGATTTATTTTCATATGGTTAACGCAACGCGCACGACATTTTTCTCATAGATTGCACTGAAAACACAATTAAATTATTGTGCACTTCAATTGGTCTGCGTTGATTTCATCAATTTAGCAATTTCACTAACGCAACGACGACGTATCTCAACCTTAATGACACTTAAACTTGCCGAGCGACAACAACGAGACATTTGCGTGCTACGAGTTCCAAATACTCCTCGTTTGTGTCACTGACACACACTGCCACAACTTAAAGTTAGCTGCGGCAGCAAACATATCGATAAGTGCGATATATATCTATATAATATAATCGAGTTTTTCATTAGGGGCCTTCCGCAAGTGTTCTTATATGTTGAGGCAATACCACCACACTTTAGATAAGAGAAATAATTTAAAAAACAAGTATTTAAGTGAATATAAGCAATTATTTGTGATTATAAATAATTATTGGGTAATGGCGTATTATATTTTGCAATCATGCAATTTTAATAAAAGACAACACAAAAATATCGTATACTAAAATGACATTTTTAAGCACTGGTCAAAGTATATTTATCGATAGCATTTCGATTGCATGCATTGGCAGCTCTTGTGATCGCGCGTATATTCAAAGTTCTCCTAGCTGATAGCAGAAATCAGCAACATTGTGTAAACAAATCTTACTAGATTAACTTGTTAGCTGACATTCGCTGTTTGTGGCGTAGCTATAACAATATTTGCTGAAAGTATAAATATGTGCATTATAATCAGTAAAAACTAAATAAGAAGGTAACTTTTGACGATTTGATCTCATGGTATGGATGCGCACAAACACAGTCAGGCGCTACATGAAGATAATAAATATATTCAAATACACATCTTCCGCTATGTACCACAAATTAGGTATACTTTTTCACTATTTTAATTCCCTGCCCAGACTCGAGTCAGTGTCATTCGGTCAGTCAGTCAAACAACTTGAGCGCGCTTCGGCTCCGTGGACTGCAATCTAATTCAATTAAAAATTAAAACGCAAATCTACGCGACAAGTGAAATTGTTCCGTCGAGTGTCTGACGACGAGAACACGAGCAACGGCAATTAGACAAGAAAAAATCTCAGTTTCTGTCCATGCGTGGGCAGCCACACAACAATGAGCTCAGTGGACGCCAGCGAAAAGCTCGAAATGATTCGCTCCACATCGATGCCTGTGAAGCCAAGGCCGTTGAATCCCAAGCCGTTGGCGCGATCACCCGAAAAGGAGACCGTCAATGACACCGAAGCCGACTACTATCCGGAGAGTCCCAGTTGTGTGCGGCGACGCAAGTCCAAGCAGGCCGCCGATCAATTGGAGACGCGCAGCGAGCTAAAGTGGGTCAAATCTCAGCAGCATCGAGCACTGAATTAACGCAACTTATACCAATTTATTCCAATGCCGTAGCTTTCCCTATACCCTCGACTGGTCGGGCAGCACCATTGAGCTGAGCCCCGATACCGATGCGGATGGCCTGCGGCGCAGCATGCATCGCGTGATGGAGAAGAATGGACATGAGAATGTGGTCTTTAGGCGCATACCAGAGAAGTCCTGGCGCTATATGCGCGACGCTGTCACCACGCTGGTAAGGTCCATGTTCGGCCAGAGAGCAGCCAAGACACAGCCAACAGCTGAACGATCGAATATCTATAGCATAACGCCCAGTATACAGCGCAAGTTGGACGAATTGGCAAACGAATCGCCGACAACAAAGCTGAAAATTAAGCCCAAGCCAAAAAATAGCGAAGGGGAAAAAGTAACATTTAGCATTTAGCATATACTAAACAAATAAACTCACACAATATGAAAATTAACAAAAACATGTAACAAACATTTTACTTGGGCGCCAAACTAATTCTCATACATAATCGAACACGATAACAATTAACTGTCTGGCGTTATCGATACAGTCGATAGTTCGATAGTAATATTCAAATGCAACTGTCGCCCACACAGATCGAATTGGAATGGAAATATATGCTGACACTTTTTCTAGGCAGCTACTTTCTTAGCTGGATCTTCTTTGGTGTACTATGCTATATGGTGGCCTATTCCCATGGCGACTTCCTGTTCGATGCTGTCACGGGCCAACGTCTGGGCGAGGGCACGGATCCGTGCATTTATGGTACGCCCAATCTTGTGGCCATGCTGATATATTCGGTTGAGACGCAAACAACGCTCGGATTTGGCGAGAAATACGCCAGCGAGGAGTGCCCGGAGACCATATTTCTGTTCGTCATGCAAATGATGTGCGCGGCGGCCATTGAGGGCACCATGGTCAGCATTATCTATGCAAAAACGGCTCGTCCCGCCAAGCAATTGACCAAGCTCAAGTTCAGCGACAAGGCCGTGGTAAGCCCAGCTGCCCACAATATGCCTCGCTCATTCATACACATACACAAATATTTTTGCAGATTTGTTATCGCGATGGCAAGCTGTGCCTGCTCTTCCGTGTCTGCGATCCGCGCGAGCAACAGTCCATTGAGTCCAAGATACGCGTCTATATGATTGTGGACAAACAGTGAGTCATGCTAATTGTTGTCTCCACAATTGATAACACCAAAAATGTGGCCTTGCAGCACGCGCGAGGGCGAGCTCATTAAGACGCACACGGAGCTGAAGCTGGAGGGCAACGGAGAGCAGCTAATTGTCTGGCCCGACATTGTCTGCCATGTGATCGATGAGAGCAGCCCGTTGTTTCACTTTGGCAATGCCAAACAGTTTAACGCCGGACAATTTGAGTTGTATGTTACGATTGTGGGCACATCGCCGGCAACGGCACAAATGACCGAGGCGAAGACATCGTATGTGCCGCGCGAGATATACTGGGGTCAGCGCTTTGCCAACATTATCCACTACGATGCCAGCCACGAGCGTTATATTGTGGACTACGAGAACTTCAATACGACCATCTCGGTGAGTGCAATACTCTAGTTATTCATGTTGCTTTAAATCACTTCCAAGATCACACTGCAGGTGGACATGCCCGTCAGGCTAAGCGCGGCGGAGCAACTGCAGCAGGAGCAGCAGCACCAACTGCAATTGGCATACAGAAAGTGAGCCTTAAACAGTTACTATGTATCTATATAATATACACGATAAATAATGCAGCATTAATTTACAAATTTACGAACATTTTTAAAAACCAAAATATTGCTTTAAGCATCACCAGCTTCTGAGCTCTCGCGCTCGCTAAGCAATTGCTGCACCTGCGCTCGGAGCATCTCGTTCTCCTGCTGCAGACACGAGTAATCGTGCACAAAGCGATCGTTTTTCAGCAGCAAGTCCAGAGCATCGCGTATCTCCTGGGTGCTGCTCAGTTGCTGATTCCAGTAATCGGACACCTCGCTGAACAGCAGAAAGCGGGTTTTCTCATCTGACCATTTCAGTTCGCGTTCCAGCTTAACGAAGCGCTCATCTATCAGGTTGCGCAGCTCGGCCTGCTCCTTGCGCAGCTCGGCTCGTTCCTGTTGCAGCGCAGCGCGATCCTTATGCAGCTCGCCCAGCTCGTCACGCTCTACCGCAACAGCAACCTGTAGTGAGGCATCTGTGGAAAGGCCACTGGACGTCTTTGGCAACAATTTCTGTGGCTGCAAAGCTGCCGATTGCGTTGCCGTGGCAGCCACATGATGTGGGGTGCTATTGCGACTGGCTGGCAACAGACGCAGGCGTTGCTTACGTTCGAAGTCCGCTGTTGATGGATTCTCCTTGTCGCTGCCCGCGCAGCTGCTGGCCGCCGAACAATTGCCGGACTGCTCGTGCAGGGCGCTGTGCTCGTCTGTTTCGGATATTTTCTTCAACTTTGCATCCGCCGATATGTTGCTGCGATCTCGCAATGGACCGCTGAGTGTTTCTGTGGGCATTTAGGGTGGGATCTAGTTGTTTCATTTAAGCTTCAGCTAGCGATACTCACGTTGCAGCGAGTCCACAGTAGAGCTATTAGCGCTATCTATGGAGCTAAGACCCGAGCCGGTCGGACAAATGCTCTGTCGCTGTTCCTCATTGTTGGGCTTCGAGTGCAGCGCATCCCAGTCGAAGCTATCACGTCTAGCTGTTGTGGTCAGGCGCGTGGACATGCGATCAACAGCACGCGGCCTATGTGCATCTAGAAAATCACAAAAGGAATCTCGCTGTCCACGAGCTGTTGCCGGCGTTGCTAAGCTGCTTCCGACAGAGGCGCTGCCATAGCCCAAGCTGCTCATGGTGGCCAGCTGCTGCTGTGTAATCAGCAAATTGGCGGCAATCGATTTGCGTAGCTCATCGCTCGGCATTTGCTCCACTTGAGCGGCCTTGCCGGCATCCATAGTCACATTATTTGAGCTGGTGAAGCTGCTGCTCTGCTGCTCCTCCGTGGGCATGGGCACAAAGGCAACACGCGTGACGGCACTGCAAGTAAATCTGGATGGTAAATTGAATCTTGAAGAGATCAACATTTTGTTGCGCTTACCAGCCCTCGTGCACGGAACGCACGGCCAGCGGTGCCTTGGTGCTACGCATATCATAGGCAATCAGCTCACCCTTGAGATTTCCAGCACAAAAGTAGGTGCCGCACTCACTCAACGCCACCGTGGACATGGGATGCGAGTAGGCCAAACGGCCGGAGGACGACTGCGCCTTGTTGCGCCGTATATCAAATATGTTGATGATGCAATCGTAACCAACGCTAACCAGCAGCGAGGGTTGTGAGCTGCACATGCTCACGTCCCGGCAAGGCGCATCGTGCGCGTCGTCTATGTTGAAGATGGTCCGCTTGGATTGCACATCGTAGACGCTGACGGTGCCCTTGTAGGAGGCGACTGCCAAATGGAAACGCTTGCTGGGATGAAAACGAGCCAGAGTCGAGCTGCATTGAAAAAAAAGGCATCGTATAAGCATATGTTCAATGAATGCGAGCAACTTCATATCAATCCTTCTCAGCTCATTGTGGTAAGAACTGGTTCTTGATAGAAAGTCAAGAGTATATACACTTTATGGCTTCGGATAGGTATCTATCAAATGGCTTATAAATTAAATACCCTCTGCAAGAGTATAAAGATCTGAGGCATGAATGAAATCTGACACGACATTCCGCGTGGAAGTAAGATCTTAGAAAGGAGTATGATGTAGAATTTTAGTCCCCATATGGGGGAAAGCTCAAAGAGATTTCAATCTTCAAGTTGAGAGATAGTTATTGTTAGTTTGCAGTGTCTGGAAGGAGAGATATGGTATTTGTCTGGCCAACTTATATGCTCGGGGGCAACAAATCGCAAAGTTTTACTTACTGATCATCAATTGTGAGAGTCTCAATCTTCTGTTTGGTCTTGGTGCCATAGATGTTAATCTTGCCGCCCTCCAGCACAGCCGCTATGTAATCATCCGTGCAATTGTAGTCCACATAGAGCACAGTGCTCCGTGACTGGTCCGCCGGATAACGGTGTATCATTTCGGTCGTGCGAAAGTCGAACAGCTTAACGAATCCACTCGATTGGCCAATGGCAATTTGATTGGACGCCGTTTTGGCGCAGCACACCGAATAGGCATTCTCTATTGTCAATTTGCGTAGGCGCTGGATTTCGGGTGCTGCAACAAAGTAAATATTATTGCAAATATATAGTTTTTATTGTGCAGTTTGATTTACCGTTTTGTTGCTTCTCCTTTATGCGCATCACCGCCAAGCCCGCCTTTTTGTCCACCTCCACAAAGACGCGTCGCTGGGCGTTGAACTGAAAGTCTGTTGATTCGCCATTGGCGTGAACAAATGTTGACTTCGTTTCCAAATCCGCAAAATCGGATAATATTGTCTTTTTAGAGGTTGATATTAAATACATATTTGCTTTAAATTCCAATTGTTCAATTCAAATGCTTTTGCGACGGCGTAATAAAAATTGGCGGCTTTTTAATTAGACTGTCAACATTAGAGTTGCCAGATCGAGCTAAATGTCTTCACTGTTTACCAGCAAACAAGCGTATCCGATCTCTTGTCCTCCTCGTGTTGAAATCCGCAAAATCGAAATTGACTTTTTGTTTGGAGATTGATGTTAAATACATATTCATTTCATTCAAAAACAAATCAGATTCATTTTCGACTGCGTGTAAGAAATTGACGGCTTTGAATTTATAAGCTAAATTTGAAAGTTGCCAGATTTCACATTTAAAAAAAAAAAAACGCAAGCTAGTTTTGATTAAATATTAATCATCAATTAATTTATGCTTGTGTGCTACGTAGTATGTATAAAGCCAGCCACAAGGCCATCGCGTTTCTTTTCCGCCGCTGATGTGTGATCCCAATCGACCAGTCCGTGCTCCTCGAACACGATGCTGTTCTGATTGTCTGGCAGCATCTCAAAGTCCAAGGTAGCATCTTCAATGGGCTCACCACACTCCAATATAAAATTGTGCAGCATGCAGGTGGCGGAGACAACAATGCTGCCCACTTCCATTGTGCCCACATCAAGCGATTTCAGGCGTCTAAAGCGCGACATCAATGCCGCAAAGGCGCGTTCCGCGGGCGCATTCCACAAATGCACAGCCCGATTGTAGCGTATGTGACATGGTGTCAACTCCCCATTGTTGTCCGCATAGGGCGTCATCAGATTGAGCAACAGTGGATACATCATTTCGCCCACCAGATGCTTGTGCGGCGGCATTAGCGGCTCCTCCATGTCAATAAGCCGCTCGAAGAGCTCACTCTTCAGCAGCACACACTGATTGTCGGACACATCGATGTGCACATCCAGAAAGCGACTGCGTTCGTCGCACACCGCTTGCAGGGCCAACGACGCATACTGCAGATGACCATCCTCCTCGCGCACAGGCAGCTTCAGTGGAATGCGGCACTCGTCGATGACGCCCACAACTCCAGGCAGTTGGCTAATGGCGCTGCCACCGCACGCATTGTCCGCCGGCCACTTCACGTAGCGCGGCATTAGGGCAGCAAAAGCAGCGGTGACCCACTTGAAAATCTCGTGGCCGGAACTTTTGGATATGGCAAAACTGTCGCCCACCTCGCGGAATGATTTTCTGCGTGTGCAAGCAACAAAAATATAGGCTCGTTTTATTTTCAATGTTACGGCCAAGCATACTTGCCACTTAGAAGTGTTAATGTGTACAATAATTTCTCAGGAAGCGAGACGCGCCCAATTGGCTGATGATGTTCCGCACCGGCTATAGCTTTGCCGACGACCTGGAGCAGCTTCTGTGAGAGGAAATGTTATGGGTAGCAATAAATAGTTATGTTCACTCTTATTCACCTCAAAGCTGCTGCGCTGCATGCGGAATTGTTCCTTGAACTGATCATCCTGATATCGTGGCATGGAGTGTATATTTTTATCTAACCCCTCCTCAGCCGATGTACTCAGGACACTTAAGGCACTCTCGGACGTAACTAGCCGCACTGCCTCGGCCAACTGAGGGCCCAGACCCTCGTCCAGAAAAAAGTTCAGCATAAATGCTTTGTGAGCGCGTGCATTCATTGTACATGGAAAACTAGGTAAACAAAATCAAAGTAAACAAAAGCACACAACATTAACAGCGACAGCTGAGAGTGCTCAAAAACTTTAACATTGCTGTCATGTTAACTACTATGTAAACATAACAGAACGTAGAGATGATACTCTGTAAATACATGTAGCTATTATCGGCTTATCGAATTGACATTTTGTTGTAAAAAATTATGCAAATTCAATATGATTATATAAAAACAATGTCGCTTAGAATATTATAACGGATGCCAAACCGGCTTATAAACAATTTTCCTATGTGACCATTTGCAAATTCCAGCTACATTAATGAATCGATTATGTTAAATAACAGTTGTTGTAAGCTGCAATTATAACAGCCAGTTAGCAGCTGCTTATTTCAAATTGATGACTTATCTGCCGAATTTTCATTCAGACAACATAATAAACATATTGCTATAAAACGTTTAATTGCATCTTCGTTGAAATTTGAACTTCAAGTAATTATTTTTATTTTTTATTGAAAACTCGAGTTACGATCGCGTTTTTAGGGGAACACAAATAATGGCTCGCTGTTAATAACAGCGAGCAAAATGCTAAGTTTTTGGATGCCAAAAAACATATGTTAGATGAACGACAATTAGAGGTTCCGTTCGTTCAGCTTATTTAGTGAGTCTTGGCCGTGCAAATAATAAATTTGCCACTATAAATTATAGAAATTGCGCATCCGTTTTGCCAATAGCAGCGGACAAAGGCCAAAACCAAAAGCACAATCGCGCCACAAAGCAGCAATAGACACGCAGAAAAGACGCAAACACTAATAAACCAACAACTACAACTACAACAACAACAAGAACAACAACTAAAACGACGACAACAACACCTGCTGCAAAATGGAGGCGGAGGGTCTGACAAATGAACAAACGGACAAAGTGCTGCAATTTCAGGACTTGACTGGCATCGAGGACATGAACGTCTGTCGTGATGTGCTCATACGTCATCAATGGGATCTCGAGGTAGATGCGCACCGTTTCGCTGCGAATGCAATTAATTAACACTTTTTGAACTTTGTGAACTTTGTCGCTGCAGGTGGCCTTTCAGGAGCAGATGAACATACGCGAAGGTCGGCCCACCATGCTAACAGCGTCGACAGATGTTCGCGCTCCGGCTGTTATCAATGATCGTTTCCTGCAACAGGTCTTCTCAGCGAATATGCCCGGCGGCCGAACGGTGAGCCGGGTGCCCAGCATTGGGCCAATGCCGCGCAGCTTTACGGGCATGCTCGGCTACGTGATCAATTTTGTGTTCCAATACTTTTACTCGACTCTGTCGGGCATTGTCCGTGCATTTATTAACATTGGCGGCGGCAACGAGCCGCGCATCATTACGGATCCGCTGGCCGATGTAATGAAGTTCATACGCGAGTATTATGAACGTTATCCGGAGCATCCGGTATTCTATCAGGGCACATATGCCCAGGCACTGAACGATGCCAAGCAGGAGCTACGCTTTTTGCTTGTCTATCTGCATAAGGATCCAACCCAAAATCCGGATGTGGAGTCGTTTTGCCGCGACACGTTATCCTCACGCTCAATCATCGACTATATTAACACCCATACGCTGCTTTGGGGCTGTGACGTGTCCACGCCGGAGGGCTATCGTGTCATGCAAAGCATTACGGTGCGCACCTATCCGCTGATGGTGATGATTAGCCTGCGAGCCAATCGTATGATGGTTGTGGGCCGGTTCGAGGGTGATTGCACGCCCGAGGAGCTGCAACGCCGTCTGCAGGCGGTGATAGCTGTCAACGAAGTGTGGCTCAGTCAGGCGCGCGCCGATCGCCTGGAGCGCAATTTCACACAGACGCTGCGTCGCCAGCAGGATGAAGCCTATGAGCAGAGTCTGCTGGCTGACGAGGAGAAGGAGCGCCAGCGCCAACGGGAACGGGACGCCGCTCGCCAAGTGCTGGAGGCCGAGGAACGTGCTCGTCGCGATGTTGAGCTGCGCAAAGAAGAGATTGCCAGGCAAAAGATTGAGCTGGCCAATCTGGTGCCCCCCGAGCCACCAGCCGATGCAATCGATGCCATCGCCGTTGTATTTAAGCTGCCCAGCGGAACGCGTCTGGAACGACGCTTCCAGCAAACTGATTCCATTTTGGTAAATACAAAAGTTTACTCTTATCAATGCCAAATCGTATAATTTGTATTATTTTCAGGACGTTTATCATTTCCTCTTCTGCCATCCCGCATCGCCGGATGAATTCGAAATAACAACGAATTTCCCCAAGCGTGTACTCTATTCCAAGGCGGCCATAGACGCCGCCGAGTGCGCCGTCAATGATATCGTCAACAAGACACTTAAGGAGGTCGGCCTCAAGAATCGTGAGGTGCTCTTCGTCAATGACCTGGAAGCGTAACCAACCTCTACCACCAAAAAGAAACTATAAAAAAACAACAACAACAAATAACAACAAAAAAAGCAAGCAAATGAATGATAACTAAAATCATTGTGTTACCAGCTAAAAACGCATTACCAAAAAACTTGAACCAAGTTTGAAGTAGTCGTAGTCCTCACGTCCCAGAAACTTGGGAGGGATTTAGGAGGTTAGACACATAACACATATTCCTAATTTAATCACAAATATAAACATAATTGTTTAACAATGTTTATGTTGACTTTCGTCTAACGGTGCCCCCGAACACCGATTCCCCCCCAAACTTCTTTTCGAAACAATTTCCATATATTATTTTTTTTTCATTAGGTTTTTCTTACACAAATGTTGCTTTAGCTGTACTTACGTTTGAATAATTTAATTTTACAAATTAAATAGAAATGAAGACATCATGACAAAATACAAAAAGTGTCTAAACTAGTTTTGGTAGAACTTTATTGATTTACGTATAATGCAAATACTGTGAAAACGATAAGCAATTTATAGATGGCTGAAGAACAAGTTGATGCAATTTGATTAATAATAATTATAATTTTAATAAACTTAAAATTTCGTAAACGAGCATAAGTTTACGAAGATTCTGAAAAAAATTGCTAAATAATACATGAAGTTATTTTTTTTTAATCCACATAATTTGAATTAGTGGCAAGTTTATAAATAAACATAAAGTTGAGAATCGATACCAGCATCGATGCGAATTTGTTTTGCAAGGCATCGATACGCTGACATGCAGGCAATATTGAACACAGGGTGACTCACGTGAGCGAATCTCATGAGTCAACTTGTTAAAGATATTTGTTGTACTTGCTAAAAAGCCACACACTCAATTAACGCGTGAAGTTTTGTGAAATTGCCAAGATTTACGCTGGACACACAAAGCGGCAACTGCAGTGATTCCGAGGAAGATTACGTTTGGCATAATAACGACGAGCGTGCACATCTCCTGCCCAAAGCAGGCCGAGCATCGAGTAGTTTTGGCTTGCGGCCTAAGTTAAGGCAGCTGGCGTCTCAGCTGTTTGACCTAGAGGAGGTGCAGCAAATCAAGCGTGGACTACGTCAAGTGAACTACCAGAAACTCGCCCAAGAGCTGAACAACAGTAAATACCCCAAAGCGATGTCGGCACCAACAACCTCTTCAGTGGGCGATGCGGCCGCAGCGCTCTCTGGCAATTTGCAGCTGCCGCCGCTGCGCACTCTGGATGACTTTGTGCTGGGCTCGGCGCGCTTTCAGCTGCCCAATCTGAAGGACTTTGACAAGTGGGGCAATCGTGTGGTCAAGAACTTGCTGTACTATCAAACCAACTATTTTCTCGTCTTTCTGGCCATCTATGTGATTATGATTGCCTTCAATCCGACGAAAATCATAAGCGGCTTGCTGGTGCAAGCCCTGATCATTGCCATCATTTGGCAGTTCTTCAGCAGCAAGTCGAAAACGAATTTCATAGCCAGCCGGCTCACTGGCGGCAATCAAATCCTGGCCCAGCAGAATGCCCAGCAAAAATGGTACATCCTGGCGGGTGCCTTGCTGGCCGGTTATTTGTTTTTGCACATGATTAGCGCCGTGTTGTTGACCGCTTTTACCCTGCTGCTGCCCATCTCGGTGACCTTTATACATGCCTCGCTGCGGCTGCGCAACATCAAGAACAAGCTGGCAAATACCATTGAGAGCTTTGGACCATCTACGCCCATGGGCGCCTTTTTGGATGCATTGAACGTTCGCGCCGATGGAGTATTGAATTGAAAAGACAGCAGCAGCTACAAGTTGCAGCTGGAGCTAATGCTGATTGTTGGCCATGGTTGAGGAACGTCTACCCTTTAATAGTTATGCATGCTGATGCTTTAAATCACTGTATCCATATGTATTGATTCTTTTTTATAAAATTAAATATGATTTCTTATTATCCATGTATTTCTTGCTACAATAAATGTCAATAAAGTTGTCCCCTCAAGTATAGTATGATATAGACGCTTGCAGTTCGTGTGTTACGTGGCGCCAAGTGTGAGTTAAGTGATTCACGTTTTTAGATAAGATTATAGATCTACTTTGGTAAAGGTATCAAACATATAGTTCCTATTTAAACTCTCAAAAAGCCTTAAGCTTTCAGCTGCTTCCAAATTTGCCTATAAACTTGGAATCTGCATCCGGGATAAATCATTTGGGATACACGCAAGTCACGCTTCGACGACATTTAGATATATACTCGACTGTAACCAGAGACAATCAAACGGAGAGACATAAGCTACGCGCAGGCACAGATTTGGGTAAAAGGATAAAACCCTTTAGGGACTGGAACTTTTTCTCCTAATGTCCATATGGGAATGCACCAATCCAGCAAATTAAATTGCCAGCTGTAGTGTCCTCTACTGCTCTGTCTATTCCACACAGTCAACGAGCGCCTCAACTATTTTGGATTCCAGCTTACAGCCTGCAATCTTCTTCATGCTCTCGCGCAATTGAATTGTTGCATTACATTTGACTAGCGGCTGTTGCAGGCTGCAAAGCCATTCCTTGGGTACCTTGTGCTTGGAAGGGCATATTGGCATCTCCTCCAGAAAACTGGCTGGACAGTAGGTCTCGTCATGCAGTTTTACAAAGTTATGCAGCACAACAGCAGCTCGAATGATCTTCTCGGCATTGCCCGGACTCTGACGCAGGGGCAGGGAAAGGACACGCCAACGTGACATTAGAACACTGAAAGCCTTATCAATGCTACCAGCTAGAGCACGCGACAAATGCTTATTGAAATGCAGCTGATCTTGGTCCAACTGCTGCGTTACATAAGGAGTAACCAGATGCTCGAGCATGGGAAACGACGCGCCTGCTATGAATGTGTATATAAAGTTGGTTTTTCGTTCAGCCTCAGGCAATGGCTCTGCGGGCAACAGGTCGCCCAATTGCTGGCTCAGTAACGGCGCGCCGAAATCCTGATGCCAATGGAGCTGATTGTTGACAGCATCGGTCACTGTGGCAATGTCAAAGCACGTAAAGTTCAGATTTGCATCGCAGCTGGCCAACAGTATCATATCATTTTCGCTCTTGTAGGAGATGTCCAGTAGCTTGGCATCCACTGCGCCCAGACAATGTGGCACTTGCCATGCCTCCTGGTAGCCGGCAACAATGTTACTCCAATCCTCCACATTCGGTTGGGGTAGAAAGGCTGGTGCCAGCGTGTTCCACAGCACTTCGCTTGTTTCTTGCACAATGCAACGCACTGTAGAGCTGCCCATTTTGAAGGCCTTGGACAAATCCACCACACGCTCTGCATTGGATAAATAGCTACAAAAAGAGTATGCTTGAAACATAAGAAACTCACTCGCATTATACTCACACCAGTGTTAGGAAGAGCCTGCACTCCGGCGGTATGGGTCTGCGTATGGAGTTCTTGTTCAATTGCTCGCCCACCAAACTGAAGAGCATGTCAAACACCTGGGGAGTCATGCCTGTGCGCAGACGAAATTCATCCTGGTTGTGTGCAGTGTGAAAGGTGGTGGCAAACAGTCCATCAATATCGCGACTCAGATTCTCTTGTTTTACCCAAAATCTTCGATTGCTGCTGCGCTCAGCGTGTGCTGTTGCCATGGCTCGCCGCCTTTTGCTCGGCGGGGACATGGTCTGCTCTCGTTGCTCTGGCAAAGGTGAGGACAATGTACGCTTTTTTGGCCATTTTGCGAGTACATGCAGTGCTTTATAAGCTAAGGGCACAACTTGCTGCAGCCAGTGCAGCTCTTTGATGTCCATTTCCACGAGAATTGAATTCTGCGCGCAGAAAACGTTACTCCATCTGATTTCGATATGAATTATCGATAATCAATCAGCTGCTCAAAAATCGAAATCAATGTTGCCAATCTTCATGCAGATTTGGTTTTCTGAAGTTTAACACCTTATTTTGCATTATATTTTCTTGATGACCTGAAGGTATAGAGTTTGAAAATATGAATTAATAGAACGAGAAAGTTTCAACCATTTTTAGGTTAGTTCCTAATGAATGTATCTATTTATAGCAATATTTTCTGTTCGATATTTCAGCTGTTTATGATCTTCGGCAGTTGGCAACACTGAATCTAAGTAATTTACTGTAAAACCATAACAGAAATGACGTTAAGTGCGATTGTTTACGTCAGCCATTTCTGCTATCTCTGATCATCAACAGTTGGCAACGCTGAATCTAAGTTACAGTTATTAAATGCGATTGTTTTCTTACACTAAATTCCAAAACCCGCTTCAGAAAATTCACTGAGTAGTTATATTCTTAAAATTTATTGTTAAACTATGATGTTAATTAGCTCTTTGGAAGCGCAGACATGTCGCAGCAATTGGATATTAACTGTGATTCACTTATTGAGATAGCGCCCAGTGAATGGAACATTTTACTCAATCTCTATGCGAAGAAAAAAAGCGAATCTTCTGGATATCCGTTAATAAGCAATTACATCAAATGGAAGGCCAAAGAACCCGATTTGGATATTCAATGTTTATCACTAAACGGGGACTGGCAAGCCGACGGCACTTTTCTAATGATTGTACATAAAAACAGACTCGATAAGTGTGCAGAGTTTTATGCTAGAAAATATATGCGACTCCACATGATGCTCATTTTTTGATATATTTTCTAGGTTGGCAATCGAACCCAGCGAAAAATGGTGTTCTTTAATACACTAAGCGAGAGTCTGGAGCGTTTGACCAAGGCGCTGCTCTGTTTGCCATCTGGAGTTGTGGAATATCTACTCCATGATTATGGCCAGCGTCTTGTGCCCGCAGTCGATGCCTACATTAGAAAATGTGCCAACCGACAGCTGCAAACAACGCAAACAGCTTGGTACAAAGCCAGCAAAGAACTTGTTGCTACCTTCTCAACGGAGTATGATTTTAAAAGCCATAAATTAACCATTGTATCCATTGACGTTTCTATGCTTTTAGGCCAGCTGCTGGAATCCAGTTGCGCAGCTTGAATACTGCCGATGCTGCAACCATAAATGAGAACTGGCCCTATGGCTCCAAGGATTCTGTGCAGTTTGTCAAGCGTCTGATAGACTACAATGTTTCAATTGGTGCCTATGATGCCCATGGCAAATTGTCAGCCTGGTGCTTAAGGTAGTCCAACTGTCAGTTAACTAAATAAACCTTGTATCTAATTGATGACCTTTGCAGATTGCCAATTGGTGCGCTGGGCTTGCTGCAAGTCATGGAATCTCACAGGCGCCTCGGCTTAGGCAGTTTGATGGTGCGCGTTTTATCCAGGAAAATTTCTGAATTGGGCGAAGAGGTCTTGGCACCTGTTGTCACGGAAAACACGCCGTCGCGGAAATTGTTTGAGCGACTGGGCTTTCAGAAAGTTGATAACGTCTATTGGACTGGCTAGAAAGTTTTAGTTGCCTTCACATAAACGGATAAACAAACTAAAAAAAATAAAACTGTGAATACGCACCATCAATATGGAAATCTAAGAGTCCACAAGAGAACTTTTACTGTATCGCAACCATTGTCATATGCTGCGAGTTCTTCACTTTTGGCACGGTTTCTTTTGAAGAGCTTTGAATAATCGATGGACACACATAAATTTGACGCCAGCAAATTTGCCTGGGTCACGGTCACTCTCGTTGGTCGCCAGATGAATATTAATAGCATTGCAGATGTACTTTCATAATTGCTTCCCTTTCGGACGATCCGCAACAAAATGTTCTCTGAGAGAGTTTGCGGACTGGACTCTCCCAATTTCTGTTACTGTTGCGACAATTCGAAAAAGGGAACTTATTTAATATACAACCCGTACATAGTAAATAATTGCATAAGCGCCTTTTGAAAAAGATTTTGCCATTCTAGAATCAGTTCGTAATTGCTGGAGCAAGCGTTTCGTTCTAACAATTAAGCACATGTTTATAAAGAGAAATTACTGCTAAAATGTTGGAATTAGTTCGCGATGATTGGACGCTGCTGAGAGATTTGTATCGAAATGATCGTACGAGTCTGACGGGCTATGATTTAATTAATAACTATATTTACTGGCCGGATCAGGCAGAAAATGTGAAAATTTATACAACAAACGAAAATTGGCTGAAACACGGCAGCTTTGTGCTAATTGTTAGTAGCTTTCAATTTACATGCGCTTTGTGTTTATTAATTATAAATTATATTACAGCACAGTTCCAATGACAAGGCAGATGTTTTCTTCAATACGTTAAATGGATCTTTGTTGGAACTGCAAGCGCTGCTCAGTTCCTTGAAACTAAACAGCAGACATTGGTTTTGCGGCTATAGACATCTTTTGAGAAGTATTGTTGACAAATATTGTGCGGAAAGGCGTTTGAAGCTTAAGAAGTTGGAGCATTTAGAAACATTTGTCTATTATTTGCCACAATCGGCGATTCAACCATTTGATTGCCGGTAAGATGAAATATTGTTCGCGATGATATTTTATAATTTACTTACACGCTTTTCAGCTTAATTGCAGATATCAGTTTCGGTCCCCTGGACATCAAACATGCATCTCAAGTGGATGAGCACTGGCCCCACCGTTCAAGTGATTCCCTAGCATTGATAAGCGATCGCATTAGAAATAATGTCAGCGTGGGCGCTTTCGATAGGGACGGCCAGTTGTTGGCTTGGTGCTTGAGGTTATTATTTAAAATAATACGTTTTCACACGCTTACAAATGTTTTCCATTGACAGATCCTTGCAAGGCGGCCTTAGCAATTTGTATGTTCTGCCCCCGCACAGACGTCTCGGACTGGCCTCGTTGCTGGTGCGTTTTATGGCTCAAGAAATTGCAGCAACAGGCGCTGAGGTTTTGGCCACAATTGCGTTTGGCAATAGGATATCACAGATATTTTTTGAAAAGCTAGGATTCAAGCTCATTGATAATATATACTTTACCACGGTGCCGGCTTATTGATCGAAAGTTATGCAACTCAAAAGCAATTAGTTTTTAAATATGCATTTAAGCGAGACATTTAGAGGCTTAATAAAACCAAGAACAGCTCTGAGCTGGCGGGCACAGAATATTTTCAGAGCACTTGGTAGCTTAAGCTAATCTTTTTAATAAATCTTATTGTAATCAGCAAATTTCCACATGGGTTTAATTATTTACATTTAAATGCGCGGGCTTCTAAAACTTCCTTCAAATAACAAATTATCGATAACAAAATTGATGCTGCTTATTGAACAGGGCGGCGAATTGATGTGTGCGGCGAATTGAAATGCAATATGAGACCGGCGCAGCTACAACCGAACCTCGTTGCAGTTGCTGTTACGACGCGCTTCGAACGTGTTCGGTCTGGTCTGGTATTTATATTAAAGCGAGTTTCTCTTAAGCACTCAATATCAAACATGTTGGCAATTGCTCGCGATCAGTGGAGGCTACTGAGAGATTTATATCAAGGCGAGCGTACGAATCTAACGGGCTACGATCTAATTAACAGTTTTATCTGTTGGTCAGAGTGTGGTGAAAATGTACAAATTTATGTGACAGACGCCAATTGGCCGAAACATGGCAGCTTTTTGCTAGTTGTAAGTAGATATTAATTTATTTTTATATTCTATTTCTTGAATATTTGTTTATCACAGCACAGTTTTGGCAACAAGGCGGAGATTTACTTCAATACACTGGGCGAATCCTTGGACCAGCTGCAATTGTTGCTAAGTTCTTGGCAACTAAATGTGAGACATTTATTTTGCGGTTATGGAATTCGCTTCAAACACGTTGTCGAACAATATGGGCTGCGCAGAGGTCTGCGCTTAGGCCAATTGGAACATCAAGGCACATTTGTATATCATTTGCCACATTCGGAAATCAAACAACTCGATTTGGGGTAAGTAAAAACTGCTTATAAGAATTCTTGTTTGTTTACAATTTTGATTAGCCCAATTTCAGACATAAAAGTGGGTTCCTTGCACTTGACACATGCTGCCGCAGTGGATGCCCATTGGCCTTATCGCTCGAATGACTCTTTGATGTTGATAAGAAATCTTATACAGCATAATATCAGCGCAGGTGCCTTCGACAGCGAGGGACAGCTGCTGGGCTGGTGCTTAAGGTAATCTCGATTAATAAATGTACGTTTAATTACCTACTAATACCTGGCTCTCTCTCTCATAGATCTCCACACGGCAGCCTAAGTAATTTGTACGTTCTGCCCCCGCACAGACGACTCGGACTGGCCTCGTTGTTGGTGCGTTTTATGGCTCGGGAAATTGCAGCAACAGGCGCCGAGGTTCTGGCCACAATTGTCTTCGACAATGAAATATCTAGAAAATTGTTTGATAAGCTGGGATTTAAGCATATCCACGATGTATATTGGGCTGTTGTGCCCGCGTCCTGATCAAGTTTCAATTAAATACATATGCTTTTCAGTCAAATGATATTAATTGTATAATAATATTATAATAATAATAATAACAATAATAATAATACTATTAATGATAATAATATTATTTATTCGTATAAAAAATTAAAATGTCATCAAAATAATTATATTAATAGTTAATCAAAATAAAACTCAAAATAAAATATTTGATTAAATTTATAAATTCACAATTTTTATGTTAAGCTTATTAAAATAGCGCAAAAAAGGCAAATGAGGATAGATGAAGCTCAAAACATTAGAGAATTGATAGTAAAGTAATGAAGAAAGCAAATGAATATCAAATAATTTTTAACGAGGGCATTTAATCTAACTGAAGCCCTTATCAAATCATAAAGTTTTAATCAAGCCATAAAGCCAGGCAGATTTTCGTTGTTCTTTACAGATATTTTGTGCAATGTTAATCGTGCCAGCTGTTAAATAGCACACACACACACACGCACAAGTTTATCAGCGCACACATACGCACATAAATAGCTATACATGTATACATAATGCTTACATTGAGTCAAATGAATTATTGCTCTGCTCAGTTGTGTTACAGCCTTTCGGCGAGTCGGACATGTCGCAGCTGCAATATAAATGCCATACTCTGGTTGAGATAGCGCCCAGCGAGTGGAAAACTTTACTCGAACTCTATGAGTGTAAAAAGACGGAATCAAATGGATATTATTTAATAAAAAACCATATTAACTGGCTGGCCAATGGCGACAAAACTGATGTCAAATGCTTCTCGCTGGACGGCGACTGGCAAACGGATGGCACTTTCCTAATGATTGTACGTAGCTCAGAGAAAAGAAACAAATATGTAATACGATGTGTGTTTTGTAGAAACACTTGGCGTTCCACAAAGAAGTCTCTTTCAATACGCTCAGCTCGAACCTGGATCGTTTGACCAATGCGCTGCTCTGTTTGACATCCAAGCCCGAGGAGACATACGTGTTCGCTGCCTATGCGCAGCGTCTTGTGCCCGCCGTAGAGTTCTGCGCCAAGCAATTGCCGAACTTACGGCAAGAGACCACGCAGACAGCTTGGTACAGTGCCAGCAGAGAGCTGGTGGCTACCTTTTCAGCGCAGTAAGTTAGTTAATTGCAGACCCTTTGGTTAATTCATAAACACTTGTATTTTGTAGGCCACCTGCTGGCATCGAGCTGCGCGGCTTGTGCTTAGAAGATGCCCCAACCGTAAATGAAATCTGGCCACATCGTGCCGCCGGCTCCGTGGAGTTTGTCAAATTGTTGATAGTCCACAACGTTTCGGTGGGCGCCTATGACGAACAAGGCAAATTGATAGCCTGGTGCTTGAGGTGAGTTTCGCTTCAATATCACCACACAACAAAGCTGCAAAGCTAGCAACATGTAAGGTTGTTCGGTTCACATCGTTATTGAGCTGAACCGGTTCAAAGCTGGAATTTCAAAAGTCCAGGCAAAAGTTGAACTAAAATCCAACTAGAAAACATATTGACACAGATCAAGTCCCTATGCACAAATAACTTTGTACCCAAACATTTCATTTATCTAATTATTTATAACAGATGCAAACTTTGGGAAAATATAGCCCTGATCTTGCATATGAAAATAAGTAAGATTTGCTATATTTTCAGTACAACGGGCATTTGTAAATTAAATAGTAATGAAAATTCAACATATTTGACAGGCTTGAATTTTAACATAAGCAGAAAAGAATGAAATGAGCAAAAAATGGTTTGGTTCAGTTTTAGGCTCGACTGTTCCTTAGCTTGGTTCATGAAAAGAACTATTTTGATTCAGGTCTTAAACTGGTTCAGCTCAAAAGATACTTGGTACAGATTTACGTATAGACATCTAAAGCTTTCTGTTTCTGTTTTAGATTGCCAATTGGTTCGCTGGGCCTGCTGCAGGTGCTCGAATCCCATAAGCGCCTCGGCCTGGGCAGTTTGATGGTGCGTTACCTATCCAAGAAAATCTCTGAAATGGGCGACGAGGTCCTGGCGCCTGTTGTCACGGAAAACACCCCATCGCGGAAAATGTTTGAAAAGCTGGGCTTTCAAAAAATCGACAACGTATACTGGACTTGGTAGATGGTATAGAAAAGTATTGAATAATGCATAATGTTAATTATCATATTCCAAATTCTGTTAATCCAACAACAAATAAATGGTTTTTATAGATGCAAATAAAATCCAACTGGTTTTGATTTTTCTTTTGTGAATATTTCGGATCTAAGCTGTAGCTATACATTTTATAACCTAAATTTCTTAACGAATTTTTTTTGTTTTTGCCAATCTTGATTCTCAATATAAATGTAAATGTTTTTAAACTAACCTTAACTCCCTTTCCTTCTTTAATGTGCCACGGACAAGGCCTGGCAACATTATTTTTGGTTAAAATTCATGTGGAAATACATACACACACATACATATATATACACACATTAATACATACATACATACAAACACATACACACATAAAAACATACACACATACATACATATGTACCTGTATGCATGCCTACTTACATACATACTTACATACCTGTACACATACATACATACATACACACACATACATAACTACATACATACATACATACATACACACACATACTTACATGCATACATACATACATACAAACTTAGCTACTAAAGCCTCCTGGTCCGCCCCCTTGGTGCTCCTCCGCCATGCTCCACCGGCTCCTCAGCTGCTAGCATTGAAGCCGCCTGCGTCTTATTCAAAGGTGAAACCTGCAAACCTTACTTACATTTTTGAGAATCGAGGAGGAGGGCAGCATTTAATAAATACGTTTTCTTATTTCAATTTGCCGCGCATTAAGCCAAACTGATCTGCTATTGGTATAGAAGACAATTTACATACATACATACATACATACATACATACACACACACACACACACACACATACATACATACATAATTACATTCGCACATGTCAATTCAAGCAATTTGGCATCTAAATCTGACAGCATTATTCTTAGTCGAAGTTCATGTAAAATATCCTATATAGACATCGGCCAAAATTTCCCAGCCCCACAAATCTCATCAATTTGGCATCTAAAGCGGGCAACAATACTTTGTTTCGTATGAAACTCTGCTTTATAAATGATTAATTTACACATTTTAATACGTAACCCGTCAGACCTGTCGAAATATGATTTATTAGCTGAACGAAACGAAACGAAATGGAAAACAAATTGAATATAATAAAATATGACTTATTTAAAAAAATTTCAAATTGAAAATCTTAGAAATCGATTTGTAATAGCATTACGTTCGTAAATTTACCAGCCATAGATTATGGATTTGCATGTACGTAACGTAGGCAAAAGAACTGTATATTTGTTTCTTTGCGAAAGGGGGAAACACCCGAATTATCACAAAAGCTGAGGCAAGCCAACTTTCCCAGTAAACCCCAAGCGATAAATGACAAATCTCTTGTCATAATACGCATAGCCGATAAATCAATATATATATAATGCCATCCTGCGCATTGTTAACGCCAAAATTTTTTTAGAATCTATACGAATAGCCCATGAATATTAATATCTGTAAATATTTGCTCAAACAGTTATGGTCCGCAAAAAAAAAGGTAGAGAGCGACAAGAATTAGCATTCTGATCGCATTGAAAGAAGTTCAAGAGCGTGAAACAGTTGAAAAGCAAATAGCCGACCGACTAGTAGCTACCCTGTAAACAACATCGAATTTCTGTTACATAAATTTAAACATTTGTATCACGCTTATTGCGAGCTTTGCCTGCACTAGAAATTAATCTTTATCGATACTTATCGATTTTTACATTGAGACATAATACTTATCGATACTTATCGATTTTGAGACTAGGATACCATCTGTACCGATACTTATCGAGTTTGATACCAGAATATAGTTCTTGTCGATACTTATCGATTTTGATACTATGATATAATCTGTATCGATACTTATCGATTTTTACACTAGGACATAATTCTTATCGATACCAATGGATTTTGAGACTAGAATATAATCTGTAGCGATACCTATCGATTTTGATAACAGGATAATCTGTATCCATACTTATCGATTTTGATACTATGATATAATCTGTATCGATACTTATCGATTTGAACACTAGGACATAATCCTTATCGATAGCAATGGATTTTGAGACCTATCGATTTTGATAACAGGATATAATCGGTATCCATACTTATCGATTTTGTTACTATGATATAATCTGTATCGATACTTATCGATTTTGAGCAAAAGGTTTTCATTGATAATTTAACATAGTGTATATCTAGAATGTACATTAATGAAGTAATTGCGTAAGATGCATTCTACTAACTTTACATACCTCGCTGTTACATACCTAGGCACAAAACCAACAGACCCTTTTTGTGTGGGTATCGACTTTGAAAACATATCCGCACAAGCGAATCTTCGCCGTAAGAGGATTTTATGTTAAAGAGAGCCTGGTGAACATACCATACAGAATGCTTGTTAGACCCAATACGTAACTGGATCAACCTTTAAGAAATCACAATGCAAGCCATGTAAACAATAATGGGGTATAACCCAGCAGCTATTTGTTGTTTTTTTTTTCGTTTATTTTAAACGCCAATGCAATGAGTTGTCATCAATGGGCGAGAGCGGAGAGCGTTGCCAGCTGAGCATTGTCTGTGGCAGATGGGGCAGAGCCAAGGGGCGTGACGGGCGGGGCGGGGAGCGGGGGTCGGCTTGGGATCGCACTTGTTGTTGATAACGAGTTTTATTTTTCGCATCAACTTATAAATTGAGGTGCGCGAAGCGTGACAAGCTCAGTTTAACAGCAGCTTTAAAGGCGTTAACATCGCGTGCGCGTCCACTCAGTGTACACACACACACTCTCATACTATATATACATATATATATATATAAAGGGGAAAAAAAAGTCGTAACTGAAGATAAGCATAAATTTAGAAAATGTTGCGTTCGTTGTGCTACGGCCTGCTGGCCTTCGCCTGCCTGTTTTCCATGGGAAATTCCGACCTAGAGCTGTTGCGCGATGTACGCAACCAGGAGAACCAGGCCCTGGTGCAGAAATACTACGATGCACACTCGACGCTGCCGCCACTGTTGTCGCCTGGCCTTGTCGCCAGCTTGTCAGCGCCCGCTGAATATGCTAGTCCCAGCTATAGCTACAGTGCTGGTTCCGGTTCCGGTTCGAGTACGGGCTATGTGGATGTGGCCGCCTCGGATGATATTGCACGGCATATTTTGACCTTCGCGCAAAATCTGTCCAATCAGATTAACAGCAGTAATCGCAAAACAACCGTATTCTCACCGCTGAGCATTATGTCCGCGCTGGCGCTGCTGCTGCTCGGCGCCAAAGGGCGCAGCTACACGGAACTGATCGCCGTATTTGGCCAAAGCGACATGGTTAAGCTGCACGAACAGTTCGGCCTCATGCTGCAGGATGTGCAGCAGCCAACCAGGCAGACGACCTCGCCGCAACGCCAGCTGGACGCGTGGCACAGCAACAGCATACGGCGCAGCCTGCGCACCTATCCGCGCAACCGGAACGCGCCGCAGGAGGTGCATGTGGCCAACGGGCTGTTCCTGCAGTACGGCTACAGCTTGAATCCAGATTACAGGTGAGCCATATATATTCTATTGAGAGCAATTCGAGTATGCATGGAAATACCAGCAATTCACATAGTTCCAGTTTTTCTAGAAATAATTGTTTGTCTGATAAACGTGAGCGCGTGATCGAGCTTAATCGACTGCGCAATGCACTACTCGCAGTCAGAAAAAAGAGAAAAGAATAGTTTGAAAAGCGTTGCTTTGGTTATGGGCAAAGTGGCTCTCAAACTGTGGCTTGAGAAATGATCGATTATTGCGATCTGTGAACAATAATACATTTTTTTTTTTTTCTACTCAAGCATAAAATAAGCTCTTGGTAATCTTTCTGTCCTATAGTTCTAAAACTGTAATTCCCATATATAAACAAATGGACACAGAGCAAATTGAAATATTATTATCTTCCTACTAAACAGGGTATACAATTTCAATTTATTATTGGTAATTACCTTGTTATTCTGTAATATGCTCTCTACAAGCTTATCTTATTTTCGATAACAAACTATCGATAAGAATCGATACATTTTAGAGCAGGACTCAGGCTAACTGTGAATATTTGAAATCATGAATGATTTCTACATAAAAAAATAAAACAAAAATATCTTATTTTCGATAACTGCCTAAATATCGATAAGAATCGATACTATTAACTGTTAATATTTGAAATCATTAATGATTTCTACATAATGAAAGAATATTCAAATATACTTGAAATTTGAAGAAGCAAAGGACCTTGAATTGTCCGTTCCGTCACGGAACTTAAATCAGAGTCTGGTCTGCGTCTGGATACCCTTTGTTTTGGATGCGTAATAAATGAATATCAATTTCAATTGTTCTTTTTACAGACAAGCGATCATTCAAATCTACAAATCGGACCTACAGACGCTCGACTTTCAGCGTAGTCCAGCCATAGCGAAATATAACATCAACTCGTGGGTGGAACAGCACACGAAGGGCAAAATCGAGAATATTCTGACAGATGATTTGCCACAGGACACACGCATTATAATGGCCAATGCTTTGTACTTTAAGGCCATGTGGGAAATTGATTTTATTGGCGGCGCGACCAAAGTGGAGGAATTCTATCCGAATGGCGAGGGCACCCAGCCCGTGCTGCCCGTGGAGATGATGGTCGGTGCCGGCGCCTTTCCCTACTATGAGGATCCGCAGCTGAATTGTCGCATTATTGGTCTGCCGTATCATGGTAATCTCACGACCATGTACGTTATACAGCCGATGCGTTCATCCGTGGTGGAGCTGGCGCAATTGCAGCAAAGACTTACTGCGGATGCCATTGAGCACATGATTGGCCAGATGAGCAGACGATCCATAATTATAGCATTCCCCAAGCTGCACATTACCGAATCCTTCAAACTGCACAGCCTGCTCGAACGCATGGGCATCGGCGGCATCTTCAATCCCGTCCAAAGCGATCTGTCATTGATAGGCACAAATCAACCGGCAGCAGCTGTTCCGGCAGTGGCAACGGATCGCAGCCATGCGGATGGCTTGGCCAGCTTGCGGAACCTGGTGGCACAGCGGCAGGCGGCAATGTCAGTACAAGGCCCAACTCCGCCTTCCGATCTCATTGTATCCGATATTTTGCACAAGGTTGACTTTGTGGTCAATGAACAGGGCACTGAGGCGGCCGCTGCATCGGCTGCTATTCTGAAAAAGTCTGGTCCCGAGGTGGTATTCCGCGCCGAGACACCATTCATGCTGCTGGTGCGTCACGATCTGACAAAGCTTCCATTATTCTACGGCCTGATCAATGAGCCGCCCACAGTCAAAGCCGCCAGTTCAGAGCGTCAAAACTAGAGACCTAAGTAACTTTCATAATTAGCAACTTAAGTAGTTAGCATTAATAACTAAGCCTGTGCATGTATTTATAAAATTTCCATTATAAGATTGTTAGTAAATATATAACTATAAATATGTTAAACAATCTAATTAGTGTACATATGTAAATGAGCCTTAAATTCAATAAGATTAATAAAAAGACATCAAAACGGACTTTCAGTTTTGTTTTAAACTTCCCAAATCCATGGCAAATGCCCCTCCCTTATATACTTTTCGATTTGAACATAACCGCCATATAACGATAGCTTAAAATGGCGATTAATGTATCGATAACATTTGCAAGCACTGTGAATGGCAAAAATCGAACAGCCAGCCCTGAACAACAGCTGTTATTAGTTTACATCTGAAAAGGCCAAGAACAAATTAAGCCCAGCTCCGTTATTTTGCGCGTAATAAAGTCAAAATGATGTCGCTACCCGACTCTGATTCTGAGGACGAGCTGCCGCCAGGTTGGGAGGAGCGTGCCACCGACGATGGCGTTGTCTGCTATGTCAAGTATGTAGCCCCCGAATCTCCAGCTTCAAGGGAGACATAAAACCTGTCCCGTTGCAGTCAACAGAGCAAAACCTCACAATGGACACATCCGCGAACTGGACGCTCCAAACGCATTACCGGCGAGCTGCCCCTGGGCTGGGAGAAATACTACGATGAGCAAAGCAAACGTTTCATGTTCCACAACAAGGAAACGAAACAGCGCACCAATATTGATCCACGACTGGCATTTGCTGTCGAGGAGCCCACGTTAAATGTGGCGCAAGTGCGTCAGCGTTTCGACTCTTGCAGCACAGCGCTGCAGGTGCTGCATGGCAAGGATTTGCATGGCCGTGTAGCGCTCATAACGGGTGCCAACTGTGGCATTGGCTATGAAACGGCGCGTTCACTGGCCCTGCACGGCTGTGAAATTATCCTTGCCTGCCGGAATCTAGCATCGGCCGCGGAGGCCATCGAACGCATTGCCCAGGAGCGACCAGCAGCACGTGCCAGGTGTCGTTCGTTTGCCCTGGATTTGGGCTCGCTGCGCAACGTGCAGAAGTTTGTAGAGCAGATCAAGCAGAACTTCAGGTGTGTGGCATCGTCTGTTTACTTTTTGTCGCTGATCTTAATCGATTAACTTCTCTATCTTTGCAGCCACATTGACTATCTCATACTGAATGCCGGCGTCTTTGCTTTGCCACACACCAAAACTGTCGATGGACTCGAGACAACATTCCAAGTATCGCATTTATCCCATTTCTATCTAACGCTGCAATTGGAGTCGCTGTTTGATCACAGGACGCGTATTGTGGTGCTTTCCTCCGAATCGCACAGGTAAGCACAACCAAGCAAGGGTATATTTAACGCAAGCGTTTAAATTGTCCAACCGGCACTAGGTATACTTTAACGGCCGCCACTGTATACGTACTGTAACGGCAGTATTGCTTGTCGCCAATGTGGCGCTAGGTCTATGTTTAGAACTGTCACTGTATTTGAATTTTAAGCGGCATTTGGCAACAGGTACATTATAATGACCGCCACTGTTGCTTATAATCCAACTGCATTTGGCATTATTTCTTTTTAGCAAGTTTATTGCACTTATCGCTTGGACTTTGGTCCGGCGCGCGTCTGTGTTTTCTTTGCGTTGGCGTCGACGCAATTGTGACTAAACTATAAATAGTACGCAATGCGTACAGTCCGAAATACTTGTACACGATAGTCTAGTTTGGGTATATATGTATTTAGCAAGGGGAAAAGGTCATTTAATAATATTTCTTTTAAAATAATAATATGACAATTGTTTCTAATTACAATTCCTTACTTCAAGATCTACAAGGTCAGTTTGTTGCTTTAAGCCTTTGCTAGCTCTTCAAATTTTGACCTTGCAGCATTTGTTTAGGTTTGTGTTTGTTGGAAATTCTGTTTAATCTCGACTTCAAGGCAAAACGCAATTGAACTCCGTATAGAGATTACGTTTGTTTACATATTTACTGCGCACACAACGCACACATTGATATAATAACTACGTCACAAATGTGCCTAACCAATAGAAACGCGACTAGCACTTTTTCGTATGGCATATTTTTAGTGTGAATTGCAATTAATGTGTTTAAAGTAGCTCTATTATTGCAATTTGTTAATTAACCTAACGGTTTTTACTTAATAATTACCTGATAAGTGGTTTCGGTGTTTGAAATTGTTGATTTTATGCAAATGCAAGCTATCACTACAGCGGCAGCTGAAGTTTGTTTACATGTTTGTGTGCATGCACACATACACACTCGCGTTGCGATACCAGCTGAAGGCACACACATACATTCAGTTCACGTGCTGCGCACAAGCACAGTGGTACGCAGGCTAAATTTAACAGATGGCCAACTGTTTGTAGCCGCACTTTGCTACACACACACACACACGCGCGCGCGCGCACACACGGATAAATCAACGAAACTCGCGTGCAGCGACGAAAAGAAGCATAAAACGTAATTGAAGTGAAGTTGTTTAATGTTGGAGGTGGTTTTTGCAGCTGTATTGGTCTTGCTTCTTCTGCGTTCGTTGTTTCCAGCACGTACAACATCTCTTGGCTCTGTTTTGTTGTTTCTGTATCTCGTGGAAGCATGCAGCAACAGTCGCGTGCGCCAAATCGTGTACTCACTAAAAGTCATGTATACCAGCAATCGCACACGTTCAAACACACATGTGTATACATGAACACCCATACATACATGTATATACGCTGACTTATGCGACCAAAAATGTCTGTTTGATGAATGACGCTGAGTTTCTATTGGGGTCAGAATGCCAAGCAGGGTTTGATAGGCGGCCGTTGCATGGAGGACGTCATGTTCTCTTCTTCTTATTGCTATTATGAACAACAATTGATAATGCTAACTAAAGAGAAATCTAAATGAATAATAATTATATAAAATACATATAGAAGTTAGGCATAATGCAGACGCTGTGGAAGTACATCCACAAGCTACATTTATCATGCGTTGGACAAATCAAAATAAAACGGATAAAACTATTTTGCATATCGTTTGCAACACTAGACATACATATACATACATACATACAGACATACATATATGTATGTGTACGCATTTGTCTCAACTAGGACGGCAATAATATAAAAACAAATTCAAAGTCCATAAAATTGCGCGCTTCGATTTGTAACGTTCAAAATTGATGGCATTTACGACCTGCGCATGCGCTACAATTTTTGGTTCTGTCTAAATGTAAAGCGTCAATTATATACACTGTGCATTGTTTTTTGTACAAACCGCTTTGTTGTCGTTGTTCTAGGGCGCAGTTTATTGTTGCGGCATGTAGGCGCCTTAGTCACAGGCATGGCCTGAACTTTTGTTCATGGTTTGAGTCTTGCATCTCATTAACGAGCACTGAACGCCGCCGCCGCACAAACAAAACAACAACAACAAGAACGACAAAGCCAATCAAGACTCGTTTGCGTCCGGCCGGTGGGTGCAAAGTCCAGTTTGGGTTCGACTGGATGATGCTACATTGTATACAAATACAGTGAAAGCTCGCCTTAAGCGAACAAGCGCAGTTTCAGTCTTTATTTGCTGCTTGAATAGATAAAAATAAATTCTTGAAAGATTCCCTTCGAAGTTCACTTTTTGCAACATTTTAGTAAAACAGCTGTTTTTTTTTACAAAAATAAATTAAAGGCTGTTGTAAAGGGTGAACGTCCAACGAGAAAGTTAGCGAAAAGAATGAAGCTCATTGGTGGAGCTTTCACTGTACGCATATGCCGTAAGCCTGTTATGTACAGCAAAAACAAAACAAAACAAATATGCAAAAAGGGACCACATACAACAAACAGTAACTGCGTCTTAAATTAAACTTGAATTTCTTAACCCCCCCCTCCCCCACCCCTCGCCGGCAGATTTGCCAATCTGCCAGTGGAGAATCTAACGCTGCAGCACTTATCGCCGCCAGCAGAGAAATATTGGAGCATGATGGCCTACAACAATGCCAAGCTGTGCAATGTCTTGTTTGCCCAGGAGCTGGCACAGGTGAGTCACGCTCGGCATATTTATATATTTAACATATTTAACCCAATTATCCAAAAATATCCTAACTGCAAGCAGCGCTGGCGGCAACGCGGTATTTCTGTCTTCTCGGTGCATCCTGGCAACATGGTTTCGACTCAACTGTCGCGCAATTATTGGTTTTATTGCCTGCTGTTTGCCATTGTGCGACCCTTTACCAAATCCCTGGTGAGTAGATGCCATACAGTTAGCCTGCCGATGACTTTCACTGGACATTCTTTTTAAACGCAGCAACAAGCCGCCGCCACGAGCATCTACTGCGCGACGGCGAACGAGTTGACTGGCCTGTCGGGTCTGTACTTCAATAACTGTTACTTCTGCGAGCCCAGCAAGCTGTCCAAGTGTGCGGCACTGCAGCAGCAATTGTGGGCGCTCAGCGAGCGCCTGATCCTTGAGCTAATCGAGACGACAGCTAGTTGAATTCAAAGTTTTCTTTTAAATACGTGTGTTTTTTAATAACTATTTCTACATTTTGCATTTTAATAATTATGCGTCGAGTATACAATTTGTTTGTTATTTCTTTTATTCTTAAATCTAAACATTTGAAAAGAAACCTAACTACGTACTAAGGCACAGATTTGTGCTGGACTAGAAATCGGAGACGCGACCCTTGCGCTCCCAGTCGCCGTAGCGTGTGGGCTCCGGTCCAGCGGGTCCGCCAATTTCGCCTGTGTACGGATTTGTTTGGTTCGGCCAGGGCTTGAGTGGCTCCTTCTCCTGGTACGGATGGCGTGAGAACTCATCCAATTTGCCCAGCGGCGTCTTGGCGCGCAATTTCTTCTGAAAGGCCATCAGTTTTTCGGAGGGTGTTTTTGGCTCCTTAATTTCACCGGCTGCCGAATGCCAGGCGCTGCTCGTAGATAGATAGCTCACTGTTTAGGAGAATATATGCATATATAACAAATGTAACAATTAAATTTTGGTCTCGGATAACACTTTGCACACACACACACACACGCACCTTGTTTGCCCAACTGCGGCATTGCCCGCAGCGTCTGTCTTGTCATCGACTGCATATTGTTTTTTTTTTTTTTTTTTCTTTTGAGTTCAAGTTTTGGGCTGTTCTTGTTTACAGTTTTTTGAAGTACCGGTATTTGGGTTTGTCTTCTTCTTGAAGTTGTGGCTGTGTTTGAAAATCAGGCTGTTGTTGTCACTTGCTCGGCTCGTGCACGTTTGTGGCAACTGCGCTGTAGCTCCCTGTTTATATAGCTCCGCGACGGCACGCTGCCTTTTAATTTGCGGGCCGCTGCTGCTGCTGCGATTGCGTTGAAAGCGGCACGTTCAGATTTTATTTTTTTGTGGCTTGTTACGTATTGCAGCTGTGTGGCGATATCGATAACACAATAGTTATCGAAATGAGATGACGACGGCTGCATTATCGTTTTCAATTTGCGCTTCTACGTCATTATTGATCTCTCCTCTGCCACCATGCTCAAATATATCTTATTAATATGAGCTTAAATATAAACAAATTATTTTTATGGTTAATTAATTCTTTATACCAACACATTCATCATAACAACTGAATTCTGGTAATTTCACAAATTAAATTTTTTAGTGATTTGCGACGTAACCTTCTCGAGCTTGTAACCTGTTGATATATCGATGCCTTAAACATTTCAATTTGGTGTATCGATACTATTGCACCAGACATGCTTGCTACTTCGTAAGCAATTGTTGTTCTTGTGTTTTGTAATATACACGTTTGTTTTTGCATTTGTTTTAGTTTGTGATGTTGCCGAAGACGCCTAAACCAGCTATTTGGAGATTTATCAAGGGTAGCGCCAAGACACTATTCGTGCTGGAAGCCGTCTGTTTCGCCGCCAGCTACGGTCTCTACTACCGCATGAACACAGACCAAGGTAAGTGTCACTGTATGTTTTATATAAGCTTTCCGCTGAACGTTTACGTTTCTCAACCAAAGATTTTCGCCGGTACATCAACGAGAAATATCCGTTCGCACTTGAGTATTATTATAAAATTGGAGAGATTGTGGGCGACAGCAAAGTGCGCGACATAGACGCCAATTACTGGGGCTCCGCAACGGCGCAATTCCAGAAGAAAGAGTAACATTTGAAGTTTAATTAAGAATGGCTAGCAATCCTTATGTCAAATCCGTGCTATGGCTGGTTGGCTTCGGTGGCATTGGCTATGGTTTAATGCTGCTGACAGAGCCCAGTGCAGAGAAGATTGAACGCATTAAAGCATCCGGTTCGCCAGGTCAATACAATGCGGACGATAAAAAGAAAGCTCTGTTCATGCAAAAACTTCAGGAAGCGGCAACAACCAGTACTCCAATTTACAGGCAAGCGGCGAATACTGATAAAAAAGATAACTAGACTAGATGTTTTGTAAATAATTTGTTATATGCAATGTTATAGAAACATTCATTTTGAAATAAAATAAGGATATGTGTGGAAGAACATAGTTAAATCGCTATCTCTTTCGCTCTGCAATAACAAAGCTGAAATTGCGGTAAACTCTTAAACGATAGTTCGGCGACTCATCGATATTAATTACATATCGATATACGTGTAGGTTTAAATAGCAACAATTTGCCATTTGGCTTGAGGACAATCAAATTAATTAAATAATATGTCCGCGGATAATGTGCCATTGTTATCCATGAATGTGCCGGCTGCGGTGCAATTTGGTGCCAGCAAGAACTTCCAGACACACACGGAGCAGCAAGAGCTGGACAGCGCATTTCTCGGCTACGAGAGACGCCCGTGGATGCAGGCAAAGGCAAAGCCAAATCCGCACAGGGAGCGCGAGGCCATAACGGCGCTGCTGTCCACATCGAAGGACAGTGTCGACAAACTGCTCGAGGAGAACATTAGTTACCGCGACTTGGCTTCACTGACGGACGAAGATCTGAAGCTGTTCGGATTTGCAGCGCAAGTGGAACGCAGTAAATTCCTTAAAATGTTTGCGCTGTTGCCCAACCAAGATCCCAGCTATGAGTACATTTGCAACCAAAACGCAGCGCAGAGCTACAACAATCAGATCATTGCCAATGCATCCAATCACATCATGTACCTGCGCTCCTCCCTGGCCGCCACCAACTACAAGCTGCAGGTGCTGCCGCCCGAGGACGTGGTCGTGGGCGATAAGCGCTATGCCAGCCGCTTTGCGCTGGAGGCCCTGAACAGCGTGCAAGCGATCTCGGACGAGCTGAGCAAGGATTTGCGTAAGCTGGAGCAGCTGGCCAGCGATGCCAATCGCAAGAGCGAGGAGGCCAGTTCCACGCCGGCAAAAGAGGTGCACTCCAATTACAAACAAAGCATATTTTATTATTATTAATGTTCTGTTCCTTTGCAGCGAAATGTCAAGATATTGTACTACACGGCCATTGCGCTGGGCACGGCTTGTGCTTGGTTTTGGTGGTGGTCGAAGCGCAGCAACAGTCCAACTCTCGAGAATATTTCAGTTAAAATCTAAAACATTCCTTAACCCTATTTACTATTTTTTGTATTTGCAGCAAATTCTGCGCGTAAAATTACTAGACTATAAGCACATTACATTTGAAAAAAAACAAAAACATTTCCACTCTTAAACGTAATCTCTAAGACTTCGAATATATATGCTTCCTTTGACAAGCATGCACTTTGAAATCTCATAGTTAAACTCTTTGTAACCCTTTAGTATTAGGGTAGACTCTATAAGGCACAAAAAGTGTAATGTTATTTAACTAAAACTCGAATAGGTTTAAGCTTAAAGTTGAAATCTTTTAATACAAAATTTAACATAACATTTAAAATGTACAAATATATATTTAAAGCAGATTTAACTGCGGTTTCAATCAAGAATGGCCACTCATTTTCGTCTGACCTCCTCGGCGAGCAGCAGAAACACCAAGTTCACATAGGCATCAATATGTTCGGGGAACTCCCAGGCCGTGGTGTACGAGATTAGTTTGCCTCGGCAAGTGCTGTGCGCTATGTTTTCTGTTGGTTGATAAATAACAAGATATGGGACTTATATATATACAGAGCGATTGTCAGTCAACCTACGCATTACATGCTGTTTCACCAGTGACTCCTGCTTGTATCGCTTTAGAAGGTCCTCGGTGAAGGATACAAACTGTGTTAGCTTCCAGGTACGGTAAAAGATCACATTCGAGGCAACGCCCGCGAGCAGGGTTAAGGCACGCAATTGTCGTAAAATCTCGCGGGTGTTTGTGAAAATATCAACAAAGATCGACGTAATAATGGCCAGCTTATCGCAGGGCTTGACCAGATCTTCCGGATAGAAGCCGGCCTCGGCAATCGCGTTGTCATAGCAACGCGTCTTTCGGGCCTCGATGGCGTAGCACAGCGCGGTGCCGCGTTGTTGGGCTATTTGCCATTTGGCGTAATTACTTTGCAGATCGGCAACTAATGCTTCCAGGCGAGCCTTGCAGCTGGCCAGATTGGCATCGTGCTTGACTGGAGATTGCATGCGTTGGCTGTCAACAACTTAATAAAACAGAGTCAAATAAAACGCCATGTTCAGCTGGATAATTTTAACACTTACAGCGCACTGGCATTAAAGAGGTGTTTAACAAATCCATTATCGTCGTTAGCACTTGATTATTATTCAATGTATCCATCAATTTATCCTATTTTTTTAAGAAATTTAAACATGTTCTAAATTTTGCCAAAAACCGAAACGCAAACGAGAAGTCAAAAGCAATTCAAACAGCTGACAGCTACCGATTATCGATTTTATAGAATCGTTCCAACCTATCGCTCACCTCTATTAAAATGCTCAATTGGCGGTAAATTTCAAATTTGAAATTGAAAGTGCTACAAGTATAGCAATTTGTTCAGTTATTAATGTCTATTTTCAATGTTAAGCAATAAGATAACGAGTTTATATACTAGCTCAAAATTGTTTGGATTTGTGCTTACAATAAAAAATAAAGGCATAAATGAATATTTGATTGCGGTGCAGCAGCTGTAAACTGGTTCCGTGCAAAGTTCGTGCTAGAGACTATACCGATTATCGATACTAATCGGCGGTCAAACGATAGCACACACACACTTTTACTCAAAGTGTCAAAAAAGTGCCGGTAATCATTGTCAGACATTTCTAAAATACATTCGTTCGAAGTTTGTCGTAAAGCGCTGCAAGTAAATTAATATTTTTTAAAATGTCGATCTGGACACCATTGGAATCCAACCCGGAGGTAAATGGTTATCTTTACTAATCTTGTAACAGTTAAAAATATATGAAAAAAGCTTGTAATTTGTTGTTGCTGTCGCTTGGCGAAATTCAATTTGATTTCCAATTGGCATATTAAAAAAGACGCCATGATGTCCGTGTCCCATTCCAGGTGCTGACCAAATACATACATAAGCTGGGCGTGTCGTCGGCCTGGTCTGTGACTGACGTCATCGGCCTGGACGAAGAGCTGCTGGCAATGCTGCCGCGTCCCGTGAAGGCCCTCATCTTGCTCTTTCCCATTAGCGAGGCTGTAGGTCCAACGCTTTTCGCCTGTCATTTTATATTTTCTAATGTGTATTTGTGTGGGTGTGGTTGTGTGTGTGCGTGTGCTTGCAGTATGAAAAACATCGCGCTGACGAGCACGAGCGCATCAAGGCTGCGGCTGAACCGGAAAAATATCCGGAAGATCTCTTTTATATGAAACAATTCACCCACAACGCCTGCGGCACCGTTGCCCTCATCCACAGCGTGGCCAATAATAAGGAGTAAGAGATTAGATATACATAAATATACGTATATGCTCAGCTATAGATATAATCCCCAGCATCGAAATAGCCGCCGGCGTTTTGAAGAATTTCTTGGAGAAGGGCGCCAACCTATCGCCCGAGGAACGCGGCCAGGCTCTAGAGCAGGACAACGCTTTTACCGAAGACCATCAGATGCTGGCCCAAGAGGGACAAACCGATGCCGGTGCCTATGAAACCGTTGTACATCATTTCATTGCACTGGTCAACAAGGAGAACACCCTATACGAGCTAGATGGACGCAAGTCGTACCCAATCAGTCACGGCAAGACCTCGGACGAGACCTTTTTGCTAGACGCTGCCAAGGTGTGCAAGGAGTTCATGGCACGCGATCCCGACGATGTGCGTTTCACCGTGCTGGCTCTGGCTGCCACACAGGAATAGAGCGCCCACCCAATCATCTAAAATATATACATCTAAATCTATTATATGATCTCTGATCTATACACATACGCCTATTTATATATTTGTAAGGCCGCGTTAGAAACGCTTCTGGCCATCATTATACGCATATTTAACCCGCACTTGAATGTATTTCGAATGTTTTACTTTTTGTGATTAAAGAACGCATGAGAACTGAACCCAGATGATGCTCCACCAACAGCTGTTTCCCAACGCCTGGCCACTGCGCATGCTCCTCAATGGGTTACGCTCCACGTAACTGTTTGACAGTTGTCAAACGTGGTTGCTTTTTTATTTTCTTGCCATCAAGTTGTGGATTCATAGGATTCATTTGCAGCTAACAGCGAACTGTAGAGCCCTCCAGTGTGCCCCGCCAGAATAACAGGATATTAAAACAGGATTAAAAAACACATTTATGTGTGGTCGCCGCCACTGCTCGGAGTCGTGTGAATCATGAAGCTGCTGCTCAAGGAGCTGACGCGTTTAACCACGCAGCATCGCACCTTCTACTGCTACATGTTTCTCAGCATATGGATCTTTCTACTGATAGCCGGTAAGTTACTGCCCAATCACGGCCAGCTAGCGGAGCTTATCAAAGCTTTTTTCTCGACAGGCATGTATCGCTACATGGGCAACGTTGAGCACAATAGCAGTCCGGGCAGCGGCGGCGGCAGTGGTGGCTATGGTCCTGGAACAGGCACTGCCAGCTCTGGTGGTGGTATTGGTGCTATTGACACCTCCAGCGCACAGCGTTTTGCCAGATATCGGGAACGCTGCGCATCGCTATCACAGTTGACGCGCATGGACGATGGCGGCATACTGGAGGGCTGGAAGCTGCAGGGTGTGCTCCTGGTCATCCGGCATGGGGATCGCGGCGCCATGTCCCATGTGCATGCCAATGGCATCAATTGTGGTGTGCCCGCCGATGGCGACAGCCTGGTCAACAGGTGAGTGAGAGACCACATGTGGCTAATGTCTGCTGCTGCTGCTCCTGCTTCCCGTTCACCTCAATTTTATGCCGGCAGGTATCGAAGCTTTCTACACAACTCCAGCAGCTCCGCCTCGGGCTCGAATCACATGTACTGGAGCAAGGTGGGTCCATTTCATGGCTTTCCGCTGCTCCCTGCCACGGAGCGCGGCTGTCCACTGGGCCAGCTAACATACAAGTAAGTCGTGTGACTTTGTGGCCAATCAATCAGTCAGTCAATCAATTAGGTTGTTCAGCAATTTGCCAGCAAATTAGTCACTCCGTCAATCAATCAATTAGGCAATTTATCAATCAAACAGTCAGTCACCAAATCATCACATTGTCAATCTATCAGTCACCTAACCAGTCAGTCTATCAATCAGTTGGGTCGTCAATCCGTCAGTCAGTCATCCAATCAGTCACTGTCAATCAATTAGTCAGCCAGCGTATCAATCACTCTATCAATCAGTCACCTGTCAATCAAGCAGTCAATCAATCAGCAAATCATTCAATTTTACTCTGTCGATCAATCAGCCAGTCAGCTAGCGCATTAATCACTCTATCAATCAATCAATCAGTCACTCAGTCAATCAATCAACTTTACTCTGTCAATCGATCAGTTTGTCAGCTAGCGCATCAATCACACTATCAATGATTGATTATCAGGCAGTAAATCAATCAACAAATCAGTCACTCTGTCAATCAATCAAGCAGTACAAATACTTTCATATTTAGATATATATACAAGTATAGAACGCTTTCACTCGCTCTCCCAATTTCCTTTCGCAGAGGGATTGCCCAATTGCTGCACGTGGGCGACATCATGCACCAGATCTATGCGCATCCGTTGGGGCTGCTGCTGAAGCCGAATACGCTGCGTGGATCCGTGGACACGACGCCGCACACGCTGCTCAACTCGGACGAGGTGGTTGTGTTCACGACGCGATATCGACGCACCTTTCAGTCGGCGCTGGCGCTGCTCTTCGCCCTGCTGCCGGCGGACAAGTGGCTGGCGCTTAATGTGCGCGAGTCTCACAGCATGGCCTTCTGCTTCGGCGACTGCAGCTGCGCCCAGACGCTGGTGCTGCGCAAGCGCTTGATGCAGCTGGCCGAACGCCAGCTGCTGCGCCGCGCCGACGTGCTCGGCGTGATGCAGTGGATCGGCGGCACGCTGCTGCAGCACACGGCTACGGAGGGTGGCGTCACGAATCCCTTCGAGGTGGTGGATGCCATGCTGACCGTGCTCTGCCATGATGCTGCCCTGCCCTGTCGCCGGCGGAATGTCAGCCAGCCGCTGAGCACGCTCGCCCACAATCCGGAGCTGGTGGATGTCATCAATATTGATCAGGATGAGACGGCGGCCAATTTGGTGCCACCTTTAGAGCCGGCGGAGGAGGAGCAGCTGGAGGCGGGGGATGCTGCGCCAAATGGCGAGCGCGCCGGCTGCGTGGAGGCATCCCACGTGGATGCGCTGATGTCCTTTGCCGACGAGCTATCGCTGCGCACCGCGCGACATGTCTACTACAAGCGTTCGGGACTGCTCCGCGCCTACGGCATGATCCGCCACATTGTGGGCTACATGCTCAAGATGATATCCGGGGATCGCACCAAGTTTGTGCTCTACTCCGGCCACGATTGCACCCTACAATATCTGACGGCCGCCTTGGGCATCCTCAACGACCAAGGCCAGACCATTGCCTATGCCTCCCGGCTGGCCTTCGAGGTGTACCGCAGCGAGGCGCACACGGACTACTATTTCCGTGTCGTGCACAATGGACGCGATGTCACCCAGCAGATCGACTTCTGCGAGGGCGGCAAGAGCCTGCGGGTGACGCGCGACAGTCGCGGCAACAAGGCCGATCTCTGTCCGATCGAAAACATCATACGCTTCCTGCACGAGGACTACTTCGCGCCGCTGAACGCCACCAACTTCAAGGAGGCCTGCGCCGCCTCCGTCGGCCCGCCAGCCAAGGCAAACGAGTTCTAGAGGGGCGTCGGGTTCCATTCCCGGCACTTTGTTGAACTGTGATAAGTAGTTAAGGGAGGAAACCCCAATCCCAACCACAGCCAGGCATATCAAGTCGATCGCACACTATGGCATAAGTATATTAGCAGAATTCTAGCTAAGACGTAATTCCTAGACCCATAAGTCCCGACAAACGATGCATATCAGTGCAATCCTGCACATATCTCTAGGTTAAGTTCTCTGAGGTGTAATACCTCTATGTATGTCTCTTACATATCAGCAACATATCATGTGCAACATTTACCTACAGTTTTCAACAATATATATACATATATTATACATATACAACTTTTGCCGAATTAAGTATTTAAATAAATGTTAACCCAAGCGAATAAAGAGTGTCATTCGACGGGCATTTAAAAGATTGATATCTATAGATTAAAAGAAATAAATAATATTATATCATATAACATACGACTTTGTATTCCAAATGATTCTAATCTTTCCGAAAACTCTTAAAATTCAAAGGTTACCAAACAGTGAAAAATAGTGAACACGACCAAAAAATATTATACGGCGAAATAAGTTGTCCGCCCAAGACAGCTGTCCTTCTATATAAAATAACTGCAGTTAATAACGGTTAATTTGTATTTGCTTAATTACATGCGGCCCCAAGCTGCTTCGCTGACGTCCAAACGTCGACTGACTGCAAGACTGTACAATGCATTTGCAATTTTGTGGCTCAGTTGAGTGCATTTCTACGTATTTGTGTGTGTGTGTGTTGGTGTGCTCACACACACACACAAACATTTAAGCGATGAGCAAAGGCTTTAAAACAGCTTCATGAGTGATAAAGCAAACGAGAGCAAAGGCCCCGCTAAAAGGGGCGCTGCGATGAAAGAACAAAAAGTACATAACGAGAAGAAAAAAACAACTGCGTCAGTGGAGAGTGGAGCCGTTATTACTTATCTGTGTGTGCGGTTGGGTGGAGTGGGGAGCACGCGCGCAAGTAACGCGGCGAATACAAACACACACACACACACATAGACAGACAGACGCAAACAGAGCGCACACTGTGAAGTGCGAGGAGTAGGCCAGAGGCGTGGTGGGAGGCAGCAAGGCAAACGAGCGCGCAATGAGCGTGTACAGAGACCGAGCGTCGATTGTACAGCGATTGTAATGTAAAATCGACGCTCTGCTTGCTGCTGCGACCCTGTTGACATTCAGTACATTTTGTTACTTTTGTGCACGCAGCTGGCGACGACGACGCCGACAATGACGCAGCACCAGAGCAGGCAGGAATTGTTGCCAGCCGCCGGACACGGCCGTAAAAGGCAGCTAGGTCCAACCCACCCACCCTTCCCCCACCCCGCTCACCGTTACGTCAAATTCAGCTGGTGCTGAAACGTGTAATGGACCCTAATGCTGTTGGTTGTGTTTTACGCCACGGTTCGTTCCGAGGACGTTCACGTGCTTGCTGTAAAACTGTGAAGCGCCGTTTACCATATCCACATCCACGTAATCGTTGTCGTAATGCTAATGCCAGCCCTGGGGCAATCGTCGCTCGCATGGTGCATGGTTGTGTTACATTGGGAAAAGGAGCCCAGAACTTGTAGCCACGTTGCACTTTGGCAAAAGCAACAAGTGTCTTGGCTCTAATTGAGTGTGTTCGACTAAAATATACCCTGTACTTTTAACTGAGATGCACATAACATAGACTTAATCCTCTATAAAAAATGTTCTTATAATATACGTAGCACTTAAGGGACCTCAGGGTTCTAGTCTGTTTTTAGACCAGCTCAACTTTGGATTATATTGTGTGCATCCTTCTGTTGGTTGCAAAAAGAGCCCGTTACACCTGCTACCACATAATATGGCTACAGGGTATTAAGCAAACGGCTAAAAAACGATTATTTGTACGCTTACATGTGTGCGTGTCGAAGAGAATGAGAGAGTGAGACTTGGGCGGGGCAGGTGCGCCCGCCTGGCGGGCAATCTCGCTGTCCGGACTGTGAATTGTGCACTCAAAGGCATTCAACATGAACATCTCACATTGGGAGCTGCGACGTCACCGTGCTCAGTTTGCTGCACGCCGTTGTCAATGCCTACGTCTCTTTCGTTGTATGTGTACTGGGGGTAGTTGGAGCGAGCAGCGAGATGCTGTCGATGTGTCCAAATCCAAAAAGTGCATTGCGGCCCCACTATTATCTTAATGTGCATCTCCCTCTCCTGCTCTTCTTAAATGCAGCAGTCAGTGTATGTGTGTGAGTGTGCATGTGCATGTGCATGTGAGTCTGAGTGTGGGTAAAGAAGAGTGCAATTGCTCGAGCACAGTGGCACAATGCTATTTGTAACTAGCGAAACATAATGCATACAGTTTTTGAGCACAAGAAAAAATCAATTTTGTTAAGTTTTTTTAATTAATTATAAGTATGGGATAGTTATAGCGAATCCCAAAGGAAAGTGTTTGTTAATAATAAGCAGTAAATTAGAATATTATTAAATATTATGATGGTTGTGATTTTGAGACACTGTAGCGCTAGCTATGTTCAATTGCATTGTGCTTTTGTACTCTATATCTCTCTTTAACTGTTCTCGCTCGCTCGCTCACGAAAACGTAAAAAGCTGCAATGCACAAACAAAAACACACACACACACACACTAACACAGAGAAGCGAGCCTGCCTCCCAATTGGCTTAGCGGCGACAAGGCGAGTGCAGCAACAAAAACAACAGCAGCAACTGTTGGCCCATGTGCATTGAGCAGGGGAACCGCTGGAGGGGCCATACTAAGAAATAAGAAAAAAGAAACAAAACTGAGTTTTGTTGATGCATGCACGCCTCTGTGTGTGTGAGTGTGTGCAAGTTTCTGTGTGTGTATGCGTGTATTGCTCTCTGCTCGCTGCGTGCATTTTTGTTACAAATGTCGGTGCCGTCTTTTGCTCAATGCTGCGGCTCTGTTACAAAATATTGGCGAAGAAAAATCATACAACGTTTTTTTTCAAACTTTTTTCAACCATTTTTCATCGGTACGCGTGCGCTGGTGTGAGTGTGTGAAGGGGACTTGAGCGCATACCTATTGCAGGCACTATGCATGCAAGGGCTGAGGCTCCTAGACCAACTCGCTGCCGCTGCTGCTGCTGGCCAATGCCTCCTACTGGATTTGGGGGAAAGCGTGTACAGGATTTTTCTTTTGAGCACAAAACGAGCAATAGACGAACCAGTTGGTCTTTGGTCGTTGGTCTATGCTGTCTGCGCTCTCCGTACGGGCTAGGCGACGTTGGCCATCTAATACAGCAAACCAAGAGTTTTTCCAAGCAGTCAAACTAGGCTCCCCATAGGCTCGGCACAACAGAGATGCCACCAGCCACCAGCTCCCCTCCACCCACCCCCTGCGCAGCGAAGATGCATTTTTCAAATGTGCGCAGCGGGGGGCGGCGGCGCATACAATTTTCCACGCAAACAGCTTGGCGGAGGAGCTGCACACACCAACACACACACGCACGCACACACACACACACACACATATATATATAGCTTGAGATAGTCAGAGTGGGAGAGGGAGCGGTAGAGGGAGAGGGCGCGATAGCTGCAGCTACGCGCACATAGAAGAAATTGCAACGAAGCGACGTCGTAATTGCGCCTCGCAGCGTAGCGAAGTGCACGTTGCCGAGCGGAGCGGAGGGGAGGGGAGGGGCGCGGGCAGGTGCATGCAATCGATGGGCGGTGCCCATAAGTTAACATATTTAGTAAGTACCTACGAGCAAGTACTCGCTTACATCTACACTTACTTAATTACACGACAACAACAACAACAACAACAGAATTGGCTGAGCGCCGACTTTCGCGCAGCTGGCAACGCTCTGCACCCAAGATTATGAACGTACCGGAGCACCAAAGAGCTCTACGTAGGGGAAATTCTATGGCAGCCGATTTGAATGGACAGCAGCTGGAATACGCTTGAAATGTTGTGGAGGGTATTCAAATTGTTCACGGCAAATATATATAGGTACATATCTATGTAGATATATGTATATATATATATATATATTTCTGAGGCAGGCTTGTACATCAATAAATACATATATGTATATATGTATGTATATATTTATGTACAGGTCTGCCTCTCAAGCTCAGTTTAGTTTTTCTATATATGTTATAGTCGGGCACATTATCAGATACATAGCTGTAAATGGAGAGATCTAATGAGTTAAAGCTTTCATGCATCTTTCATGTAGAAGTTTTTTCTAATTTTTCACAAAATACGCAAGAAATTAAAAAGAACGTATCCAATAGATTTACATACGTAGTTCCGTTTGTATGTTTAGAACATCTTAAGAAAGAAAAGATTTGGAAATTTTGAAATTTTCCAAAATGTGACTAGCTTTAAACCCAATTATAGACTTTATCCAAGCATATTTGTTAGAAGTCAATTTTGGCTAGAGATCAAATGGAAAAACATTATAGCTCGCAATTTGTATATGAAGATATATATACGGCTTGATATTTTTTCAGTACAACGGGCAGCTGGCAATCAAAAGTTCGACTTTAAATCTATGATCCACAAGGATTTGAACCAGCATGGATACACGAACCGAGTAGGCAGCTCTTGGGAAACTTGGCATACTGTTTTTTAAAGGACATGTTTGGGAAGGATAGTCGGATCAGCATGAGTATTTGAATCAAAATTGCTTTTTAAGTTTTCACTTTCTTAAATTGTATTTTCCAAATATTTATGTGTTTTATTAAATTGAAAGTCACCTATTTCCAGAATAGCTAGCGAGGAACCAATGGCTAAGCCGGATAGATGGCCGCTGGAAGGATATAGCGCGGTCGAGGTACATCACGTAGCACACTACGAGACATCGCGGCTGGTGGAGATCTGTGTAACTTCCTTTTTGTCCGCTGTCAATGCCGATTTAATTGTGTATCCACTGGACGTGACTAAGACGCGTCTGCAAATCCAGGGTGAGCACGGCAATCCGTACGCCAATATGGCCAAGTATCGTGGACTCTTCGGCACGGCGCTGGGCGTCATCAAGGAGGAGGGTTTCCTGAAGCTATATAGCGGCTTCTCGGCGCTGCTGCTGCGACATTCGTTTGTGTCCGGGCTCAAGATCGCCTCCTATGACTATCTCCGATCAAAATGGTCCGTGCGAACGGACGACAAGGTAACCATCAGCATGCCCTGCACAATGCTGGCGGGTCTCGTATCGGGCGCTTTATCCACGATCGCCAGCAATCCTTTGGATTTGGTCAAGCTGCAAATGCAGATGGAGAGCAAGCGCACCTTGCTGGGCATGCCGCCACGTTCCACCGGCATCCTGCAGGCGCTGCGATTCATCTATTCCCAGGGCGGACTGCGCAGCCTGTATCGCGGCCTCGGGCCCAATATAATGCGTGCCTCCCTCTTTTCGCTTGGTAAGAAGACGCCTCACATTATCCCCAAGCCATTTAATAGGTTATGGTTTTGCTGCTCCATCAGGCGGCATTAGCTTCTATGATTTGGGCAAGCACAATATCAAGAAACTTCTGAATAGCGAGGAAAATTTGCTGGTGCAATTCCTGGCCGCCATGGTGGCGGGATTTTTCTGCTCGGCGCTCAGCTCTCCGGCGGATGTGGTCAAGTCGCGCATCATGAATCAGCCCGTCGATGATCAGGGCAGACCCCTGCGCTATAAGAACAGCATGGATTGCCTGCAACAATTGGTCAAGGAGGAGGGCCCAATGGCCATTTATAAAGGTTTTATGCCCTATTGGATACGCTGTGGTCCTTGGTTTCTGGTATTCTGGATGTCATTCGAAGGCATACGACGTTTTAATGGATATGGCACGTTTTGAACATGATTTTTGTAGAATCATTACGCAGAATTGACAATTGGAATTTGGATTTTTTTTTTTAAGAAGATTTTTAAACATTTTTTGTGTAGTGCAATGAAGAGATACGTAGTGCAATAAAATTGTTTCAATACTGACTTTTTGTCGCACCACTTGGTTAATAAAGCTTAATAATAATGAAATTATTAGCAAAAATGCAAAATATAGTCACTGTTACGTGAACATAACCTGCAAAAGTCTCTGCCAAATACACCCGCTGCAAAATGCGCGCTGGCACAAAGCAGGGCGCCAGCAGAGAGTGCAATGCACTCAACTCTGCGTACATTGGCCCCAAAAAAACAACACACACACACACGCACACAGAGAGGCGGGCAGGCACATAAACGGTCACACTGCTTCGCTCACAAGCAGACGGATAACAGATAACAGATACAGGCATGCTAGGCACACACACAGACACACATACACACGCACACACACAGCAACAGCCAGCCAGTCGTACGCTAAGCAAGTTGTACGACCTTCCCCACATCGCCGTCTCGCTCGCACACCAGTCTCGGCCATTGACGTTACGTCTCAGGCAGCTGTTGAGCAGTGCTGTGCGCCTATTGAATTAACATCGCATGACGCAAAGTTCGCGGAACGTACATTTTTCCCAGATTTAACACGAATGGCGAGCGGCAGCGGCAGCGGCGCATTCGCCATTCAAATTTGGCGTTAACATAGAAAATCGTTAGAAACGAACGCAGCAGCTACCAAGTTTTCATAGAAATAGCAAAAGACTGGCCGCAACTTTACGCCCAGCCAGGTGAATAGATGCGGCTAGAGTTGGAGTTGGAGCTGGAGCTGAAGCTGGAGTTGGTGCTGGGAGCTGGAAACTGGGGTCTCTTCTAGCTGGGCACGAGTTAAGTTTGGAGTTGCCACATTGCACAGAGAGAGAGAGAGAGAGAGAGAGAGAGAGAGACACACGCACACGTGCACATGCACAATAACATTTGCGAGGGATCGCTGTAAAATTAACATAACAAAAGGCGGCAACTTTCGAATTACATATAATTTTATGGCGAAAGCGTATGTAATCGCTTTTTTTTTCTCTTTTTTCTTTCTGTATGTACAATTTGTTGTCGCATGGCATTTCTTGAAGCCTGTTCGTTTATATTTTAAACATACAAACCAAATAATCGCATAATAATAGCCACAAAGTTCACGTGTGCAGCTGTGTGTGTGCGTGTGTTTGTTGTGCCCATAAATAAAATAATATTTTATATGGAGCTACATTTAAAAAATTGGTTTGAGTTACGGTTTTGGGGTTTAAACGTTTTGTGGCACGCCTTCTAAAATTATAATTTATTATTATTATATTTCGTTTGCTTAATTACACCAGGAAAACAGAAGTCGTACAGCGCACAGTGATACACACACACACAGACACACACACACACACACACACAGACACTCAACGCTAGACAAACAGGGTGGCAGATGAATAGAGTGCTCCATGAGTACTCCGCCCCGCGCCCCAGTCAAAACCGCGAATTCCATTTTGCCAGTCATCTGTGATTGAGCAAAAAATCGAAAAAGATGGCTACTAACAGCGCGGGCTAACAGAAAACATAGACAGAGGCGCCCGTCAGTGTGTGGGGAACGCGCAATTGGGGAACATACAACGGGGAGCTGCCCCTCCGACCCAGCGCAGCCCATGGGCTGACGTTGGTTTCTCCGCTAAGGGGCGCGGCGCCAAAGACCTTCTCAAGGCTGACTGACAAACACATTGGGGCCGGCACATTTAATCCAACAAAGGCACAGCGCGCGCACACACGTCGACATGGGGAAGTCTTGACTGCCGGAACAGGCGCACAGCAATGCCGAAAAGCTTGGCAGAGTGCAAACAACTCGCGATAGCAACAAACGCATTGCCCCTCCCAACTGTGCGCCGCTGCCAACCGAACGTTTCACTTGTCTCGTTATGTCATACGCCCGTGCCTCAAACTGTGATTTAACGGAACAGTGGCGCCGCTGTAAGCATTCCGGCTAATCTCTCAAAGGTCCATGGATACTTGGCTGTACAATAAATCTATCGATTTGGGAATAGAGTGACAAATGTCGTTGGGCTAGGTGCCAGATCTGAATCTTAGAGATAGAATTAGATTTTTTTTTATTAAAAAGTATGTATACCCAAATTATTTCCTGGTCCTTAGCACAACGTACACCCTCTGCCCTAGAGCTTCTTATCCAAACAACTTCGTTGTTTAATGCCCGTAAAAATATATTTAGCTATCGATAATTTTTCAAAAAGTCCAATTCTCTCCGATTTCAAGCTCATTTAGCTGAGTAGCTTATTTTATAATTTATTTTTAAGCAGGGGAATAGTCACTATAACATTTCACACTTATAATGTGATCAAATATTTTGTAATATTTTGTGCAAGGACTAAGCCAGAAAGTCCTTTACAGCTAAAAATCACAGTACAGAAATCCTTTGCACGCGCGCCTCTGTTGTTTCGCAAATTGCATTGCCGAATTCTTTGCCCAAATGACATCGACATCCCATCTGTTTTTAGCAGGTCTAACACACCCTCTCCCCCTCGCGCGCACCCACACACGTATAGATACTGGGGCAGCGTCGTCGTTAAAAGTTTGTAACATTGAGCAGGGGTAAGAGAGCTGAACACAGCGTACATTGGGGGCCAAAGGACACTTTCATTTCATGCCAAGCGAGAGAGTAAACAATTTTTAGTGAAATTTTCGAATAGGCGAACAGCAAATTTGTAGGGCGTACGCTGCCCCGTTTGCCAGCAGCGACGCCGACGCCAACGACGACGACGACGCCAATGATGATGATACATACTATAAGCTCCGTGTGCGCTGTGCCCGCCCCATATACATTTTGTTCTAAATGATGACGGGAGCAGCAGGCAGAGCAGGCAGCAGGCAGAGCAGGCCGCAGCCACTTAGATGATAAAAAAGCACACAACACACATAACAACATTCGGCACACGGACAGGGGGCGATTGAGGCAAATCGCACGCACACAAGCAACAAGGTGATTCTGTTTGATTGGGGTTGGGTCAGCTCGTTTGGCTCGCGCTCGCGCTCGCTCTCTCGCCCTCTCCCTCTCGCACACACGACATTGACTTTGAAACACATTTGACAGCAGCAACAGCAAATGCCAAACAGCTTGCGATCACTGCAAAAGAAGAAGAACAACAACAGAACACTTGGAGGGGAAAAAAACGGGCGGCTAAGCAAACATTTCAGTAGGTTCTCTCGCTCTCTCGCCCTCTTCCTCTCTCTGTCCCTCTTTCAAGGGCAACTAATTAGCATTTGAGGTAACCAAAAAACCGAAACGCACACACAACAGCAAACGCAAAATACCACCACACAACCCTCTCTCACTCTCCCACTCGCCCACTCTATCGCTCTCTTCAAAATACGCGCGAGAACAGCTACGTCTAATTCACCTCGGCGGCGCATGTTAAAGAGGTAATGAACTTGCACACGGCCTCTCTGATTCGCCGTTTGTCTGTGTGTGTGCGTAGGCATGTATGCGCGTATGTGTGTGTAAGCTTATTTCATTGTCAAGGTAACCGCATACAAACATATACACTCAACAAGGCACTCGCATTCACAGTGACTGTTGGCGTTTTTTGCTCAGCAGCGTGCTGTTCATTTCTGCGTCACTGTTACCGTTAAAACTTAAACTTAAAACAGTTCAAACATTTTTTACAACATCCCCCATTCGAAAGCAAAATCGCACAGCGTACCATACTTGCGGCCCCTTTGAATGCTGTGCCAGCCGACAAACTCAAGTGAATTGGTCAAGTATTCACTGTACTAGACTAAAACGAATGGACCCATTCATTTGGGAGTTGTCCAACACTAGCGACAGAAGCGGAGAGGCTCTGGAGTTGCAGTTAGCTTAAATGCGCAAAAACTTATGAATAAGCTTGAGTTGAGTTAAAAACGAACACTAAACATGTATAACTGTTCTTGGCCCCGTTTAATATATTTAAAATAAGCAAAACATAAATAATACAGCAGTAGATCATGCCCACTGTAAGTTAGTTACAACTTTGTATTCAAAAGTCGAATTGGAATATCGATTGCACTCATGTGCATATACTCGTATGAATCATATGTATGTATGAATATTGTATGCACAACATTTAAATAAGCATTGAATGTATCCAAATAATATGCTTTTCGTTTAAGCACTCATTCAAACCCATAACAAGCCCATAATAAAACCCATAAGCAAATCCCATCATGGCTTACATGAGAGGGTCCTTCGTTTTTGTGTACCCACTCACAGTGTATCCGCACTCGACAGAGTATGGCAACAAGCGAGTGCGAGTGCGAGTGCGAGTACGAGTGCGAGTACGAGTACGGCTACGAGTACACGAGCGAGCGAGTGAGTGAATAGTGTGAATGCGTTATATTCGTAGCGGTTTTGTGAATTTTTCAGCAGGCGCACAGCGGCGAGCAGCAGGCGTAAGATGCGCATTTGATTCACTTCGGGCGATTTCGTTGAGCAACTGTGAATGCCAAAAGCGGCGAGCTGCGTGCCAGCAGTGCGAGCGGGACAACCATATACGACCAGCCATATGTTTGCCGTGTTCTCGTCGGGCGGCAGCGCTGTATATGTTTGCCGCCATTGCTGAGCCCCTGTTAACTGTTTTAGTTAAAGAGCAATCCATTTTGTTTTGCGAAAAGGAAAAGGAGTAGACGACAGGCCGCATTTGTTGTTGCTGTCGCAGTCGAACTGCGGGCGAGTGAGCCGCAAACAAAAAGGAAGCAGCAGCTGCAGAGCGTATAATATACCACGACTCCAATTGGAAACATCAACTATGCCAATTGGATTTATAACAAAACTAATAAGCTTAAGTTATTTAAACGTGCTGACAATAATAATAAGTTGTGAACACCCAATTGAGTTTTTTTTTTGCGTCGGCCTTTCTTAAGCTTTAAGCGCATCGAAATTTAGACTTTTAAAAGCTAAAATAATAATTTGCCAAAGTGTCTTCGCATGCTTCGGGCAAAGCTTTAATTATTTTGAACGCTGCGATATGTAAACAAACTATATATGTACATATATTTATATACTATATTTTCATATACATATGTATTAATAATAATATAATTTAATAACAATTTGCCGCATTCTTCGCAGCGTCGCTTTTTAAGCTCGCTTCTCAGAACTTTTGCGGCTGCCCCCCCCCCTCTCCCCCCTTCCCCTGTGCCACTGTAAATAAGCTCGTGTTGATGAGGCCGGGTTTGTTTGACGCTGCGCCCATATAAGGGATTCAGTTTTTGGCTTTTTTCTGATAAAAACTTTCAAATCCGACAAGCACAGAAAAGCATTAACTGTGCTTTTCACACCACAGAGACGTGTGTGTGTGTGTGTGCTTTTTATTTAACAATGTTATTTGTTGCTGCAATTGAGCTCAATATTATGAAATTTTAAATTTAATTTGTTATGAATAAATATATTAAAAAAAAAAGATGAAAATATATAAATAAAAAAAAATGAGAAAAAAATGTTTTTTAAATTTCCTTTAAGTCTATATAAATTATTTTTTTTTTTTTTCAATTAATTTAAATTGAATAAAAGTGATTTCATGGCACAAAAAAAAAAGATCATATTTATTTTTTAGTTTTTAAATATTTCAATTATAAAGAAAGACTCATAGAAATGAAATGTAATAACTTAGAATTTTATATCTAATAACTCAATCATTTATGAAGATAAATAAAACAATTTATATCTTATTTTTAATTCTAGATCTCAAGCTCTTTTGGTTAATTTCTTTAGTAATAAAATTCATTGAGAGATGTTCAAAGATCTATTGAAAAATTAGTATTGTTTATTTATTTATATAAAGTCAATTCGACTTGAAATAATATTCAAAAGAAAAAAATGGTTCCCAGTTCTTTCAGATGCAAACTATGCGGGGCTTTTGGATAAAGTTCTCTGCTCTGAGCACGATAGAACCCAGAAAACTTTTACTTACATATACATACATACATACATATGTATGCATGTGCATGCGTGTGTGTGTGTGTGTGCGCCTGCTTGTAACTCGAGCAGCTTGCGGAAACAAGTTTAAGTTTGGAACTTAAAATATTAGCTTGAACTTTTTTGAAACGCACAGCGCGGCGGTAGGGGAGGAAGGGGGAGGCGGGGAAGAGCGTGCATAAGAAGAATCGCACATGGCAATAAAAGCACTCGGCGACGGAGGTGAACTTGGCAGATTTAACTTTTTTCAAGTTTCGGAAAACCAAAGTTGCGCTGCAGCCGCGCGCTCAGTCGCTGCCGCCGTCGCTGCCGCAGTCGGCGTCGGCGTCGGCGTCATTGTCGCTTTTGCAACTTTGGCAAGTTAATTTCGTTTGGAAGCTACAGATTTTGAAAGTTCTTGTACTGGGAGCTAAAAATCGACAAAGGCTTTAGCAGGGCGATATTTGATGTCTGTGTGTTGATTTTCGAACAGCTTGTGGGCGCGCCAAGGCGGGGCGGCGCGGCGGGCTGCGATCCGCCATTCGAGCCAGCGTAAGCGTTTATTTTGGCGAGAGCTTAAACAGCTTTTGCCTTTCATACAAATTATATTTCTTTGTTGCGCAACACAAAACAAAGAAGAAACAAAAAGCCACAATGCGACATCAGAAATGACGTTTCATTTTGAATTTTGTCAAAAAAAAAAAATCACCAAATTCGAAAACACGCGTGCAATTTGTTTTACGGCCGGGTTTCAACGCTCTCGTTGAATTCTGCTGCCGACTTCGTTGTGTCTACAAATTTAGTTTGCACGCACGACAACGAAAAAATTGCACAACTCATTCGGTGTAGAATTATTGTAATCCCCACCAGGCGCCCAAAATCGTCGACTAGCTAGCTAGCGGCCGGACCCAAAATGACGGCAAACTGCTTCGGAGTGCTTTTGCGGCCAACGCAATGCTTTCGGTTGCGTGCGTGCGAGCGAGACAACATCTGTGCTTAGCTTTTGCGACGCAGCAAGCTTGCGCGCTCGCACACACGTCGCGCTGCGGCGCATCGAAACGTTGTGGACAGAAAACGTTATTCGCTGTCTGCTTTCGCTGGGCGCCTGTTGAAAAATTCACAAAAAGCCAAAATAGCGCGAACGGAACCGTACAAATCGAAAAACGGACGTTCACAACGTCCCTCGGTCGTTCACATGCCGCCTAATTTGAATTGCGACGGTTGCGAGCCATTTTCTCTGATTGTTGTGTGGCATTTGATTTCGCTTTTTCTGAACTGAAAAACGCTGCCAGCTGGCAACACTGGCTGCTGGCAGTTGCAGTTGCACGCCAACTGTGAATTATTTCTATTTTTAACAGTTCGCAACATCAGAAATTGTTGCAGCATTCAAGAAGTTGTGTCTTCGGGTAAGTTCTTTTAATTGCAGTTTAAAATTTACTGGTAAAATGTGGAAATTCACCACGAGCCAGACTAATAATTGTGACTGCATAAATAAGTTTTGCTTTGTTTAAACACACTTTAATTATTGCAATTAATGCATTTTCAGCCATTACATAATACCTATTCGAAATAATGGCGTTACCCGAGGGTTTGGCTAGCAAAATGAAGACTTTCCAGGCATGTTAAGCAATTATATTTATATATTTAAACAGTTGATTGAAATCAATTTTAACAGGCTCACAATGATCTGCCCGTGTTCCTAAAGGGCGGACCCCCCGACAAGATTCTATTTGGCATTACTGCAGCTCTGTGCGGCGTGGGCTTAGTAAGCATTGTACATATGATCTACACAATGGGTTTTGCCAAGAAGAAGGCATAATAGCAAATAGCTTTAATAGCTTATTAAATATGTGCAATTAAACTAACTGAAACTAAACTTGATTTATTTGAATTTGGCGCCAAATTGAATAGTTGTAGCTAGCGCCCTGTGCGAACTGAGTTCAGTGTTGGTTAAGTCTGTTCAACATGTGGTCACTCTAAATTGTTAACAGCTGATTGCTTGTGCACGCAAATTGTGAATGGTCAAACGCACACAAAGCCAACAATCTTTTTGTGCTGGGAAAACAGTTTTAAAAACATAAGTAATTTGCAAATGGAGCCAAACGATGAGGTTGTGGAGCGCCAAAAACTGGTGCCAAACGATGTGGAGACCGAGGAGGAAGCAAAATCAGCACAAACACCTGCCACGCCCGTTGCCGTGCCAAAGATTAATGTAAAGTACACGCCCAAAATACACAATTTCCGCCCACCCCCATTTCAATTTAGATTTGTTTATCACTCAGATCAAAGGCATTTCCAGCGGCGAAACAACGCGTAGCCGCAACTCTGCCTCCTGCTCAATCGAGCGCACCATATCAGAGAAGGGCCAGGGTCAACAGCAACCGCCTTCCGCCAAAACCACGGTGCAGTACGTCAACGAGCGCCGGCCACGCCCGCACGCCCCCAGCAGCAATGCGGCTGGCGAGGAGCGCTTCGAATTCAAAACACGTCCACGCAAATTGCTTAAAGGTAAACCGGACACTGGCCAAATACTTGCTTTCGTTTTCTTCCAGTCGCTGTGGACGCACGAGTTCCTAGAGGAGCGCAGTTCCGTGTTAATTCTGTTTAGCGGCGGCCTTGATAAGCCAATCTGGCTATGACGCACTCCACACCATATGTTCAATATATATCACTTTCACACACACGCACACACACACACACACACACACACATACACGCACACACCTAGTTAAGCTGTCAACTGGCAGCTCCCCTTTTGGGTCGGCAGGCAACATGTCCGTGGCACTTGGCCTTTTGTGCTGTGCGGCGCCAGTTGCAGCTTTATAATTAGATTTGTGTGCTACAAGTTTTAGAAAATATTGTCATCATTATTATTGGCTTTGCGTTCGCTTAAAACTACTTTAAGTGAGAAGATATAATTAGAATATGTAAGAGCTCATAGAGGAGCATTCATGTGTGGCTTGTGCAGCCAATCGCCAATTATAATATGTTTGGCCTTAAATACAGGTATTGAGCACCTGGTTATTGGTGCTTTGTTGAGCAAGACACGATAACTTAAAGATTTTGTGGTACTCGATTTAAAGTGTTTGCTGTAAGAGCATTAAATCATTGTCCTATCAAATGTACAGGAAGTCAGATATAGAAGCTAAAAGTTTCGATAAGTCTACATAAAAGATGTTATTCAAAATATATAAAAGTTTTTGTAGTAATGTTCATAGCTTAACAATTGAAATCTAAAAGGAAATCCAAGCCTAATTGTTTTATAACTCAATATGTTTTAAGTTTCATAGCTTTAGTATGATTCAGCAAAGTTGTTCAAAACTTAGGCTACTTTTAAAGCAATTGAACAACTCGAATTATGTTTTCTAAACAATATGCTTTACTAATATGGTCAGCAAAAGGATCACATATATCATAGTTATACATAGACAATTTATTTTTTAGCTGCTTAGAGGTTTGTTTAAGAGCTCCCATTTAAATTTCGTAGGCAGCTTTTTATTTGTATTTGATTTTGTGACATTTTTTGTTTTTGTTTTATTTTTTTTCAATTTATTTTCATGGTTCTTATGATTTTGCTGCTGTCATGGCACATGCAGATGGCAACCGTCAGCTGGAGCCAACGCACAGCAGCGAGCAAAGCTTGAACAGCATAACGCTGGTCAGCAGCGAGTGGCTAGCCCCCGATACCAACAACACCATCCCCAACAACAACAACAACAACAACAATGATAGCACAAAATCAAACAACAACACAAATACAAAGCCGCCGCCGCCGCAGATGCCAATCCCAATGGCAGACGCGAGCGTCCACAGCGACAAGTTTGACGATCGTCCTATTAAACATCATTCCTTTGTCTCTGAAGTGCCCGATGTGAAGCATATGGAGCGTGCGCTGCTCGGACTACTCGATGACTTTCATTCCGGCAAACTGAAGGCATTTGGTATGCATTTTGTATATACATTTAAATGGCATTTAATTCAAATCAATTCCAACGCAGGCTCTGGCTGCACCATGGACCAGATGACCAAGATACGCGAACAGCAGGAAAGTTTGGCTAAATTGCATTTTGAGCTGGCCGCCGCCGAGGAGGATTCACTGGAGCATGGCAACGAGTTCAATACGAGTCGCGCGCAGGAGAACATGCTGCAGCTGATGCAGCGCCTCGAACAGCTGTCCATCTCCATTGAGCAGCTGCAGACGAGCCATACGGGCCTCTGAGATTTGGCCAAGCTGCAGCCAGCATCCACACTGTACGATCGACTGCTGCTGCTGCTCTGATCCGGCACTGGGCAGTATACGATGAACCAGCTGCTAGGGCCCAGCACTTTGTGTACATAAGTTATACGTTTAATTTGTACGATTTTTGATAAGCTTCCAATTTCTACATAAACTAGTTAAGCAGTGATTGTGAATTATTTTAGTGTTACAATTTTGCTAGACAAATGAATTAAGTGCACATTGCTTATATAGAAACATATATTTTACATGTAGCATAGTGTAGTCGCATAGTTTACTACTCTTTGACGGTGCCAACACACGGATGCACTACAATAGTTTTTTTCCACTGACAAGCTTCGATTTTACTGAAATCTGTTCAATTAATTATTGTTTTGTTATAGTTATTTGCAATATAAACAAACGAAAAAGCATTAAAAGTTATCACTTTTATATAACTGAAATTCAATGCAATTTGTTATTTAAGTAGTTAATTCCTTTTGACAGGTGGGAAGTAAGGACTGCAAAGTGCCAACAATATGAATGGTTCATTGTGAATAAAGTGTTTGAATTTCCCGCCATGAACTAGTTCGGAACCAATTTAAGAAAAATTAAAGCCAAGCATGAACCACCAGAGTTTTGAAAACCCAATTCTTGATCAACAAATATTCTCGCTTAAACTAGAAACTTCGGATATTTGTTGACAATTTTTGATCATTTCAATTGAATGTTATTTTAAAGGTAAACAAATTTATTCCATTTTAAAATATGTTAAAAAAGCCGAAAAAAAATATAAATTTGTAAAATGTTCAAATGAATTATTTAAAGTGTTCAATTGAAGTATTTAAAATAAGACTTGAGATTTGAACCTGTGACAAATTAGGTAAAGAGTTTGAATAATTTTGAATTGCTTTTATATTATTAAAAATATGCGAAAATTAGATGATTTTTTCATAAGATAAGATAAGATTTGAAGTTTGAACCAGTGAAAATCAGGTTAAAGGTTCAAATCCTCAGTCGCAACAAAAATCCCTTAACAAATTACTTTGTAGGCTGTCAACGCCTTGGCCCATGTTACTTTCGGAATTCCGCATAACATCAACAAAATTGTCGTAAACAATAAGTTCATCCGGCTTGGCGGCCTTTCAAGAAACAAAATAATACCATAATAATAGTGCCCATCTTGACGAGAATTCGGTTTTGCATGCACAATTTGTTTGGGCCGCGTATGGATCCGTGGGCATGGCATATTGAGGATCGGGCATTGTGCCCAACCTTTGGACAAGTGCATTTGTACATAGGAAATTTGTTTGCTTGTCGCTTAATTTATGCATTTGCATTCAGCTGGTGTCCACTTCACTTGGACTTGTCATCATCGTCGTCGTCGTCGTCATTCTCCGCGTCTTCATGTTCTTATTGTCGTTGTGTGTTTGTGATCGGTAAAAGTAATTTGTGGCTCGTTCTTCTTTCTTTTTCATGTTCTGTTTAAATCCGGGTTTCAAATAACAAGAATCATGCACCGCGAGAAATTTCTTTGTAAGCATTTTTTCGAAAATAAATTTCTATAAAATATAAAGTTTTTTATCCGGAAATTCAATACAATTTTTCTAAAAAGAACAGAACCTTGAAATTTATTATAATATAAATATTCATATATAACTTAATTGAGCTCAGCTGCAGGGTTTGAGATTTGATGTCGTCGAGGAGGAGGAAGTTCCGAAAACTCTGTAAGAAAGAAAATGACAGGCAACGATTATAATATATAAAATCTTCTTTGGTTTGATCCAAAATGATATTTGACTAATTACTATAATTATAATATTCGAAACTTTTAGTAAAACTAATTGTTTAAAAAGTTCGAGTCTGTCTTCAGTTCGATTTTTAACATTTTAAACAATTATTTTTATAATAGTTTGTTATTTAAGGAGGACGCATTATGTGCTCTCTAAATTTGTTTTTGCGCTCAAAATACTTTTCAATAAGTTTCATCAATACTTTTTCTTACAGTGTATTTGTCCATATGTTGTTATTGTTGCCGTCAGCTGCCTTTCCCTTTGCGTGCTGCGGTCAGAAAACTCTGGTTCTGGCTTAGCTTCGGTTTCAGTTTCGACATCAGCTCTCGGCTTCGGCTTCGGGTTTGGGCTTGGGTTTTGGGATTGGGGGATTGGTGGATTCGGGCTTCGGATTGTGCTTAGTTAGCGGTTTAGTGCATTCCAGGCTTGTGTCGAACATCATTTGCGTCAAATGAAGAAATAAACGCTTCGGCCGGCGCATCCGCCATGCTGCATACAAATGCACTCGCTACCTGTTGCCACAAACCAGGCGGGGCACACACAAACACACACACACGCACGCACACTCCTCGGTGGCACTTCCATTGTCCGGCGTTCCATCACGCGCCTGGTTACTGGGTACTGTCAAAAAGGGTCGCCACGATCGGGTGGAATGGGAATTTCCGAGGCGGCAACGGCCAAGCCCTAGAATCCAACAAGTGCTGGGTGCAACAGCTCTGCTTGCAGTTGCAGTCGGAGTTGGAGCCAGGTGGCAGGAGACGGGCGGGTGGGTTCTGTCGCCAGTTCATCGAATCGAGTGTTATGTAAAATGAAAGAAGTCATTAATATGTGACCCGCATATCAAATTTCGTATGAAACGAACGAAATGAACCTTTTGGGCTTTGGTCACATGAGAATTTGATGAACTGCCAAGTTGTTGTTGTTGCTGTTGTTGTTGTTTTTGATACCTGTCCCACAACTGGGAGCGGATCACTTGTTGCCCGAACCATTGGCCATTTGATATGCCGGCCACTTGATGTTTATGAACTCCGGCTGGAGGTCAATCGCTGCAGTTTTTGTCTCGGTTACACGGTTTTCTCCAGCCCTTAATCCTTTTTTGTTTCGCATTTTGCTTTTTCTTTTCTTTTCTTTTCTTTTACTTTCTTTTTTTTTTTTTGGCCCACCCACGCGCAGACACAAAGCACAGCCGGGCCAGGCAGGGCGGAAATTACGTTGCTGATGACAGAGCAAAAGCGGAAGAGCACGCGGCTCGCGCTGGGGCCAGGACACCGGCACACATAAAATGGCGCGGCCCGCCCCACAAGTTCGCACGCCAGAGTTGCACCAAATCGTTCACTGCTGGTTCGTTTGAACTAGGCGCGGAACTGACTGTGATCTACATTCGACAATATCGTTCATTTAGTTCATTTATTGCACCAAATCGTTCACAGCTGGTTCGTTTGAACTAGGCGCGGAACTGACTGTGATCTACATTTAACATTTCGGCTGTTCATTCTGTTCATTCCATTTGTTCATTCCAATTGTTCATCTAAGACGCTTCGCTAGTTCGTGAGTTCCAGCAGCCTTCCATTGCCTGTTTTGCTGCTGTTTTAATTCGGTTTGAGTTGATGCGAAAGTCTGTGCTTATCTGGAATACAAATAAATAATTCAAAGTGCATAACTCCAGGCAATTGTTCAGTTCAAATGTGAACTTGAGTTTGGCTTATTAATTGTATCCTAAAATTAATGTCACAATTTATTAAGGCACAATTCGGCTGCGGCGGAAACCTGAACTAGTTCAGTGAGCCGAGCACAAGAGCACAGCTCTGGGCACAGCCGCCCACCAACCCCTCTCCCACCCACTGCGACCGTAACAGGAAGTGCGACAAAATTCAAAACGTACTCTGCAGTCGGGCATCCTGCTGCTGCTGCTGTTGCTGCCACTGCGGAAGCACGGAAAAGCTGCGAGTATAGGCAAGGGGGCGTGGGCGTTGGGGGGCGTGAGGTAACTATTGCTGACTGACAGTCGGGCTGCGACTGGGCTGGCATAAATGTGCACACGGCACAAACTTGTGACTGCTCTGCGCCCAAAGAGGAAGTGTTGGGCATTGGGTGGCTTTTCCTTCTTTTCTCTTTTGAGAGAGAGAGAGGGGGGGGGTTGTTATGGGTTAAGTCGTGAGCCATGTGATATACCCCATAGACGGCGCGCACAAACAAAACGTTGTCGACGAGGCGAGGGCGACGTACTTTATTTCCTGTAAATGTCCTCGAAAATATGAACATTATATCCCGGAAACGGAAGCTGCAGCATTTGCAAGGAAGCAGCAGGCTGGCAGGCAGGACGCTTGTGACTGTGACTCCTGCTGCCTGGCATTTGCCCAGCACAAACATGCGCTCGGACGCCGCAGCGCCGTGTGGGCTGATTAAAGTGGGTAAACAACCGACGTTGAAGCTCCGACGTTGAAATGTACACAACGCAGGAGGCTGCTGGCTGCTGGCTGTGCCATGTTTAACTGTGCCGCTCTCTGACTGTGACGTCTTTACATCCTGCAGGAAGCGTATCGTGGGCGAGGTGGGCTCTATCTTGGCTGCCGGCGTTCGATGCCAGCCAGTGCCAAACGGCTCGAAGGCATTCGGTACACAAAACCTTTGCATCAAGGAAATGACGGAAGCAGCTTCAGCTCCGGCTCCAGCTCCGGCTCCGGCTCCAGCTCCGGCTCCGGCTGCTTTGGCAGGAAATCATCGTCGTGGACGTAAATTAAATTCCATGCAAAGTTAATTTTCAGCCGACCCACCGCCCCATATCCATGCCATACTCTATTTCCGCATCTTTCGAGCAAAAACCATTTTCTGCAGCTGCGATATGAGCAAAGTTTTCGATATCAATGGACTGGGCCAATTCCCGATGCGATGCTGGTTACATTTCCGCAAAGGCAAGGCTTGGGAATTGATGGGCGGACGCCCGGTGGGGCGCATATTTATGTGTTAGCCAAGCTAAAAGGCGATTAAAGCTCTATTGAAATCATTTAATTTTCATTAGAGCTTTGGTTACGTTAACCTAGTTGAATGATATCTTCCTACAGAGAGACATATGTTAGTTTGTGGTGTTTATGAAGAAAAGGGAAGAATTTCTATCAGTTTTTTATAATAATATTCAAATTATGTAGTTTAAAAAATCATTAAAAATTGTTAAAAATTTGCTGTTAATCACATTATAGAAAAACAGACTGATATTAAGTTAAAATGTGCAGGGCCTACCTGAATTTATGAGAATTGCAGAGGACGGCGGTCGTTGAGTTTAAAAGGTTTCTTCAACACTTAACACCAAATTATCAATTTTCATCCACTGTCAAACACTTCACAGAAAAAAATACACTAAAATAACATCCAAATAGGCAGACCCTACTTGAACTTTTGAGAAGCGCAGAGGAGGGCGGCTGTTAAGTCACCATATCAACATTAATTCACATTACACTGTTAGTTTGCAGCCACTGTTAAACACATCACAGAAAAAAAATGCACTGAAATTACAAGCAAATTTGCAGACCCTACATGCATTTTTGAGAAGCGCAGAGGAGGGCGTACGTTATTTTTAAATTAATAATTCTGCATGCATGAACGAGCTAATGTTTGTCAGTTATAGTTGTGGCTCTTACTCTTACTCACTCTCTCTTCCAATGTCTTACTCGCTCTGCCTTCCCTCTACTTTCTCTCTCTCTCTCGCTCGCTCTCTCTCTCTCTCCAAAGTTCATTTTTCTTTACCATTCTTCTAACCGATGTTGTCTTTCTTACTTTTTTTGCGTCTTTTGCTCTTTCTCTCGCCAACGTATTTTATCTCTCTCGTACAGTCTACTTATTTTTATCGCTCTGTCCCTCCTCTTTTAAGCTCTCTTACTTATTAGTCTTACTCAACTACTTCTTCTTATCTAATCACTTAATAAGAGAGTAATCTCTCGTCCATTTTTCAAACCCTCTCGCTATCTGTCTTCAACTTTTTCACTCTATCATTTTCTCTCTTGATTCTTTTTTCGCCACACTCTCTTTCATTTTTGCCTCGTTCTCTCTCTCTCTCTCTATCTAAAACTCCGCTCTTGCCTTTTAAGTCTCTCTTTTAATTTGTCTGTCTGTCTCTGTCTCTTCTTCATTTTCTCACTCTCTCTCTAATTTTCTCTTTCAGTGTCTCTCACACTCTCTTACTTTTCTACTATGTTTCGCTTCTCTTTTAACTCTCCTTATTATCCCTGCCGCCCTGCTTTTTTCTCTCTCTCTCGTTACTCTCTTTCTTCCCCTCGCTTTCTCTCCCACTCTATATTTTACTATATTTCGCGCTCTCTCTCTTATAATTTCCTTCGGTCCTCCCCTCTCTCTACCTCTTATATTTCTCTTTCCAAATTCATATTTCATTCCCTCTCTCTCAATATTTCTTTCTCCGATTCTTTCCTATACAATATTTCATTCTCTCTCTTTCACACATTCTTGCACTCTCAAATGATCTCTCTCTATTTTACAACTCTCCTTTTACTTTCTTTCCTCTCTCTCTTTTACACACACTCTCTCTCTTTTACTCTCTCTCTCCTCCCTCTCTCTTACTCGCTCTCTCTTTTATACACTCTCTCTCTCCCTTATTCTCTCTGCCTCTCTTCAACTTTCACTCTCTCTGTCTTATACAGTCTCTCTCTCTCTCTCTCTTATACACACACACTCTCTCTCTCTCTCTCTCTTATACACACTCTCTCTCTCTCCCTCTCTCTCTTACATTCTCTCTCTCTCTCATATACTCTCTCCCTCTCGCTCTCTTACATTCTCTCTCTCACTCTCTCTCTCTCTTTTGTTCTCTCTTTCCTCTCTTGTTCTCTCTTACACTCTCACACATACATTTTCTCTCTCCCTCTTTGTCTTACACTCTTTCTCTCTCTGTTTCTGTCTCTCTCTCTGTCTCTCTCTCTCTCTCTGTCTCTCTCTCTCTCTCTCTCTCTGTCTCTCCCTCTCTCTCTCTCTCTCTCTCTCTCTCTCTCTCTCTCTCTCTATCTCTCTCTCTATCTCTCTCTCTCTGTCTGTCTCTCCCTCTGTCTCTCTCTCTTTCTCTGTCTCTCTCTCTCTCTCTCTCTCTCTCTCTCTCTCTCTCTCTCTCTCTTAGTATACAAAGCCTGTCTATCGAAGGAACTTCTAATTAGGGCTAATCTCTCTACAATACCCACTATGATTTTCTCTATCTCTATCTTAGGATTAAGTTTGGTGCGACTTTAAGGAATTTATGAGGAAAATCGCAAGTTCAAGCTGTTCGTTTGCCGGCTAAGTGGATATATGGGTATGTAATTTGCGGCAATCATTTGGCCAGCTTCAATCACAACCGTTGGAATAGGCTGCGGCCAATGTACCGCTAGATGTTAGGCCATAAACAGAGCTGGGTAGAGCCATACTCTCCGGCATGGCAGATGGCAAAACAATAAACGAATCTCTCAGACCGAGTCGCTAGATCTGGCCTGGAGGAGGCTGCGGCCGCGGCTGTGACTGTAGCTTGGCCAAAGATTACGTGAAAGGTGAAAGTTGTGCGAGAACCGCACAAAGATGCGAAGCAAAAGCAGGAAACAGACCGGCCGAGCTGGAGACAAAGAGACAGCGAGAGCGGGAGAGGCAGGTCAGTCGATTGGTGAGAAACTTAACCGGACCCCCACCTGTCGTCATGCTAAAGCTCAGCCTCGGCCTAAGACCTGGCATGCCACAAACGTTCGCCAATCGCCAGATTTCCGTATGCGAAATGTGGAACACTGGCACAGTAGCCGCAACATCTCCTCCATCTCCCCCATCTCCTCCATCGTCTTCTTGTGCTGCCCACCCATTTATGGCCACCGTTCGACCCACTGTTGGGTCCAGCTTCGAGCGTCGACAGGTTGGCAACCACTTACCAAAGCTGCCCGCTCACTGCGCTTGGTGTGTGTGCATTACCGCATTGTAAACCTGAATTCTTCAGCTCTTCTTTCTTGCTTTCTTGCCTTTATACCCTGTAAATGTGTGAACAGCATCTACGGTCGAGTCGATCCAACTGGCCCTGCCTCAATCTCAAAGTAGACATATAAGAGCTAGAGATATACTTGTATACACAGCAGGAATATATCTAATCTTGTCGATAACATCAATTTTTGTAGTTTATCGATAATTATCGATCAGCAGCTATAATTTAGAGGCATATCTCGCAGATGAAGTTGGCTAGAAATAAGCAGTGTGGCTTCTAGGTTCTCGCACAGATTATGTTTGAAGCTATTTTTTGAGAATCTGTCTAACATTTCGCGTAAACCGATAAATATCGATTTTAAGTGGCGCTTTTTAAAGCAAAATCTCTAGGTTATTGGTAAAAAAAACAACAACAACAACTGGCATACAGGCTCTTACTTATCAAGCTTATACATTATCGTGTATATGAAGTCTTTGCTATTCGCACTATATAATCGATAATTATCGATATCTAGCCACAGATATTTGAGTATATCTCGGAAACTATTAGAGCTAGGAACACCAAATTTGGCGTGTATTTGATGTGAGAACGAGCTATTCTTCATTTAATAATTTCTTGTATTTCCTAAAAAAAGGTTTTTTGACTTGATATATAACTACGTTCGACTACGACATAGCTTCACTCCAAATTAAAAA